GCACAGCGAAAAAGAATTGTTTTTAACTTGGATTTGAACATTGTCACAGAGAAGGAGCCTGTCTCACATTTTCTGGAAGACTGTTTGTAGATCAGATTGTTGCTGCATAAATCTGAAACGCTGCCTCACCATGTTTAGTTCTGACTCTAGGCACCAGCAGGAGGCCAGTCCCTGTGCTCCTCAGAGACCCAGCAGGAGGCCAGTCCCTGTGCTCCTCAGAATCCCAGCAGGAGGCCAGTCCCTGTGCTCCTCAGAGTCCAAGCAGGAGGCCAGTCCCTGTGCTCCTCAGAGACCCAGCAGGAGGCCAGTCCCTGTGCTCCTCAGAGTCCTAGTTGGTTCATATGGTACTAACATGTCATGTCAAAAGTGGCATCCAGTAAATACCAAATTAAAATAATTCTTTCCCTTCTCTTTTCCATGAACAATTTAATTTTTATTTTTTATTTTTTACTGATACAATACTGTTTTTTTGGGTATCTGCTGATAAGTCTATCCGCACACCTCTGCTGCTTACCACAAACAAAACATACATGACAACAACGATGATGCTGAAAACGTCTGAATTTGTTTAATGAATACAGCATGACTTTCTGACTACATTTTTTTCTGCTACGTGACTGATTTAAAGTGAAAACCTGTCCTATGCACAGAGTGAAACCTCCTCCGGTCCAGATTATGTAATGTGATTTCAGCCACACTTTTGTTTTCATAAAGGTATTAGTCAGAAGTGTCAGGACCATGGACAGCACCCAAACACAAACAACGCGCTTGTTTTCCCTCGGGCTGTCCAATGACCGCTGCAAATTTAGCCTTCATTTTCCCCCTAACTTCTTTTGGATTTTGATTTCTGGGCTTTGATACAATAATGACCAACAACTTCCTGCAGTGAAAAGGTACAATGTGTAAGGTCTGGATAGACTTTTGAGGTTCCAGAAAACGTTAAATCAGCCTTTTGCAGCGTTTTGGTTCCTGAATTACAGATTAGATGATGGACACTTGATTCTATTCCAATGTTTTTCAAGTTTGAGAAATAATGACATGGGTTCTGCATTTCAATCAATAAACGTAATAAATTCAGTTGTGAAAAAGGCGACACTTTAAGCCAACAATATAGTCCCGGCCTTTTCACATCTGAATAAACCGAATTGAAACACACAAAGGCTTGATATAGGTCACTTTGCATTCCACAAGTCCATAACATATTAAGTTGCGTGCCTGAGAGGTCCTGGGTTCGAATCCCGGTCGGAGTAAGGGTTTTTCTGAGTGGAGTATGTTTGTAGGTTTCCCCTGGGTGCTCCGGTTTACCCAACCACTAAAAACAGGCATAATAGGTCAAATCTTCCAGCTCAGGTAGTCCTGACCGAGCCGTGACATATCATATGGTTGAAGAAAAAATAACACAAACACACACAGACGCACACACACTGGCCCTAGACTTTTCTCTATAGCAGGGTGGTGCAGTGGTTAGCCTTTCTATGTGGAGTTTCCATGTTCTCCCTGTGTCTGCGTATATCTTTCTGTAACTGGTGATGCCACACTAAAATTGCCCCACTGTGGAACAAATCATTCTCTCAATCTTAATCTTAATCTTAAAGTTACATAGACGGGCTTTAACACAGCATATTATGTTTGGTGGAACAGTCCTTTGTGTCCAGCTGAGAGAAGGGAGAAGGAAGAGAGAGAGGGAAGAGAGAGATGCCCGCCGCCATGTCTGCTCCTGTTGCAGACATCCATCCTGTCTGTCTCCACGGATCATAAGTCGTGTTATAGGGGCAGGTTTTATGGTTTCTGAGTGGAAAATATAAAAAGCACCATGTTTCCGACAGACGAAATAGTGATTTAACAACTGTGTGTGATAAAGTGAGCGTTGGGTCTGACAGTGTGGATGTATGTCCCACTGGTTTGGTCGGTGGAAGTTAAAGAAGTGTTTTGATCTGCTATATCTATACTGCAAAAAATCATCAAATGTGAAGTGATAGTTGCTCGAATCGCGTTTTATGCGCACTTTCTGGATGTCTTAAAACAAGATTTGCCAATAGGACAAGCTGTCGTGTCCTTAGGCAAGACACTTCACCCACATTGGGAATGGTTGGTGTTGGTTGGGAGGGGCCGATGGCACATACTGGTTGCCTTGCTTCTGTCAGTGCGTCCCAAGGCAGCTGTGGCTATACTAGCAGTTTATCACCACCATTAATGGAGTGAAAGAATAATGAGATAGATAGATACATTATTGATCCACGTTGAAGATATTCAGATGTCCAGTAGCAGCTGAAACACATCCATTCACACAAACACAACAAAACAAATAAATAGATAATAATAGTTTCATTTCATTTCATTTTCATCCCCCCTGACTCATTTCTGGGTCAGGGGGGTGGCAATCAGAGCTGCCACCCCATTCGCAATGCACCGGTCCCTCGCTGATCCTCCTGCAGGTGGTGGGTCCACAGGAAGATGGCTGCTTCTTCGATGAAGACATGGCCTTGGTCTTTCAGCGGGGGGCTTCAGGCAAAGTGGGGTTAAGTTTCTTGCCCAGGGACACAACGACAGCAGACTTCAGTGAGAGCAGATGACATGGGCCACTGTCTCCAACAATAGTATCAAAATAAAAAGGTCACAGAAGCACAGGTGGTGTAGTCGGTTCAGGTTATCTGCTCTGGTCCAGAGTAAAATGCTGAATGCTTTGTTAGCAGTGGATTGAGGCTTGATCTACTTGTTTCGGACCACGAATCCTCCCTGCTCTGGTTTGGGTCAATGTTAAACTATGAACACTGTACTGCAGTAACATTTACAGGTAGAAAAAGCAGGAGCAGTCCGTCCCCAAATTTGACTTCCAGTAGTTTAAGAGAGAACACAAGATTTTATGAATGCTTTTTTATTTTTATTTTTATTTCCCTATTTTTACTCTTTCAACTTGTTTGCATCTGGAGCCAAAGCAAATTCCTAGTTTGTGACTTCCTGTTACTTACAATGGCAATAAAAATAATTCTGAACAGACTGACCTGATAGGTGCTCGCTCTGGCTCCACATTAACGCCGAAATAGCCTGTTTAAGCTAGCTAATCGGCCTCTTCTGCATTAAGGCTAACACTATGGGTGATCTCAACACTCGTCCAGTCCACTCCATTTGGAATCCTTCCTTAACTATAACAGTTTTAGCTATGTTTGGGTGAAGTGAGCTGTCAAAGAGCTTTAAAGCAGCCGTACCTGACATCATCCTCACATGCTCAGCCCACGTCCACATCCGTCTCCAGTGACTGTGGACGCTTTCATGTGGTCCTCGTCTGGCCCCGCGAGTCCCACCCAGAGCATAAATACCTCTAAAGAGCTGTCCACCATCTCATGTTTATTGTCCATGTATGATTTTTTAATTATAGGGCTGTAAAACGAGTGGCCACGTCCTAATATATGTCTCGTCATATTAGTGTGAACATGTAACGTAGATCCAACACGACGCTTCGAATCTAACTCATGTTGACGTCAGCAACTTCATGTCTGTATGATGTCTTTTTGTACATTTCTGGTGTATATGTTCTGTAATATTAATGTTTTTGGAGGTTTAGGGGGAAAAATAACATGAGGAGGGCATTCAGGATTATTTCCGACGATGAACAGGGTCTGAATAATAGGTTTTTTTCTAATTAAGCATAATTATAAATCGTTTTTTTGTAATTGAACATCCTTACAGCAACTGCAGACAATTTTCTGGTGGTGGGAAAAACATAAAAGTTATTTGATTGGAACATTCTCTCCTTGTACTTTTAATGCCATATTGTGTATTATTACAGCTAAATAAGACCCAAAACCCTCTCTCCTGTCAGTGACCAGACAGGAGACACTTTTCCTCCAATCTTCGTGGAAAAGTACGTTCCAGATCAGACACATGTTTAAAACTAAACTCCAAATGACAAAAATATTTTTAAACCCATCATCACAAGTGAAAAAGTTGGGTGTAATTTTGAACTCTGAGCTGACTTTTATTCATCATATTAAAAAAGTCAGAAAAACATTTTATTTAATCATCTTGAAAATATTGCCAGAGTCTGCCCCATTCTCTCTCAGGTCAACACAGAGAGGCTAATGCATGCTTTTATCTCCAGTTGTATAGACTACTGTAATGCCCTGCTCTCTGGTCTTCCCATATATTCAATTCAATTTCAATTCATTTCATTTCAATGTATTTTTTGTATAGCCCTAAATTACAACAGTAGTTATCTCGGCGGACTTTACAAAGCTTCTTCAACCCATATCAGCGAATCAAATAGTTTAAACACAGGAAATGCAATGATAAAAGAAAAAGAAAAAAAACCATAGAGCCATTGTTCCATAAGGGGCAGAAGACCATAAATAAATATTGTTGAAATGTCAAATGTCCTGGATCATCACCACTGTCCTCTGACACTCCTGCATCGGCAAGGAGCAAAACAAAATCAAAGAGTACAACGAGGACTGTGGCTCTCAGGCGGGATGGGGGTGCAGCCCACGAATCCAGCCCGATGGGAAGACAGTCCAGATGTGCCAATGGAGGAGGCCAGGAGGTTCAGGGGTCTCATCACCACGCCATAAGAATCATTGCAGCTCTATTGATGATTTCACAACTCACAGCAGCACAACATTCCAATTCCAGTGATTGTTTTGAACTGTGGCAAATATTTCTTCACGCACACCTAATTTGCATTACATATTCCTTGAGCCGACATTGGGACGGTTCAGGCCAGTATAATTAGACAGAATGTGACTTTGACTTACTCACTACGTGCAGTAATGGGCCCTTTCAAGTTGAGTAAAAGGTGGCGTAACATACTTAAATGATTATTGATGTAAAATTCAAAGGTGCAGTGTAGATGAAACACTACCTCTCCACCCCAACCGTGAGCTCTTCTGTAGCTCCACACATTAAAGGCACAGTGATGTCTCGATCGCCCATGGCTCTGAGACAGTGGACGCAGTGATCTCACGGCTCTGCCATGGCCAACAGTTCCTCTGCTAACATCTTCAGCCATGAGCTCAGACCACAGACGTGTGCACAGCAGATCCATTATCCACATCACGCTCCACCACAGCCATGGAAGTAAGAGCGCATCATCTGATACTGTGTCCTGTCATGTCTGCTGCTTATGCTAACAAGTGTCCGGTTTGTATCTTTGGTTTTATTTATTGGTAGTGGTTGGCTAATAAATGATGTAATCGGGTTCAATCAACGTGTCATAGAGGGGTGTTTTTCTACAGAGACTTTGGTGGAAGTGATTGAAATATGAATGGTTAAATTGGGGTTGCCAAGGAGGACACACGCAGACAGTTTCAACAATTAAATTTAATATACAAATGTAGAATAAAAACAGTAAAGAAATGCCCCAATAAATTAGTTTAGTAAAAAGCTAAGTGGGCTCAAAACAGATATACAGTATATGTGAAATGTTTTAAAGTCCAAAGTGCACGGATGGTCCCCTTTAAAATACAACATACAAGCCAGCGCAGGGAGAATGGAACAGCAAGGCTTTAGGCTACACGGGTAGAGAGTGGCTACAGTACTCAGGACAAACAAAGACCGGCAGTACTTTCTCCAGACAACACATTTGCTTATGTTCTTAGTTCGACAAGCGCCACTGCTTCCCAAAGGGTATTTACGCCGAAGGCCCTGCCCCTGTTTGTAGACCGCTTTGTGACTCTTGCGGTCCCAGCGTGCTCTGGGTTCCCGGTGCGTGGTCCTTTTGCTGCTTGTGACGGCTGTGGTTGTCGCAACGTAGGCTCGTGTGTTCTCACCCCTCTGCGTCTCCCCTCAGTTGTTTGGACATGACCTGGGCCGCAAGACCTGGGCTATCTCCATTTGCAATACTAGCCTTTTTGTCTTAGACACTCACACACACAATTGTTTTCAGAAGTGATTCATGTCTGATTGAGTAATTCATATTGAGACACTATAGCTCCACCCTGCTCCTCAGACTGAATATAAAAGTGTGCAAAGTGCAGACATGTTTCTTTTTCTCAACACCAATTGAATATTTGTAATGAGTTTTCATATGTCCTAAATGTATGATTGTGAACCACATGATTATCACATGTCAGACAAAAGCCAGGTCATCAGCCCTCCTGCTGCAAAGCCCTGTATCAGGCATTCTTTCTAGTTCTGAACAGTTTCTTTACGGCGTGATACATGTCTTCACCCAACGCACATCACGCTTCACGCCACTCAACACGGAACACACGGCCGCTAACATGTCGTAAACCACACGCACACACCACACAATGCTCTTGGAAGAGCTTTGTGCCACTAAAACTACATTTGCCTCTTAAACAAATACCACGTCGACTGGAATCACCAGAAGTGAGGGGAAAGTGAAGCATGTGTCGCTCCCAACGGTAAAAGTCCACAGTAACCCGCACCTTTCAGCCTTTCTTCAAACGACGGTCTGTGCAGCCTACGCATTGGATGTATGTTGGTGGTGTGGGTCGTCACGTGTCAGGCTCATAGTTTATTTCAAACAGCTTAGGTCTCAAAGCCAAGCAGGATTTATGCCACGAGCTGCAAAGGTTTCGTAAACTCGGTTGTAAATGTTGAGTCTTGTTGTCTGCCTATAGGCCCAGCGCCGCATGCAAAAGCGCCACTGAGAGCTGATGAATGTGGCGTGCCAAGCCGCGTGAGTCGACGTGTTTGACATTAATGCTCCGACTGTATATTATCCCGCGTGTAGAAAAGTTGGATTGGAGCGCTGGGATCCAAGGACAGGGGGATGTTTAGGTACTAATTACCAAACAGCAAGGCACAAGTCCCACTGCATATTGCCTTACTCTTGTGGAAACACAGAGTTCGGCTCCATTTATTTTCTTTGACTGTTGTTTCTGGCAAGGCCGTGTCTCAGTAAACAGCGCTCGCCCACCATTGTAAATCCGACAGGCGCACATCTTTCAAGTCAGACTCCTTTGAGGGAAAACGGAGACGGATCGGATGGCGGCGCGCGGGTTTTCCGTCTTAATGAGAGAGAGGAGAGGGACAGCGTTTGATCCCTGGCATGGAAGCCCCTATTTAAGGCTGTCAACGGTCATCACTCTCTCCTTGCCTTTTTCCCTTCTCCTCTGCAGCTATGGGGGGAGAAAGAAGCAAAGAACCAGGCCCAAGTCGCTGGATTTGATCAGGGACATTTCCATAAGTTTGTGGAGGGAAGGGGGAGCGGCAAGATGATGCTTTTGGGACTCGTAGTTTTTGCTCAAAGTGAGAGACCCCTCATCTCTGAGATCGTGAAGAGCATCGACTGAACCCGGTGAAGCCAAGCGAAAGTAAACGCTTGATGTGTGATTTATTTGAACAAGACCATGTGCGCAGATTGGCGGCCACAAGAGACTTTCAAAAGTGTTGGGTGTTGAGGATTGTGTATTCTGGTTTATAAACTTCAGCCCTGGAACTGTTCTTACATCTGCAGGTTTAACAACAGTTTATGGAAAACCGACAGGAGGAATGTTTTCAAAATGTTATCAATCTTGATATCAACGCTTGTGGAGACGAAAATGTTCCTAAATATTTGAGAGAAAGAAAAAGTTGAAAAAGGTTTACTATTAGTGATACTAAAACTGTCTTATCTGATGGGTTTCAAATCAGGATGCACATTGTGAGGGTTAGAAGCTGCTGCGCTCTTTGGCCACATATGCAAGAATATTGGCTGCTTAAGAGAGAGAATGACACGAGCCATACATCAATTTTCTTCCTTTTTATCCATTGCCAGGTCATGGAGGAAGCAGTCTAAGCAGAGACGCCCAGCCTCCCTGACCACCTCCTCCAGTAGTATCCCAAGACGCTGAGAATGTTTACAAAGCACTTGTGAAAACCGGATAACTCGCCCCGTCCAATTTTATTTGATTGAGAAACATGTTCACTGCATTTGAGGTGTGAAAAAACAGTCTATTTAGATTTAATCTAATTGAAATTGTTTATATTGGCATGTACCACATGACACCACTGAGACAAGGTCCAGAGATGCATTTAAGAGCACATGGGAAAAGCCATGCTTGTATTAAATATGTGTGTATTTCGACTCACTCCTTTTGAGTATTGTGACGAAGTACACGTTTCCTCGCCCCACGTGTTTCATGACCCGATATAAAACGTATGATAATACTGTATCTCTAAATAGTAGAAAGGTATTTTTTGCGAATCATAAGAAGCTATTGATTGAGTTTGTGAAATCACCTCATGTAATGTGAGTGTATGTATTCATGGTGCATTCACTAAGGGCAATAATATACCCAAGAAGGTTGTTAACTTAAAACAATGGTGTTAAAACTGGACTCACCTGAAGAAATGGGCGGAGTCTGCTGTGCTCCTGCTCAGGTTGGAACTAAACCCTGCAGCCACACCGGCCCTTTGAGGATTGGTTTGACACCCCAGGGGAGAACATGCAATCTCCAATCAGAAAAGCCCTGTTCCGACTAGGATTTGAACCCAGGAGTGCTCTCCACTCAGCCACCATGCCGCCCAGTGATAATCAAAAATACTTGCAGTTATGGCTTCACATGATTCAGTTGGGCCTAGTGCACACGCAGGTCTACTTATGTCTGAAAACTGCACTGGTTTGATCAACAGTAGCGTCTCCCATCCGCCCAGACATCACTGACACTCAGCTCTCACTCCTCTCACTGGTCCCACGATCCATATTGTTGGATTGATCACTGGGGAAGAAAAGACACAGGCCCCAGTCGATCTGTGAAAATATTATTTTATTTGTGGAACTTCACAAAGAGCAAGCCTCTCAGTTTCATGTCACGCATTTGTCCAAACCACACCGCTCCCGGTGCCTCTTAAAGGAAGTCTCAAAGCCAAAGACAATACGTTCTCAAGACTTTTTTTTTCCCGCAACGTCGTCGCGGACAACGGATCTGCTGAACTTTTGGATGCGAGTGGAGGAAATGTACGTTTGATGAGGGGCCGGAGGGCAGGGCAGCTGACCAGAGCGGACAAGCGCCTGGAAGCCCCTTTTCAACGCGACGCTAATGGCTAATCACGCCTGATTGTGCTGCTAAATAAATACTCCTGTGTAATATCATGCGTAACTTAAGACAAAACCAATACCTGGGCCGAGCGCTAATAGCTGGAGGTGAAACGAAATGTCTCAGCTGTGCCTGCCATTTTTCAAAATCCATCAGAGCACTTGGCGCGGATTAGGACTCAAATAAAGGCACATTTTTCATACTCTGAGTGAGACTTCAGATTTTGGATATCCATAGGAAAACATATAGAAAGTTGAGCAGGAAAACCCTTTTCTCATCAGCTATAAATCTGTGGAAATGAACTTTTCAGACTAAACTGACGGCTGAGTTTGAGAAAGCCGAGACCGAGCTAAAGCGACTATTATTAAAACGTGGATGACAGGTTTGGACCATATTTACAACCTTGTTCTATGAAACTTTCAATTTCATTCCAGCTTTGTTTGTAGGTTTATAATTGTACTTCCAGGTTGATGATAGTGACATCACTGGAGGTGTAAAACCATAATATCAAACCTTGGAATCATTGTATACATTTGTGAAGCAATCAGACTAATGTTTTTCTTCTTAGACTACATGTTTGTTTATGCATATTTCACATCAAAAGATAGAATAATAATCTGTTTAAGAGCAAAGAACAAGTTAGATGATTTTTTTTCCCTGATAATGCCATTAACTCTATATTTTTCTCCTATTCTTCACATTTGTGTATATATTGGTGTAAAACTATCATTTAAACTCAAAACAGGGGTAATTCCTCCGAAAACGTCCAATCATAAAAACCTGTCATACACACTTTAGCTTATAACTATTATCCCACACTTTTTCACAAGTGATTTCAAAGTTAATTACGGCTTGGATCGTCAGTTTTAGCGCACATAATTCGCTTGAGTCGGGCTCTTGATTGGGAATGGCACGGGCTGCGATTCATCTCGGAGTTTTCCTGACGTCATAGAAAGTTGCATTTATTTCCCATCTGCTACAAGTCATTTTTCAACCCAACCTTGTAAATCCATAAATGGCTGAATACAGTTTAGTACAGTGGGAACATGTCAACAGCGGCTGTATTTCGACAACAAGCACAACTTCTGTACATTCAGGAAGGAAAAAAAAGGAAAAGACAGATAGCTAATGAAATACAGGCCCGGTGAGTGTGCTATAACCAAACGGGTGTGACCAAAGCAGCGGCAAAAAATCTGTTTAAAATGAAACTCAATAAATTATGTTGAAATGAAATTGCACCGGTGTAATGCTCGTTTTCATCCCATTACTTATGTAACATTTGCTTAATGAGAAACAAAAGTATTATCGGTAAATCAGAGTTTACAGATGATTCATAAACTGGTATTATAGACCTTGCTAATAATGCAAAAAAAAAAAAAAAAATAGATTTAGCATTCTTGCTCCGTGACTCGAATTCACTAGAGATCAACCATTTTAAATTTGCAATGTCTATACCGATTATAAGTAGTCAAAAAGGCTGTTAGTTTTCTGTAAAAGATTCAATATTGGCTCATTTATACTCAAGACGGACAGCCATGTTTGTTATGAATAGGTTTTTTCTTGCGTGCAGGTATTGTACATGTGCTCTCTATCGCCCCCTGTGGTTCCTGTTGACATTTGAACGTATATAACTGGGCTGTGAAAGAGCCTTAGGGATGTTGAATACATACCGAATTCACAATAAAACTGGAAAACTGACATATAATCTGAAACAATACAGAAAATTTGACGATTAATCTTATTTGAGAGATGTTTGTTTATTGTTTTATTATTTGTTAAGACAAGATAATGTAACGTGTTTCATGAGATTTATGACTTATTTTGTGACGAAGTGAAATATAAGATCATTAATCCACTAATGAGGTAGCCTATAAGAGCAATATATTTTAAATATGTTGAGGGTCGAAAGGACAGTGATGATCTGCGACATTTACAGACATTTTTTAACATTCCCGGACATTGGTCAAACTGCATTGAATTCTATGTGTTTGTTGTTTGCTGTATTTCCTGAGAACTGTTTGATTCTCCGATCTGTTCTCAGTGAATCAACAACTTCATTAAGTCCTCTGAGGCCACAGCTGTTATGATTTAGGCCTATACAAAAATGAATTAAATGGAATATTTAACATCCATCCATCCATTTTCTTCCCCTTAATCCATTTCTGGGTCGGGGGGGGGGGGTGGCAGTCAGAGCTGCACCCAGTACACAGAGCACCAGCCCCTCACTGATCCTCCTGCAGGTGGTGAGTCCACAGGAGCTGAGATCTTTCAGCAGGGGCTTCAGGGGCTTTTATTTTTATTATATTTAACAAAATCTCAAATTAGCAGCATTACGATTGAAACTATAGCCAGAAATGCATGGAGGTCTAACAATCCACCATGTTGAAAATTGGGAATAAATTCAGATTAAGGTTCAGAGTTTATATAAGCGGTCACATTCACCTTTTAGAATTGAGTGATGTCATTGTTTTTGATTAAAGATGTGTGCCTGGTTTTATTTAGCTCTATGGAAAATATTCTGTATCTGCGGCAACTTGTCATATTAATCTAAACCTCTAACTTCTGAACTAATCTTAACTTTGAATGGCACCACTGTCTGAAATGTTGGTGGAAAGATAGTTTAAAAAATGTTTATGTTTTCTGACAGAGAAGCCATTGAGCGTTGTGCCAGTTGTTAATGCCATGTGTATGGATCGGGTAATTACAGGGATATGGCGGTAAATCAGGTCACCGATCTTCCTCCTGACAGACAAACAGTGAAATTACAGTTTGTGCGTTTTCAGCTTGTGACAACTTTGTTCCTTCATTATTAACAGATTTAGAGCAGTTTTTTGCCTAATCTAAACTAATATCTAACAAGAGGAACATCTGGCTCAGAGCTGCAGAAACAACCCCCGTCACTTCTTACAACGGATCCTCAGACCTCTGCCTTTTAAAAGTATTGTCTCTAAAATTAAAACAATTGCGGGCCAAACTTACATCTCACCATGCTAGAGTTCAATTATACACGCAGAATGTTATTTACAATTTATACCAGTAGATGGGGGTGTTTCAATAATCCATCTTGTTTTTTGCATCTATTTTGTACTTAAAGGACAACTCGCCCTCAAATCCACTTTTTTTTTGCTGATAAACTGTATAAATGAGTGTCCAATAGTGTTGTCTACATATCCTGGTCATAATCTTGTCACTTTGGTGCAAATTAGTTGAAAGTTAAACTTTCTGCCTAAAACCGTCTGTGAGGCGCCATCTGCTGGCGACCTGTATTACTACATTTGAATTTTGAATCTGGCGCCAACACTGGCACGGCAGCAAGACCTGACGTCTGAAGCAAGACCTGACGTCTGAAGCAAGACCTGACGTCAGCAGCCCCCCGCCCAGAGCAATGTAAACGGCCCAGTCTCGTTCACGCCCCCTTTAGTCCTCCAGGCTACGCCCATTTAGAGGAAGATTTGAACAAGAAATGTGAGTGACGTAAGCTCCGAGGAGCGGGGGTGAGAACCACTTTAAGTAATAACTTCAAATTACAAAACAAGTAAGAAGAAATATGATCATTTTGTTTGTTAGGACGTGAAACAAAGGGGGAACAATGTTGTAAGTATGTAAGTCATCTTTATATACATTTCGCATATTGCGGACCAGGGTCACACAAAGTGCACTTTTAGTAATAACAGGAATATATATATAGGAAAATAGTAACTGTCCAAATACAGATTTTTAGTTTTTTGTTGTTTTTTTTTTAGCTAATTTCTCTGTAGTCCCTGGTCCAATCCACATGAAACAAAAACTGGCACAATGTCCCACTGTGTCAGAACATATCAACTGTGGTCTGAGTATGTTCTCATAAAAGGTAATGACAATATAAACAACAAACTTATGCATGATGTTGGCCAGTAGAAATTACTTCAGACAGAAGAATAATATTAATGGTTTGTGCTTCTTCCCCATCAAGATGTATTGACACCGCTCCCCCAACTGAACGCAACTATCAACCAAGCGTTAAGATCTTTTCCTTTCTGCTGTGGTCCAAATCCACCTTCATACAACAGCCAGAGACAAAACACAGTCCAAAAGTGCAGCCGATGGTTCATGATTCACTGTGTACATAGAGTCCCTTGTTCCTCTTGGTCCTGTGGGATGTCTCTCACTTGGCCAGCCTCCGGGCCACGTCCTTGTACGCCGTCTCGATCTCGGACTCGGCTGCACATGTGTTGGTGAACTCGTCGCGCGTGTAGGCGTTTTTCAGGTAGCGCCACACTCCAGACATCTCAGTGGGAATGTCATAGTTACGGTATTTCTTGGCCACGACCTGCAAAAGATACTGTCGATATTAGCTGAAGCAGTGACAATAAACACGAAAAGTACTGTCAGTATTTTATTTAAATCCGAGCATTCGCTGCCCATTAATGTGGTGTTAGCCTGGTCGTACCACACCATAGAACAAAGGGGTTACCTCCTTTTGAAGATTGAAACGACTGGATCTGAGTTTACTGTCACGTATGTAATGAGCCCGAGTGAGTCGTTAGCATTTAGCCTAGCCATCTCCTTTGCTGCTAACGGAGCCCGTGGGGAGTAGCGCCACAATCTTTGCCAGAGATTACATTTGCTAAACATTCCTCTTGCTCCGGCTTCAATTTCTTGATAGAACCAGACCGGATTACTTTACTATCGCATTCCTCATCATTGCCAAACTACAACCTGCCCGTTCGTCAATGACAACACCCGCCTCCCGAGCTCGCTGATTGGTCAGATGGAAGTCAACCAATTGTAATCGCAAACACAGGGACCAGACCCAGACGTTACATGCAGGGAAATGATGATTGACCAGAGTGTACGGATGGTTAAGGCCAGGCTATTGTGGTGTCCTACTTCTTTTTAGGAGGAGTAACAAGAATTTTGAAATCAACATCCTCAACACTAAGGCTAATTTCAGTAATGTATATTGTGATAGATTGCCACAGTTGCCCGAGTTGTCAGAGAGTTTATGAACTCACAATTTTAACTTTTAAGTTTTAGTAGCTATAGGATGCTTATTTATTGTCATTGATTGGCCAATAAGTCCTGGAAGCTAACGAGTATAGTTGGTGAATGTCCTCAGATTGTAATGTTTTATTTACAAAGTGTTGTCCATCGCAAGTCAAGAGGGCATTAAAACACCTCATCATTAAATCCTGTTGTCACCAGTTATAACAGATGTTGTTTTACTCTTTTAGTGTGGCATAAATGTGGACAAACTTAACTTTAAATGTAGCTGGTGTGGGTTTTACACAGATGTCTTCTGTTTTCTTTGCTGTTGTAGCTGATTATGTTCAAATTGTGTTTTTCACTTTAGCGCCAGAATGAATCAAAATACAGTATTATCAAGACTTTTGGTCCCTCCTTTCGGTTATTCCAATACTGCATTTTAATATGCTTCAATCTTAAGCAGCATCCATCATAATTAGCCGCTTATTATTACAGTAATCATTGTAACATTAGATGGCGTGTGGTGCAGCCTATAGCAGCTCTGTGTAGGATCACTGTTGCACACCGCGGCTCTTTCTTGGCAGCCTGTCCAAGCTAATACGCCGCAAGATATATTCAAAGAACTCTATATATTTCCTCAGGTGGCTCCGTACCTATGTTTTGGTCATCACTTCTGTTTTTGTCTCGTGACATTTTGAAAGACAATTATCAAACTATCTCAGAATCAATCTCATTCTATTTGGTGTTACTCTTGCTCCTGGTTTACCAAAATGCATGAAAACCAGGGAGCTGCTTGTTCTATAGGTTCTTTTTAAATCCATAAATGCAGGACATCTCGTTTTGCTAATAGCTTCTTTCCACAAGCTGCTCCCACATTTCAGTGTCTATTGTTTCCTGCACTTTTAAAAAATAGTTTTATGTTTGTACTTTTATCCTTGTTTATTTATGTACTTGTCTGGTGCACACTCTGGACTTTTGCAATTGTATTCCAATGTGGTTTTACTATTACTATTACTATTTTAATGCACCTCACATGAGCCCCATTTCCACCAAACCTACTTGGCCCTACCCCACTCTACTCAGCTCTATTCTACCCAGATAGAGAGCTAATTTATTTGATACCTGCTTGGCCCTGGTTCTGGGAGTGCTATTGGTAGCCATTGTAGCCAGGGAATACTGGACGGGACTACCTGAATACTGGTTTGTTGTGGATTGGTTGCTAGGATACGGTACCAGATACTAAAGCGTGATGGAAACTTAGAACAGAGTAGTGTAGGGCAAAGTAGGGCTGGTGGAAACGGGGCTATATACAACTGACTTTAATGGCGCTTTAAATCCACAACTGCTTTTGGTGCACTGTACACTGCTCCTACTTTGTCTGGTACCTGTGTCCTGTTTGACCTTTGCCTGTTTCATGGACCCAATAAGGAGACCTAATTTCCAGTTTAGGTTTTCTAATTACGCATTTCAATATTATTCATGTTATTACCTCGACCTAGGAAGTAAAGTGATCAACTGCTAGTGTCTGTCTGTCTCTCTGGTAGTGAGCAAGATAACTTTGTGGGAGGATTTGGCAATGACAACAACTGACAATAACTGACAACAACTGATTAAATGTTGAAAGCAATCGTCGTCTGGTGCAGAACTTGAACTGTGCATTTCCTTTTTTACTTATTTTATTATTCTCGTCCTTGGTGCATGTTTGTATTATTGAACCTGTGCATTGAATACTCCTACTAAGGCTGTTACAGTATAAAGTAGAGTCTCAATAGTAAAAGTTTGAACAGAAAACCTTCACGATGTGCAGTTTGGGCAGCAGGTTGCAGTCGGCCAGCGTCAGCTCGTTTCCGTCCAGGAACAGTCGTCTGGAGCCCTTCTCCTCCTCCATGCTGTCGGCGTCGATCTCCTCCGGCAGAGCACCACACAGGTAATCATCCAGCTTCTGCAGTGCTTTGGTCAGGCCCTTCTCCAGCGCTGCACATTTACAAAACGCACATACAATACACACACACTTACAAATTTATCATACAGTTTTGAGGTTTTATTTTACATAGAAAGGCGATGAAAAAAAAAATTGGTTGAAAATATTTTGTGCTTCAGTTTGCAACTTTAACTTTAAGTAATAAAATCTATTAAAGGATATTTAAGAGGATATTCTAGTTGTAGATTATAGAATTTGTGTCTTACTGTAGTTTGTAAACCTTTTCTTGTGTTCGCTTGGAAATAAACAAGGATATCAAGGAAAAAATAAAAAAATGCAGTCTTAATGAGATATGTCTCTGTTAAGGAAAGGTTGTCTTGAAGCTTTCATTTGTATTGATGTTTTTAGATAAGATAAGGTAACCATTAGAAACCAATTCAATGTTGCAGCGCACATACAGGACAGTAGAAAGAGCACACAAAAGATACAGTTTTACAATAAGTAGCCGCAATGGTGTTCGTGCAATTTTTCTTTTTCGCATGCATGTTGGAAATCCTCATAAATAAATAATACAGGCTGTCTAAATACTTTCACATCACAGTTGGATGAACAGTGCTTGACAAGACCACGAGATGGCAGCAGTCTGCGCCCAATCTCCTCTGAAGTGCCTGAATAGACCTCTGCTGCCTCCTAGTGTCTATAACAGCTGCCTGTCCCTGCACTTTCCATCACTGTGCGTGCATGTGTGTATGTGAGTGTGTGCGTGTGTGTGTGTGTGTGTGCATGTGTGAGAGAGAGCGTATGAGTGTGTGTGTGTGTGTGTGTGTGTGTGTGTGTGTGTGTGTGTGTGTGTGTGTGTGTGTGTGTGTGTGTGTGTGTGTGTGTGCATGTGTGAGAGAGCGAATGTGTGTGTGTGTGCGTGTGCATGTGGCTAAATGAGCAGCCCACCCGCATTGGCCTCTGCTTTGGTGTTCTTGATGTAGGCTGAGAACTTGGCGAAAATGTCGTTTCCAGCCGTGTTGGACTCTCGCTGCCTGGCTGCCAGTTTGGGATACCTGAAAAGGAGACGCAGGCATAAAAGAGCAGGCAAAACATGTGGAACAAATTATCACCTGCACTAAAGAGCTCCGGGCGCACTCCAAACATGCTGCAGACTGACTGTAGGCTGTGCTGCTGGGCCCCACTTAGCTCCATTTGTAATCGAAAAGAAACTTTGCAGGCCATAAAAGAAAGAGTTGAGTAATCTGGACTTCTTCTGTGCCGCGCTTCACCCATTGGCTCTATTTCTACGGATTCAACAAGTGACGTAATCATTTTTATAAATATGGCTCTATTTGTATTTGGGTCTTCAAATGGACCAAAGACTTTCCGCTGCGACAGACATAAAATTCTAAGCAGAAGCCGTGGTAACAGTCAAGTGGAGAAGGTAGATCATTTTCCACATAATTGTTATTGTGACATGATATTGAAAACTTTATATGATCAATGAACACGTGCTTTTCCTGCTAAATACAGTAATGATTATCTATGACCCCAATAAAATGATTACGTAATTTAAACATTTTAAATCACAATATTAAACTAATACAAGTAAAACATAATAAATGTCGCTGATTTCATTATAACACTTCTTTTTTTTACTTAAAACACAGTACAAGTACATCCAGTCATTCATTTTCTTCCCCTTAATCCATTTTTGGGTCGGGGGGTGGCAATTCACCCAATTCACTGACCCTCCTGCAGGTGGTGAGTCCACAGGAGCCTTGATCTTTCAGCAGGGCCTCAGGCAAAGTGGGGTTAAGTGTTTTGCCCAAGGACACAACAACAGCAGACATCAGTGGGAGTCGTGAAGTAGGTCTTGGGGTAGGCTCGAACCCACGACCGTCAGGCTCACAGGCCAATGCTCTACCTACTGAGCTACTGCCACCCCCAAAACAAAGACATATTAACTTTTAATCTTTTAACCATGTCATTTTTCCTGTGACTTGACCTTAAAACAAAAACGTTGTCTGTGCTTGGAAGTTTTGTTTAATTTTCATTCTATATGCCTTTCTGAGTGGAGCTTTGGTTTCTTCTTACACTAAAAACATGTACAATAGCTCCCCTCTCTCTGGGGTCAGGACTCCCCTGAAAAGGAGATTTTGAAATCTCAGTGGGACTTTCCAGGTCAAACAAGAAATAAAATAGATAACAACTGTTTTGCAGGAGGCTCTACAGTAAGGACGGTGATGATCCAGAACATTTATTAACATGGACATTGGTCATCTGCTCCTTATGCACCAATATCTCTATGTGTTTGTTATTATTGCGTCTCCTGTGTAAAAACGATTTTATTCTTTGTTCTGTTGAAGAATCAACAAGTTTATTAAGTCCTCTGATATGACTGCTGTTGTTATTAAGGGCAATATACACATACAATTCAGCCAACTTAAGCTCTGTCTTTACAGACACTATCTCATGTTAAAGCTCAGAACTCTCTGAATTTGGGCAGAAAAGTTTCACAACCAAAGTCTGGCTAACTATAAAGTGTCCCACTTCATAAAACATTTGACTGATTTACTTTAATAAATCACCTATCCCTGCATCTCCCAGCTCGATATCTAAATCGTGATCATAACAATAGTCATTATCACTTCTCAGACTGACTTTGGGGGGCTCAGCATGTCCTCCAGAAACTCCTCGATCTTGTTCACATCTGTCTTGACCTCTCCATTGAAGGTGAGGAACGGAGGGTGTGTGCCCGGGGCCAGGTTGTGCAGGTCAGCTGGTTTTCTGCAGAGGGAGAGAAGAAAATCACTTTAAAGAACAGATATTATTAGTCTTTTTTCTTTTTTTGCGTACATTTATTGTTCTAGAATGAGAAATAGTGAGAAAAATGCATTGATGAATATGGGACCACATGTGTCGACTGTCAATGAAGTAAAGAGTTGTGCTATACTTAATGTTCGTTAATCTTGTGTTGTGCGCTCCTCATTCCTCCTGTTCTTTAACTTGTGATGCAACACAGACATTTATTTATGGGTATTAATGCAATGTCTGTTCTTAGAAGGGCTTTTCAAAAAAATATACTCATTATCGCTCACACAACTGGTTCTTTGTAAGAAATCGTTCCCACAAGTAATCGTTACAATATTCAAACTGTGGGATGATCTCTTAATTTTAACCTTAATTTGAATGTGCAACACTCCCAGGTTCAAGTTGACCGGGCCCAGAACGACAATGTTTCAAGTTTGTCATCACTATACCAGTGAGTTTAGCTCGATGCTGTGAGTTCTGGCAAACCCCCTTAACCAAAGATTAAGGGGCTGTAAAACTACTTTTATCAGTTAAAGAAGCATTTGAAAAAAGCACGATTTATTAAGGCCTTTTGACATATTAAGGCCATTTAATGAAAAATGTTAATCTTGCATCTTGCTACTTTAAAGCTGGGGTTCCCAATTTTTACACCAAAAAACAATGTAATAAAAATCCATCTAGTTCCTCGCTCTAAAAACTACTACCCCCAAAACTCAAAGGGTTCTCTCCAACAAAAAAGCAGAATGTAACTAATTTCTAATCATTTCTAATAATTGTTCATAGATTTTGCGATTGTCCTCTTAAATTAGCAACATGGCATTGAAGAGGAAACGTTACTATGAATACATCCATCTTGCATTAGTTACAGATGTTATTATTGCACACAAAAAATTAACTTTCTCATATTTTCTTGCTATTCCACAGATCAGACTCACCTCTTCAGGTCGACGGTGGTGACGTTGAACACGACTCCTTTGAGCCACAGAATCATGAAGAGGCGCTGGGAGAACGGACAGTTTCCAATGCTCTCGCCATCGCTGCCAGCCTAAAACACAATGAAGTAGGTAAGTGATATTTATTTATGTAACGCATTTCACAGAACAAGGTCCCACAAAGCGCTTTACAGCCAAAGTCAATACTTCATCATTCACACTGTTTGGAGAAATTATATGAAGATAGATGAAAGCTTTCCGTGGCTGGCATATGATGAAGTTGAATTTGTCTCAATGGGTTTTCAAAGGGACTTCTATTAACCTAAAAATAGATACTTTTAAAGATCTATTTAGTAAAACAAAAACAATTGATTAACAATCTGGTAAAAACATGCTTTCTTAAAGTGAATGGGCTTGCCTCTCAATAGCTCTGACCCATATGGCCTAGTGCCATAACCATTTTGAGTATTTCAGAACACGTATAACATAACTCCACCAAACAAAACACCGTACAATCCTACATACAGTACATGTTTTGAAAAGCGTTTGGATGAAGCCAGTGTTGAATTAGTAAGAGGGGGTGGAACACTGGTAAAAAAAAATTTAGAACAAAATTGCTCAAAATCAACACAAAAAACAACAGTAGAAGTTGTGAGGATGGATACAAGAGGCTATTGAAATCAAGAAGCGGGTCTCATGGACCATCAACAGAGATGAGGGGGCTTTCACCTTGGCTCACACCTGGTACTCACTTCCCCAGCTCATCAGCTGATAACAAGAGCTAATAGGAGACACGTCAGACCACCACGTGTCACCTCTGACGAAGGTGGAAGTGAAACATGTCAGGTCATTAAGCAATACTTTACACTTTGTCTAATTAAGATAACCTTCGAAGCCTTAAACACATTGCACTTTTGAAACCAACTCATTAAATAGCATCACTTCCGCAGAGCGCTGTGGCCGCTGCAACAGGAGAAAGCAGCAGTCTCCACACGACATGTGATCGCTGCTCAATTATGCAGAGACTCCAGCGGAGCTCTGGGGCAACGCACAGGTCACATACACTGTCACACAGTCCATGCCCTCACACTACTGCTGGGACTAAACTGAGGCTGTCAATAAAGAAAGCAACAATATGAGGGCACTAATCCAGTCCCTGCACACTTTTGTTTTTGAAAGATGAAGACATTAGCGCACAATAATTTTCAGTAAAACACATTGAAATACACAATATTATCAAAAGATAGTTGTGATTTTTTTGAAACACTTTGCAGTTACAATTTCATTTGGAATTTGTAAAAGTTTGATTCTATTTCAAAGTGAAATTATTTATTGATTATTTAAAAGTTGAAGTTTCAAGGTAGTATTCAGTAGATTTGACTATGCATCCATCCCTCCACTTTTTAACAAAAATATTATATGTCTTTCCTCTTTACACACACTTCCTCCAGCTCATCCAGGAGAATCCCAAGGAAAGTTTTTCCTCAAATCAAGACACACATTCTGTCTGATTCAAGCAGATCCCTTTGGCAGCATTAAAAGGAAACATGAGTGCTCTGCGGGTCATTCCCCTCACAACACGCTTCTCTCCAATAGCAAACACCAGAAGAGTCTTGTGTCTAAAGCAGCTGATCTGTCTGAACACAGTGTGGACCGGTGGCTTTGTCCCGGGCCTCTACACAAAACACAGCAGCAGATAAAAGCCAATCAGGATCTAGAAAAGCGGACACAAAAGCCGCCGCCTCACACAGAGGACGCACACGGACAATACAGATTCACTACGCACAATATGTCATGCAGTGTTACGCTGCTATTATGCCATTATGACGGGCCACTTGACCTCAGAGACCGCTCGACGTAATGATTACAAGCGAATGGGCTCGATTAAAGTATACGTTTACATACACACACTGCTTAATATTTCATAGTAACTGTATCGCTTTGAAATAATCTCACTGTTGATGTAACGATAAGCAGGTCGACCCCAGTTTTTAACCCTCTATAGGCATCCATTTCAAGTCAGTATCACTACCAACCTCTGATCATTTGGAAAAAACTGCATAAAATGAAAATGAATATATTTACAGGTACATGCTAGTTAGTAAATTATACTGTATCTCCCCTGGGTTTTTTTCCCCGGGTCAGCTCTATTTACCACAGCAGGCCAATATTACAACTCAACATCCCAGAAAGCATTGCCTGTAGAGGTCTCTCTCTCAAAAAGATGATAATTTTCCCCAAATATCACGTTTTACTTGTCATTCAAATTGAACTGGGCCTTGAGAGGGTTCAAAAGGACTTGGTCGCAAATTGTCCCAATATAACGCATTTAGAAACAAGCCTGTGCCAATAGTAAAATAATTATTTTTTGTCTGCAGTTTCACTCAAATATAGTTTATTCGTAGAGCACAGTCTATACACAAGGCAACTTAAAGACATCACAATCATACTACAGCTAAAAAGAACTTGTTACTATACATGGATTTGAAAATGGTTAGAGTAGATGTCTCATATTTTCAGGAATGTGTCTCCCCATGTTCATATTAGTCCTTACTCTGGGCACCAGCAGGAGGCCAGTCCCTGTGCTCCTCAGAGTCTGCCTTGGTTCATTTGGCACTAACATGTCACGAATATGTTTGTAGTAGTAACAATTCCAAGATGCCACAGTGGAATAAATGATCATGATTGAAGGCACCTATTGGAACTTTGTCACCAGTTTGTACAGTATGTGTTTCTAAATTTGACCACTGTTATCATGGTTTTATGGAATAGATTTGGGATTAAATACGTTTTTTTGCTGCCTCAGGATTCCAAGGAAAAGGAGTCATACGTTGATTTGTTGACTAATCAATACGTTCAAAAAAAATGACAGTTCACTCATTCAAAGTATTCATAATTTTCCATCAATTTGACTCAACCTTCTACAAAAAAGTATTTATATGTCCCAAGGGAAGCAAGAAAAACCCCTCACATTTTCAAGATGTACAGATTCCATTGTTTTGGCCACATTTTGGATATCATGAATGAATCGTTCTTTGTTGTGTGATCCCATATGTTGTCAGATACTTGACATTAACATTGAGCGGCTCTGGGGAGATCTCAAACGTGCAGTTCATGTAAGGCGGCCCAGGAATTCATAGGAACTGGGGGATTTTAGCTTTACCATCAGAGGTGACAGAACCTCCTCCAGAAAAGACCTCAAACTTTCATAGATGTTGAAGTTGTTAAAGATGTAAATGCTTCAATATCAATGTATCGCATATAAGGAAAACGCAAAGTGGGGGATGGAAAAACTTGTGTTACCCCCCACATGTTGTCTTATAATTTGAAAATATATGACGATGAATGGCTTTATATAACTACTAACAATGAGTGGGGGAAAAATTGCGTCATCATTTGTATTCTCCAAAATCTCCAACACACATCTGAGTGTGTTGAACTTTCAAGCAGAAAGTAAAATATAGAAAAAATAAATTATTGAACCATGAAATTAAATCTTCCTTCTGATCCAAATGATATTCTCGGACTATAAAAATTATAACCAGAACTTAACATCTGTAATGGTCACAAGTGAATGTACCTTGGTCATAAAATCAGTGGTAGGGGTAGTTTTACTTTTACTCTCAATCTATTCTTTTTTTTCTCCTACATTGATATTAGGACGTGTCAATCCATTGTAGCGTAACATGTTTTGTTTTGGAGAAAGCCTCATAATTCACACATCAGCTCCGTCCCCGGGGGCTCAGGGGAAAAGAGTCCACAACAAAACACAAATACTAAATGTGGCAGCAGCAGATCCTCTCAAGTTTAGACTCAGGAGCCAAATGTGGTCTAGAAGTTGACTGCAGTGGTCCTCAAACAGGGGACCAGGGAATCCCCAGGACTCCCCAGGGTCAGCACTCAAAAATCCAATTCACTGTACTTGTATCGCACATTTTGTAAACAAACAGTTTCCAAAGTGCTGCATAGTTACTAAGAAATCACACACATCAATAAACAAATATAAAATTAGCTAAAAATATATAAATGAATAGAAAATATATCTAAGATTGAATAGCTATCAGATAATAATGATAATAATGATAAAAGGACAACAGGAAATAAAACTATCCTTGTGATAAACAATTACACTGTTACTATTGGTCCATGCTACAAATAATGTATAAAAATAGTATAGAATGGTAAAATCCACAACAAGTACAATTTTGAACTACTGCATTTTTGAGATAAAAAAATAAAAAAATAGAAAATAAGTTTTATTGCCCAAAAAGAGGAAGTTTGTTGTTAGCATGCTAGTAGTTGATAGCTTTACTGTTACTCATAAACCTATTGAATGATTCGGTTGAAAACGTTTTGTCATGTACATTGCCTAAAAACACATCTATCACCATGGAAACGATCGTTCGACACAGGTTCTTTCAGCCATGCAAACACATGTAAAGGAATTGAATAAAAACAGGTTTAGTGTATGGTACATTTAAAGTCGGACTGTGGCGCATTCTGGGGCAAAGCAGACACGCCAAGCGGCAGAACAATTACATAGAGAGAGCGCAAAATGGGGAAACATGTTTTGAATACATGAAAAAGCATAAAGCATAAACAGAACGTATGAAAAAACCGTGACTAAACACAACCAATTGACTTAACGAATAGTTCCATATTTGTCTCTTTTTAACTTCAATGGAATCCCTGGTCGGATGCTTCTTCGGCCTATCCATGTCACAACAATCCTGCAACTCTATAGCCCCATGATTGAGTTACACTGACTGACCTGAGCTCCTGCAAACACACCACTGCACAAAAACATATAAAAACCTTACATTTTTAAACTGTACTTCTGGTCTTACCTTGACAAAAAGTTCAATTTCTGGATCGTGGCCGTTGCCTGACATGATGCTTGCCTCTGGTTACCGCCCACTCAATAGTTTTCTTTCTACATCTTCCTCAGAATATAATAGAAAAAAAGTTTATGTTTCCGTAATTTCCTGGGGTTGGGGAGTGACGGGAGGTCCGGTACAGTACACAGGTCTGCTCTGATTGATTTTGCTTTAGCACAGATGGTCTCTGGTCTCACTGTCACACAGGGCTCAACAGATGTCAGTCTGAGGCAAAAGGGGGAGGAGCCACTGCTGCATCACAACAACAAAACCAACAAACAATGCCACAATGGACTCTAAGTGACAATCTAATCAAAGCACGTCTCTAAAAAAGGATTAATCAATATTGATTTATGACTCAGAGGTTTAAGAAGTCAATGAAGGGCTTGGGAAAAAATTCTAAATATATATTATTAAATGCTTGGCTGTGAAATGAATAAACAAGCCAGTGTTGGAATTGGATTAGTGATTTGGATTTACATTCTATTATTTTCTGTGTATCTTTAGTCTAATCTAATGATATTATATGTAAGAATAGATCAGAACATTTTTGGAAATAGGTGTATTCCCCAATAATGTTTATTCTATAATTTAACTATACTAACATACTTTGGCAAGACAGCACTGTTAAATGTTACCCAAATTTACATTTTATCACATTTTACAATAATAAAAAAAATCAATAAAAACAAATATGCATCGTTACTGTAAGTATGCTCAGACCAGAATCCACAGACCTGACTTTTTGTTTCCATATGTTATTGTGTTATTATTATTATCATCATTACCTATTTCTTGTATTAATCAATGTCAACTGGGGATACAGAAGAACCTTATTTCTCTACAGGGAGCACATGCAAACTCTACAAATAAATACTACACACATCCCAGGAGTTTTACCATTCAAACTGAGCTATATTTTAGACAGCCCCATATCCATATCTATACAGCAGGTATGCACTTCCATGGCCCACTTAATCCCATCCAAAATGTGAGATGAGCTCCGTCTTGTTACTATTTAAACACACGCGCAGATGTAGCATACATTTTTAACACAGCCCCACCACATGTTTGGGGTTTGACAGCATGTGGCAGGTTACATTGCTTCTCTGTGGGGTATATTTCTGTCTGAATTATAAATATGCTTGATTTTGGCACTGGCTAAGTAGGACATAGCAAAAAATACCATACAAGGAATCAAGCTGTGGAGGATGGATATGCACAAAGACAAGACAGAGAAAGAGATGGAAGACAGGTACTGTAGAGAAAATACGTTTCAAGATGATGCTATTTATAGAACAGCCCCCTCTCCTGGCTGATGCGCACTCATGCAGCTGTAAAGGCGCAGTACCTTGTGGTTAGGTTTTACTAGTTAGTGCTGGAAATCCAATTGTGACTGTTTTGATATATCTTATGATCTGATCCCTGAGGCTGTTCGTTAAATATGGTTCACATGACAAGATTGGATTGAGTTTTAATTATGTTCAAAACGTAAAAATATGAAAATCTGGTCTTTCCAAAAGCAGGACCACACTTAAAATAGGTTTTTTTTTCTTTTGGCCTTGGCTTCTGGTTATGAGGCTGAAATCACTCACTTCTCCGGCTAATCATTCACTCCACATCACACAATGACTTCTGTCTTTTGGGGCAGAACGCCATGGAAGAGATTGCATGATAAAAAAAAAAAAGAAATACTACAGTTCTAAGCTTTTACAAACGTGTGCTGACTTGAAGCTCTGTATGTAAAACTAATAGACTAATCGTTGCAGCACAGATGAAGTTTAAACTATTGGGAAATCCTCTCGTATAGTTAACCTGGAAGGGGTCAAGACTGGAGAGCGTTTTTATCTTAACGCTGACATAATGAGTCAAGATACTTTATCACAAGAAAAGGGAGTTAATGTGAAAATACTGCCAAACTACACTATAGTCGCGCAATTGCACCCAAAATAAATCTTTTAAATAGCAACATTATCTTAACAGTGTTCTTTCACCGTTTTATAATTCCTTTAAAGTAGTCTGAATAGATATTTTTGTTTACTTATGTGGGTGAAGTAGTCCAATATGAGTCCTGTTTTAGCCCAAATCTAGACCTTGAGAAATCCTGTTTCAAAGCAGTATGTGGTGAAGGTGATGCAAGAAAGGCTTAATTTATATACATATATATATAGAGAGAGAGGTACACAAGAGAAAAAATGTCATTGCCTTTGGTGGTCGACTTGATTTGAAAAGTTTGAGAACCAACTTCTGACTAAATTGTTCTAAAAAATATTGATTAGTCATAAATATCAATTAGCTGTAACTGCTAGTAGACACCAAGATCCCAAATACTATTACATCCTACAGCAGAATCAAAATAATGTGCATACATTCTATCAGTATTTTTATTTATTTTTATCGAGAAATATGCAAAAATTGCAGTGGTATTTGCTCTGGTCGGTGGTCAGCCCTCAACTTTCTGTGTCGGTTAATTATTACAAGACGTAGAAGTCAATGACAACATCTCACATCACTGCAGGTGCACTGAACAATGTGAAAAAAATGTATGACTGCATTGCTCTGACAGAAGAGAGGGATTTCTAGTTTCTGTCTTGAACGTTCCACAGTGTCTCATTAGACGTTTCCATGAAGCCAAAAAGCCACCTCCAGGCCACAGTGACTGAAGCAACACGACAGTCTCAGCTCAATGATCTATGGAACTAAGTACAAATTGCTCAAATCTTGTTTTAAGGCATTCAGAATGTACTCCAATGGGTTAGAGTTAGTGTAAGGGTTAGGGTTAGATCTTTTTAGAAAGATAAAAAACACTCTATTCAAGCAATTATTACCTCATATATAATCATTTTTTGCAGTGTGTGGACCCGGCTTTTTCTCCAATCAGAGTAGTCTTCTGGGGTATGATTCTATAAGCTTTGCACATCTAGAGATTGAAAGTTTGGCACATTCATCTTTTCATTTCTACTGGGCTGTGTGTTCCTCATTCCTACTGTTCTGTAAATTGTGATGCAACACTGAAATTTCCCTGCTGTGGGATGAATAAAGGATCTCTTAATCTTAATCTGTATATTATATAGATTACTCAAGTATAACATTGTCGAACAGTTCTTAAATATATTGTCGAACAGTTCTTAAATATAGATCTTGTAAACTGTGTCTCCAGATGTAAAAAAAAACCCTTTCATGTACATCTAAAAACTAGAGAAACGTCACTGGTCTATTTTTTGTTAATTTGTGGTTTTGTGGTGAAACATATTATCAGGGGAGCAGCAGCAGAGCTAAGTCAAAGTGCAGTTTTATGTTCCCCAGAAGCAACAGCTTTCACTTCTGAGCGGCTCACCTCAGGGAGACTCAGGGAGACTCAGGGAGACTCAGGGATGTAAGAATCCTTGTAATCAAATATTGTACAGAGTTTTTTTTTTGTCTGTTCTGTTTTCGGGTTGTACTATTGTGTTTTTGTTTATATGTTGTGTTGTTTTTGTGTTCTTGTTGTAGTCTGTTTTGTTGTCTTTAATAAAAATAAAAAAAAGCATATATTGTACTGGATTTTTTTCATATTGAAGTACATTTAATGAAGTAACATCTCAGCTAAAAGACATGACAAGACCTTTATAGATTGAGAATAGAAACTTCTCTTTTAGACGCTCCTCTTTAAAACACAGATGAGTGATTACCGTGGTTAAATAGTTCCTTGTGTGTGAATAGTTTCTTGCCTGTTAAATCTAATGCAGTTGTAAATCTTGTTTTACTTCTAGAACCAGAGTAGACTGTGAAGTGGGCTGGACCTCCCACTCTTTGTGTAATTTACATTCTTGTACAAAAGTATTGCTCATACATTACATTTTTTATAATCCCATGGCTGTGGTTGCAGCCAGTCATTCTCAAATTTTGAAGAAGAAAAGCATTTTAAACCCATCATACAAATTTATTCTTTTTTTTTCCACATTCAAGATTTTAAATGAAAAAGATAAATTGTCTTCTTATCACTTTTAATGGACAACAAATATACGTAATATGTGTTTAACTCCTGAGTAGCATGAAGAGGAACAGAGCTGCACTCCTGATTGGCTCTGTGGTTGCTAGGTCGTTGCTATCCCAAAATCTAATTCTAGATTCCCATCCATACAGCCTGTTTTTCCATGAAAGTTCACGTCAGCACTATACCTTTAAGTTTATACCTTTAACAAATGTTTTGCCCAAATCAAATGTGAAATCTCTGTATAGACAGTAAATAATTCCCGTCCCGAACATGGCTCCAACTCTTACCTTGACAAACAGGGAGATCTCCGGCTGCGTGGGATCGACCGGTGCCGCGCTGTCCTCGTCCACAGAGATGCTGTCCAGAGTTTGGAGGCTGAGGTCGATGAGATCTTTGGTTTTCTGTTCTTCTGTGTGTGCGGCCTCTGCTCCCGCCTCCTCCTCCTCGCTCAGATGGAGGTGGAGAGGGGGGTCGTCACACGGGTCCGCAGCAGAGACCGAAGAGGCCGAAGAACTGGACGATCTCCTGGAGTTTGACCGATGCTCTTGCTCTTCCTGCTGCTCCTCGCTGTGATCGTCGCTGTTCACTGTGGAAAAAAGAAACAGGGGCAATTCATCCTCTGCATTTAATAATAATAATAATAATATACTTTATTTATATTGCACCTTACATTTCCAGGAAACCTCAAAGTGCCACAGATTAAAATAAAAAACGTTTTGACCCATCCTGATGCCACAAGGCCGTTAGTTTCATGGTGTGAATTTTTTTATTATTGTGTACTTTTTAACAATTTTTTTTTTTTTTACTTCCTGTCTTGTTCCCTCGATTGCTGATTGTCTGCCTCGCAATGAACCATGTGCTCGTCCCCATTTGTTGTTGGTCCATTGTCTTTGTTCGTCTGTTTTTCTGGTTCCTGAGTTTCATTTGGATTTTTGGTTAGTTCTTTCCCTGGGGTTTTATATATTTTCTTCATAAAATCATTATTTTTGTATTCCTGCTTTTTGGGTCCTTCACTAAATTTCTCCTCGAGACAGTTAGGGGGTCTCAAAGGTTGTTAAAGGCATTGGAGATCATGTATCTAAACTAAAACAAAACTGTGTCAAAGTAAATAAGATAAGATTATTCGTCCCACAGTGGGGAAGTTTCAGTGTTGCAGCGCACATACAGGACAGTAGGAGCACACAGGGAGCACACGAAATATACAATATAAGTAGCTGCTATGTTTCTTAGCTAGGTTTGATTTGAAAGACTTAAGATGTCACAAAAAAAAATTACAGCCTGCCGTCCCAGTATTTTGCGATCAACATTAAAGAATAACTAGTATGCATAATGCGCATTCAGTTTTGTCATTGATCTTGAGAATTTGTTTTTGGAATTTAATGTTTTAGAATGTGAAGTAGTTTCATTGGTAAAAATGTATTGAATGCATTATGGAAAAATATATGGATTTGGAAAATATCTTAAGTACTGAAACACATCCATGTGATAAAGAAGTGGGTAAATATATTCAGCTGTTTTAGTGAATATCAAACATGGAACGGTGCAATTGAGGGGATGGGGTTGTAAAGAATTTGAGAATTTTGGAGGCATTTCCAAAACCAAAGCAATACTTTTGTTTTGTTTTTTTAAGTTGTGAATCTATTGCAGCTTCTTCCACTGAGGTTCCTCTGGGCACTTCATACACTTCATGTTCATAAATAATCCAATTTAGAAAGTATTGCGTCTTATTCACTTTTCTGTCTGAAAAAGTTGATCTCATGATGTGAAATATATTAATGTGAAATCTAGTGATTGAACCATAGAACTGGTTTAGAGCAATTTCTTTTTTTTTTTACAGAACAACAATAACAAATTAACATACAGTTTGTGTAAGCCCTCAGTCGTACAGGGATTAGTCAAAGCAAAGGAAGGTTTCTCACCCATCATCTGTACTTCTTAGCAAGTTTTCCCGACGTTTCGTCCTCAACCTGGGGACTTCTTCAGGGAATGAATTCTCAGACCGCGCGTTGGAGATTTATAACCTATGGGTGTGGTTAGCCACACCCTAATCCTGATACTAACTCATAAACAATCTACGGTCTGCTTGATGTAGAAGGGAGCAGGTCTAACGACCCTGCTGAGGCTAACTACCCTAACTCCTTAGCATGTCACAGACCTATTGTCTGCTGGGATGCTCAAGTGGAGTGCAGGTTTCACCCCTCCTAACTCATTAGCATGTCACTGACCTTGTCCCAAGTTAGGGCGTTGTTTTTAGGATGTCGTCATAGATGCGAGGCAAAACAAATCTTAACCCTCCTCCTCTGTTAAGAGAAGGTTTCTGTTTCCTCACAAAAATAGCTTCTTTCACCCCTCTCTCAAACCAATTCTTCTCCCGAGCCAGAATTTTAACCTCTGTATCATCCACCGTGTGGTTGGAGGCCTTGAGGTGGAGATGAACAGCCGACTGTGGCCCACTAGAGTTTTCTCTACGATGTTGGTAAAGTCGTTTCTGTAGAGTTTGTTTGGTTTCTCCAATATAGTGGTCAGTGCACTCCTCTTCACTACATTTAATTGAATACACCACATTGCTCTGTTTGTGTCTGGGTGTTTTGTCTTTGGGATGCACTAATTTCTGTCTTAACGTGTTGAAAGGTTTGAAATACACAGGGATTTTGTGTTGCCTAAAGATTCTTTGTAGTTTCTCTGAAACTCCCGCCACATACGGTAAGGACACCCCTCTCCTCCTACTTTCTTCTGTCTGTTGGACTGTGTCTCTGGCCTTTCTCGTCCTTTGGGCTTTAGTAAAAGACCACTTGGGGTAGCCACATCTGGAAAGTGCTCTCTGAACATGTTTGGTTTCTCTGTTTTTTCCCTCCGAGCTCGTGGGGACCTGGTGGGCTCTGTGTTGAAGCGTTCTAATGACCCCGAGTTTGTGTTGTAGCGGATGATTTGAATCAAAAGCCAAGTACTGGTCAGTGTGAGTGGACTTTCTCCACCTCAAGGCCTCCAACCACACGGTGGATGATACAGAGGTTAAAATTCTGGCTCGGGAGAAGAATTGGTTTGAGAGAGGGGTGAAAGAAGCTATTTTTGTGAGGAAACAGAAACCTTCTCTTAACAGAGGAGGAGGGTTAAGATTTGTTTTGCCTCGCATCTATGACGACATCCTAAAAACAACGCCCTAACTTGGGACAAGGTCAGTGACATGCTAATGAGTTAGGAGGGGTGAAACCTGCACTCCACTTGAGCATCCCAGCAGACAATAGGTCTGTGACATGCTAAGGAGTTAGGGTCGTTAGCCTCAGCAGGGTCGTTAGACCTGCTCCCTTCTACATCAAGCAGACCTTAGATTGTTTACGAGTTAGTATCAGGGTTAGGGTGTGGCTTACCACACCCATAGGTTATAAATCTCCAACGCGCGGTCCGAGAATTCATTCCCTGAAGAAGTCCCCAGGTTGAGGACGAAACGTCGGGAAAACTTGCTAAGAAGTACAGATGATGGGTGAGAAACCTTCCTTTGCTTTAAATTAACATACAGTTTTTAAAAGGGGTTGGATGAAACAGACGATGATAAAGATTACAACCACCTCACTCACTTGGATAATTTGAGTCAAAATTGGCCACAAAAAACACAAAAGCAATATGTGGATTTTATAACCTACTTATTTTGTGGTTTGAAAGTTATGTATCCCAGCTTTAAGAAATTATTTCACTATCTCAAACATAAAATTGCCATACATTCAATTCATCAAATTTATTCCAAAAAATGACATTATTCTTACCAATCACCCCAGCCTCCGCATGGATCTCGGGCGTCACCTCCAGCACTATGGTCTCTGTCTTCTCCTCAATCTTCTCCTTTCCCTCCTCTTCCTCGCCATCGGACGAAGACGAGGAGGATGATGAGGATGAAGAGGACCGGTCCCGTGCACCCTCTTTAGCCGCGTGGACATGGATCTCGCTGTACAAGTACTCGACCGCTTCCACCTCCTTCTCACGTCTGGCCTCCTCCATGTCCAATTTCTTCTCCTCAATCACTAAATCATATTCGTTTTCCATGATTTTTTTTTGTCTCTTGTGGAGATGTGAAAGATGTGTGTGAGTTGTGTCTGTTCCAGCCCCGACTGAAGCGGCTTGTGACCTGGTGCTCGGGCAAATTCCAGCGTTAACTCATAAAAGAACTTTGATCCTGAAGTTAAAGAGTGATAGAAAAGGGGGGGAAAGCTGCCTTCAAGGACACACAGGAAGGTGGGAGAGACTAGAACCAGATAAGAGAACTTTATCGGCCGTAAAACTCAAATTATTGCTGTTTCGCTACTCCTACATTGAAGGAGTTGGCACAGTATTTGACATTTGGGAGATGAATGCTACAAAGAATCAGAATCCAAATCAGCTACCAATGTTTTAAGAAACATTGGAAAACTTGAGCAGTATCGGGTTACTTTGCAAAACTTGTATACATAGGTAATTACTCTAATGAGTTATAGTCAATGAAAGTAATTCTGTTTACTTTTGGATTATTTTAGGCGTATTATATTATAAATGAAGGGTATTATTTATTTGAACAGTGCAAGAGGGTTTTGCAAGTAACTTAGTCTGATACATATTTTAGTAACTGTTTTATTTATTTATTTGATATAGGGACAATGGACAATAATAAACATATTTGTGAATTATTGTAAATATGTTGGATTATAGCAACAAAGCTGAGACTGTAACTGAGTCCAGGACTGGAGGTTCTATATGTATCCAAATCAAGCTCTTAAAATTATCCATGACTCTTCTGGCCCCTGGAAAATCCATGTTCCAGCTTCTTCCCTCTAGCAGAAGATGTTATTGAAGCTGTTTTTGTTTTGTTGATTGGTTTCACAATCAATCATCAATGTTTTATTCATATTCTATCTATTTATGCTAGTCTGTTGCACACTTGTGACGTTTGCACATGTACTCCAAAGGGGTTTTACTGCGAATGGCAAATAAACTGGATCTGAGTCCTGGAATGAGAATTTGGAGTCTGTTGAGCTCCTGAATTCGCTTCGACAGTAGTGGTGCAACAACAAATAGTATGAATCCTCACTAATAATGAAATAATACATGACATTTACAATTCACTCACAATGTTGTCGCACAAATAAACAAGAATATCACACCGCAACAGTCAGTTTCACATATTTCCCTTTATTTTTTAGAAGACTCTCTGATTGCATTTACAAGGCAAAGATCATATTAAATCTGTTTTTTGAAATATCAATCTTTAAAATCCAAAATAACCAAATGAGAAAATCCTATTCTAACACTTCATAGGAATTGGTTTTTTTTGAAAATATTGTATCTTCTTTATAGACTTTTTGATAAAACAACGTCATAAAATCAACTATTTGAATATAAATAGCTTTTGGAGTTTGTAAAAAGTAGATCACAGTGATGGTTGTCCATTTAGGGTGCAAGTATTTTGGGGCGGAAATTAAAATTAGAAGTTGAAAATGAACAAATTGAAATGTGTTGGCTGATTACGATTGAGTCTCTGTGATTGCGCATTTCTTTTTGGTAAGAGGCAACTAAACCTGTTTTTTTCTTTATACAGCAACTACAAACAGTGCAAATAAGACATGACCTAAAAGCTTCTGACTTGTTCCTCTTTCGGCTTCTTTCTATAATATCTATGTTAGTGCAAATCGGGGGAACAGTCCGTCGGAGCCATGCTGAAAAGTCCTCTTACCCAAGCAATAACAAAACCTTCGTAAAATCCCTAAGACTTAACACTGACTGACAGCAATTGCACTTTTCACAATTCACCAATGGATGGCGCTAGTTATACATATGGACATTTTATCTCTATATTCTAAAACAGAAAATACGCTTAAGACACACAGACAGCTACACACTTAAAACATATAGTTTTAAAAGGCAAATGGTAAAAAAAGTACTTTAAAATGACCTACACATCAAGAAGCAGTAGTCCGGCACATGTAGTGAGTATTTTTGTCAAGTAACATTCAAAAATTAATGCGATATTAGAGATAACAGTGTTTTTGATCCCTGTTTTGCTGATACTGGAAAATGTTTGATGGAAAAATCTGGACTTGCCCTTTTTAAAGAAGACATAACATGCTTCATTGAAATCGCTCGTTTTTAGAAATATAGTACGTTTAAAATGTCATTATTGATCTGATTTAGGAAATATGACCTGAACTAATTCCGTATTGGTAAAAGTGAAAGTATAAAAGTACAAGGTTTTGTATTTATTTTATGAGTAATAAGTAATTTTTTTGTTTGATTGATTGATTGACAGTCAATATATTTCATTTTAACATTTTAAGATGGATTAGGGATTATTTCTTTGTTCCATAAATAATTTTTAGTGAAATGTTTTCAAATCGGACCATAAAAATCAAAAGAAGTTATGTTTTGCACACAAAAAAATGCATGTGGAAATCAGGAGGGGAAAAAAACTTGTTAAATTGTTCGGGGGGTTGAAAGTTAGGTACCCCAGCTTTAAGCATGGCTTTCAAACGCAATTGTATTATTATATAGTAGAAATGTTTCATACTGGCAGAGAATACGACAAGCATGGCTAACATTCGTTCAGTCATTTTAAACTGTATTGTGGATAAAAAAATAAAAAAAAAACAGATATTTGGGTTTAAAAGTAAGGAGTAAAAGAAAAAGTTGTCATTAATATCAAGAGTAAATTAAAGTAATGATACCAGATTAAAAAAAGACTTGGGTAGAGTTCTTAATTAGTTACTTGCCTCCTTTTTTATTTAGACTTTTTCCCGTATCAATCAAAAATGCCTCTGCCACTTTGCCGAATCATCCATGTATAACTGATTTAGAAAACCATATTGTAAAAGTAAAGATACCTGGTGTGATGTGGTCAGTTGAAGAATACAAAAAAAGGAAAAATGCACGAATCACTGAAACTCTAACACTGTATGAGGAATCTATTTTGCATGTTATGTCCCCTTTAATACTGTACATACACTCGTTTGCATAGACTTGAAAGCGATTTAATCAAATCTACTGTAGTATAGTTCTAGCTTTAGTCCTGTCTCGTCCCATCAAACGTTTTTGCAGCAGAAAACAGGTATTCTCCTTCCTATCTGGTGAACACATGATTAGATGAGTCTTATTAAGTGAAAACCACACTCAAATTAAAGCCACTATAGGAATTCAATGTAAAAAATACAACTGCACCAGAGGCAAGCCCAGGCATTTCAATCACACATGTTAAAGGAGACATATTAGGACTTTTGAGACACACTGTACAGGCTTTGAAATTCTGTGGAGAAAGATACTCAGCGAGCGTGTGTGTAAAAAAAAAAATCTTCACGGTAAACGCTCTGCTTTGTGTTTAATCATCCCCTCTGGCTATGGGGGAGAAATACTGCATATGGAAAGTGAAAGCCTCGCCATTTCAAGACAAGTTGGAGACGACATGGATGGGTCTAATATGTGTGTATGCTTGGGTTTCAGAGAGATGACAATGCCTATCTAAACCTTTTTGAATGGAAAAATAGGCAAAGCGTTACTAACTTCTGTGGTGAAAGCTGCGACATTTTCACAGTGATAATTAATGACACCCCTGGCTCATTACTGTGTGAAATCTCAATGAGCTAAAACGGCGTTAAGAAAAGATACGGGTCCACGTTGCCCGATCATCTACGTATCACAGATTTGAGTGCGTGTTGTGATGGTAATGGTCAGAAGTATGAGGGGTGGGGGGATTAGGGGTTGGGCCTATAATAACTCAAACATGAATGAACTGATCCGATTCAAAGTTAAGTTTGTAAATGACAAGGGAAAGCATCAAAACTTGGTTGAGCTGCGTAAGTCCATTTAGCATGTTTTGTCCCCTTTAAATAGATTGCATGAATATGATTGCATTCTTACTGAGCTAATAAAAGCCATTTCTATTGCAATCCACCATTTGGCGCAAACCACCTGCTGGGGTTTAGCTAGAAATGATGTGTGTATCCATGTATTGCATATGGCTGTTTGTTTTGTTGTTTTTTATGTCATGCTGTTATTAAAAAGATTAAAAAGACAATTTTTTGAAACTGGAAACCCAAATGAGAACCCAAATGTTAGTTTGTGGAAAATCTTAAACATATATATTATGTCCATTGTATTTTTAATTATTACACTAAGCTAACCTTTTGTACATGTTGACCTAGTTACTGGGGACACATATAAAAGATGTAGATGTAGATGTAGATTTCACAACAATAATAATTTCTCTCAGACAGATACGATATACTGTATTGCTACAAAGATTGACCAATGTTGATGCCAATACATGACCTATCCATAACATCACATGTCGTCAACATTTCCCAACCTAGTCAGTTTGATAAGGTTAATAACGGTAAAACTCCCCAAATCGCTATCACAATTCAAACACTTAACATGTCTCCTTTAAGTAGAAACAGAATTAGAGGCGTGTTAATTTTCCCTTGGTTCATTGCTAAAACAGCGGCACAGTGGCAGTAATTGTGACCGATGCGTCTGGAGAATACCTCTGGGCAGTTCTACGGGAGCTACACGTGCTCATCTTTTATGCAAACTACTTTATATATGCCTCACGCTGACACGCCGGTCCCAGTGCACGTCCAGAAAGTTCAGATTCACGTCCTCCTGCAGAAGAGGCTGGGACATCTCTTTGCTTCCCCGGGGGAGAGCTGGCAACTGCTTCACCGTGACCTCCTTGATGTAGAAGATGAGAAAGCCCACCACCATGACGATGCTGATCATGGAGCCAACGACGGGCGCGTAGGAGTACTGGGGAATGCGGTGTGGGGGGCTGGGTGCTGGGGGTGGAGGGGCGTTGGACAGGAGATCTCGGACCCGCGACAGAGAGCCGTTGTTGGGTGACGGCGGCAGGGAGAGGATGTGGCACATGAGAGGGTACAGGTCCACCGACTGCATGGAAGGCTGGACAAAATCCTGGCGGAAAGCGGGACCGCGGGCCACGAACACTGGGTGCATGCTGCGTAAGGAGTTGTTGTAGCCGTGGTTACCAACTGTACAACAGACAGGAAGAGAACAGAGGAGTGTTGTAGAACTGCAGCGTTAGTTTTCAAATCAATAGAATGTATTTTTGTATTGACCCAAATCACAACAGCAGTTGTCTCGGAGGACATTTCGGTTCTTTAACGACAGATCAGCACAGATCAAACAGTTTATACTCCGAAATGGAATAGTAACATAGAAGCCATAGCAGCGCAATGACCAATATCTATAAATGTTTATAGATATCATTTATAGATAAACATCTATAAATGTTTATAGATATCCGTAAATGTCCTTAAATGTCTTTGAATGTCTCGGATCATCACTGTCTTTAGATCCACTGTACTTAGAACAACTCAAAACCCAGTGGGAAAGAGATGAGAAACCTTAGAGAGGTCCATATGCTGTAGATACAGTATATAGACCCAGGACTCAGGATGGGTGTCGTCTGTAGGATGGGGTCTTGCAATGCAGGACAACTAGAGCTGCAACTCACCAAAGAATATTTACTAACTATTGTACAAGCCTCTACCCCATGATTATTGGCAACTTTAGTTTAATTCTTAATTGGGCTTTAAAATCCTTCTTTTACATCAGCTTGAAGCTTTGAAAAAAAAAGCTGCGACCTCAGAAAACCCATATTGGCCGATCTCAAAGCTGTCTTTAAAGATCTCTATGCCATACTATACTATACAATACTATACTTTCCTATACTGTACTATACTGTACTAGGTCCCTTCTCTATCCTCCACTGGAGGAAGGACTTCTCCACCCACCTGGAAATAAAAAAATCCTGATTTTCATCCCATCTGCTTCCCAGTATAATGAAGCCTATTTATTGTCAGTTCATAAATCTCAAGTTTACACAATCAGTCACAGACCCTTGTTCATTGTACATTTATGTTGCTGGCGTCGCACTGCTTTTTCTGTTGATTTACAACACTGCGTTTTCCCAGCCGACTGGTCACTGCTAAATCACTCGCAGCAACACTCCTATTTGGAAAGCAACAACACCCATACTTCCATTTTAATATCCGCACAGTCAATTACAGCTATTTATCATTACAGCCTGAGAAGCCTGGCATAAATTATGTGAAATTATATCTAATATAAAGAGATGGAGCCATAACTAAACCCTGACTTGTATAGTGTTTATGTTACGTTAGAGTCAATAAACCATGCCATAACATTGATTGAATTCAACCAGTGACAATTTGTTAATACTACACCTTTGACACTAAATATAGGTATTACTTATACCTTTTTTAATATAACTTAAAGTAGCAATATGTAAGATTTGCATGTCAAGTGATCATAAAATGACCCTAATATGTCAAAAGGTATTAATAAATCATGGTCTTTTCAAATAATTCTTTATTTGTCATTAAGATTCTCAAATCATTCATGACAAAACAAGGGATAAAAACAAGGATTTCTATCGGGGATGCCTTAAAAAAACTGAGACGATTGAAGGTGGATAGGAACTTATTGTCTGACGCAAAACTCGCTACGTTCCTCATTGACAAGTGAGTTAGGCATTGACCTTTTCTTATTACTTGTAATAAATAAAAAAAGAACATTTTTTATATAAACTACTGTATATTGTCCAATACAGTCCATTTTTGTATGTTCCCCGCAACAAATGCTTAGCCCGGTCAATGGGAGCATACTAGAGATAGCCAGATCCATTACACACCGACAAACATGCCACAAAAATATGCCTGAATCAGAAACCTCCTTCCCTGTACGCTGAACTGTTAAATATGATGCTTTTTTTTTGTATAGTTTATTACCATACTTGTGTTGGAGCTTCTACCACAGGACTGCTACTAAGCCAGCCTCTAGAATGGACATTGTCAGCAGTTTTCTCTCCTTCTGCAGACAACAGCTCATTTAACTGCTCTGGCCTTCAATCACAGTGGACATCATGCAGTCATCAGCTGGATAGGGAGGCCTCAGGAAGTATTTTTACTGAGGAGGGAAGATTATATTACTTATATCTTAAAAAATCTATATTTGAGAAACTTTGTCTTTACTATCATATACTATTGTCTAGGTCTGAGCATGAATCATGGTGAAAGAAGGTTTACCCACATCATAAGGGTTCACCCATGTGTGTTTTTGAGTATTAAAACACAAAACGTAAGTGTTTGAAAGTATGTGTACGGTAGATTGTTCCTTTTTATCACTTTTATAATTGGTTTGGTTCTCAAAATATTGACACAAAGTAGTGTATGATAAAATAGCCAGTAAAAGGTAAGTATCTAAATATTAAGCATTATTTTTTTTGTGTACACCAGCCACACCGTTGATGTTTATAAAATGTTTGGTCATCCCCTCCCCATGGGGGGATGACCAATGGTCCCTATGGACCTATGGACCAAGGGCTCCTATGGGTTTGTTCTTATTGTATTTGCAGTATTCGAACTGTTTGATTTTCTGTCTGATCTGTTGTTGGTTAATCAACAACTTTGTAAAGTCCTCCAAGACAACTGCTGTTGTGATTAAGGGCTATACAAAAATTAAGTTAAATAGACTAATTTACATGTTGCTATTCCCAACAGAAAGGTATAAAACGTCTTGTCCGTTAGAGACTTGTAAGAGAGAGCTGATTTTTATAATTATTCTGACTGACAAAAGCTGATCCAAAAAGGCTTAATAATACATGAATGTGAAATCTAGTGATAGAACCAAACTGGTTTGAGAGCGACGAACTAGACAGATTTCTTTTGGTCTGAAAGTTAGAGACCTCAGCTTGCAGTTCTTGCATATCTTCCCTTTTGACGATCTCCAATTATTATAGTCATTATCCAAACATCAGTACGAAGAAACAAGGCTGCAACATGTTCTTTCTTTGCCTAATTGCCACCGCTGCAGGACGGTCTCAGTATTTTTAGCCCAAAAAAAAGGCTCCTTTGAAACTATTCTTAGAGCGGCCGGATGTTAGAAGCTTTGGGATCTCTGCAGCAGAAATCATAACGGTTTGTATACTCACGCATGAAGGGAGCCGTTCTGTTCTGCACAATGCTCCATCCCTCCTGCGCCTCCAGCAGCATGGGCATTATCCTGAGGTGGTGCTGGTAGTGGTAGTGTTCCGGGATGTCGGCCTTCTTGTACACAGCCATGTACGGGTTTGCGTCCAAGAGTTTGCTGTAAACTTCTTCAAACTTTCCTACGCAGAGAAAAGACGAGGAAATGAGAATATGTCATTTAGGGCTGCATGATTTTCAGGCAAAAAATCGATTATTCTGATGATTAGGGTTGGGTATCTTGCCTGCTGATATAGTATACTTTAAACTTTTAATTCGATACATTATAATTCCAAATGATACGATATGGTTCAGTTCAAAATTAAGTAGGGCTGCACGATATATCAAAAAAGTATCGTTATCGCGATATTGGTACATGCGATATCCATATTGAAAATATAGACAGACACATCAACGTTTAACAAGAACAACAAACAAACAAACAAAAAGTATATAAATATATGCATTTGAATGTCATTAATGTTGGGCTTATTTTTGTTATTTATCTCTTGCGTTTCAAAGCAGATTGCAATTTTAGATGAAAGACAAAAATATTGCAATAATATCGTTAAATGTTATATGATTTTTATATAAAAACACTCATATCGAAAGTTGCTCTAATTTCCAATATTGTGCAGCCCTAAAATTAAGGCTTTTAGCTCCTTATCTAACACGCCACAACACAAACAAAACAACCAAATGCTACTGTATTCATTTGTATGTTTGCACCTCTTTTGTATGTATTGTATGTCTGTATTTTCACCAATAAAAATAAATAAATAATTACATAAAAGAATTGTACCTTCCGCTGGGATGATTCCAACCACAGGACTCTTGTCGACCCACGTGTACAAGTCTCTGCCGACGTATTCATCCAGCTCTATGATCTTCTCGTTGGACAGCTGCATCATGCCGTGGTCGCTGGTCACGATCAGATTCAAACTCTCGTACAAACCGGCTCTTTTCAGCTCATTCCTCAGAAATCCTAACTTTGTGTCGATATCTGCGATTATTCTATCCATGAGCGGACTCTCCGGGCCCAGGACATGCCCGCTTTCGTCCGGTTCTTCCCAATACAGCACCGCAAAATCCACCGCTTCTTCATCAGGGCCTGAGAACCACTTGATGACCGTCTGTACTCTGGTCTCAAAGGGGACCGAGGCGTTGTAGGGAAGGTATCGACTCGGATACGCGCCACGGATCTTCACGTCCGACCCTGGCCACATGGCTGCGCCGCTTCTACCCCCAGCTTTCTGGACGCTCACCCAAAGAGGAACCGCGTCATCCCACCACCTCGGATCGTACACGCTGTCCGTCTCCATGGAGAAGGACAGGTTCAGCGCTGGGTCGTACATTTCGTTGGCGACAATTCCATGGGATTCGGCGTACAAGCCAGTCACGAGGCTGTAGTGGTTCGGAAACGTTTTGGTGATGTAGATGTTCTCCACTTGGTCGACCTGGACGCCTTCCCTCATGAGCGCGTGGAAGTTGGGGGTGGGCACGCGGTCGATGTAGTCCCAGCGGAAGCCGTCGAAGGAGACCAGCAGGAGTTTGGGTTTGGGTCCCTGAGTTGGTTCTGGGGTAGGCAGGCGTACGGCGGAGGCCAGGGGCAGCAGCAGCACAGGGATGCACCAGAGAGGAACGCAGGCCAGCCCCATAGTGCACGGTGAAGATGGTGCAGCTGCAACAACACACAAGATGGGAGAAAGATTACGCTTAATTAGCATGTAAGAAAAACATTGACAATGTTGGCGGTTAGAGGTGCATTTGTATGCATTTGATTGTTTTGTCTTTTGTCTATAAGTTTGAGCAATAAGATACTACAACTACATGTTAGGTACATGTCATTAATCTTCTCTTTTTACGAAAACAACCACGTGACTTCAGGCAATGTTTCACATGATATTTGTTAGGGATGCAACAATACCATAGGCTTGTACGACCACTCGTACTCATACCATAGGGCCCGATGCCGGCAACAGATACCCACATTTTTTATTTACATTAGCGTCACAACAGCAGACAGTTGTGCCATGCTGATCTCCCAAAGTCGGCAGCAAGAAGTTAGTGGCAAGAGGACAGGATGTCGGCTGTATGACTGTTTTTAAAAGTAAATCAGAGTGACAAGACTAAAGCAGACTGTACGTTGTGTACGGCAAAACTGCCACGAGGTGGGTCCAAAATAAACACATGTAACACCAGCAAATTTATCAAAAATTTGAAAACTCACAACCACACTATAACACCTTTAGCACCGTAGCACAAAAACAACCAACTCTACAACCAACTTTGGATAAGCAAGAAACGAGGTCAAGCAATAATCCACAAGCAATAAATATCACCGGACTAATTGCAGAGTATATCGCTCTTGATGAAATGAGAAATAAAATATTTGAATTAGTTGTATGAATTCCCAGGGATAATACAATGCAGTACTTATATCGGTATTCGGTATCGACAAGTACTCAAATTAAGGTCGTATCGTTTTTGATATAAGTGGAATGGGTGCATCCTTATTATTTGACGAGAGCCGTGTCTCTTCTCACTGTAAAACTCCAGCTAAAAGAACATAGACAAAATTATAATTGCAATCTTGCAAAAATAATATTCACGCTTTGCGACACTTTTTGTAAATGATATCAGAATCCAGGACTGGAATAATGAGCATGTATGTGTTTATTCATGTAATTTATGTTCTCTTTTTTTAGATAGTTATTATGTCTCATGTTAACAGGCCGACTGTGGGTTGCATTAAGTTATGAACCTTTCCTAATAAACATTACATTCTAATCAACAAAAAATTGTTTATTGCAGCTGAGATACTCAATTTCCTTTGGGATTATTACATTTAAGTAGTATTTCTTTTCTATTTTATGGATTTTATTTAATCTCTATACAGAAAGATATCAAATATCTATTGCACAACCCCTATGAATTTTGGCATTTACAGACAGAATTTTACATATAAAGGAACAAAAAAAGGGGAAGAATCTAGTGATGTCTATAGTACTCTTCGAGATAATCCAGTTTATTTTCCACTTTTTGTGTTGTTTTTTTCTATTTATTCAATGGATTGTTATGTGTAAGACGAGCAAACTTGAATATCCACTATAACATACCTGAAAAGCAATCTACGCAGTATTACATTTCTGGATTTGTTAAGTTAATTCCCCTTTTATTCCAACCTGCAGGACACTGTGCCATCATTGTCAATATGATGAAGTTGGAACAGACAGAGCACCGTGACCCACAAACGAGTGCAGACGTGCTCCTCTCTACAGAAATAGTGTCATTTTCAATTTAGCAAGAAATACAGTTGCTACGATGTCGCACAAGACATTTAAGTGGCTTCTACGGAACAAAAGCAATTCTATACGCACAATTTTTCAGCGTTGCAAAATAATGTTGGTTGGTTGCAAGGCGCGCACACAACATTCATAGCGCAAACAAAGGCATTACGCACAGGCTGATCACAAAGCACACTGGACCACAAAGACATGTCTATGCACAAGAAGGCAGTTTTGAGCAGTATTCATAATGTGTTATTACCGTCCCCTGGTATCTGATCCCGCAGGAGGCTACCGCTGCTCTGCTCGCGGTGATAAGCCAGGGAAGTCCCGCCTCTCTGTGCGTCTTTAGCGCAGCGGGAACAGCGCAAACATCTGGGCGCCTTCACAACAATCCGCGCTGCCAAAAAGCTCCGTGCAAACACTACATCCTCCTCTCGCACTCAGCGTCTCTCCTGCTTCTGCGCGATCCGAGGCAAGTGCACTGGAGCCGGTGATGTAATGGAGGAGGCAGTTCTCTTCATGTCATTACGGGCTCAATGGTTTCAATGACAAGTAGCAGCCACAAGGGGGCAGGAGAGCGCCGGTTTAAGTTCTCAGTGCGTAATACTATTGGAATGACGTGGTTCAGAATCAGGTGACAAAAGTACTAGTATAATAATCCCCTGTACGATTTCAAAACACAAATCAACCGTAAATGCGAAGATAGGGGTATTGATTGACACATTTTAAGCATGACCAAAGAAATGTTTAATTCTGGCAGAGAACATGACAAACAAAACAACAAGAATTATTGAATTAAAAAATGTAAAGTAAAGTTACTGCAAAGAAACTAGTAATTTTTCAAAGCAATAAATTGGAAGAAATGCTTGTTTGTCTTATCTTATGATATAACAATTGATAAATTGTTACATTTCCCTGTGGTCAATTTGGCTAAGACTTATACCATTTTAAACAGGAACAGTCTTCCTAAAAAGTTGAGATAAACTTCAACTCTGACTAAGTTCAAGCCTGGGTTTTCATCTGCACTCTCCACTGTGATGGTGATTTTAATGTGTCATTTCTTGTTTTGAAAAGTATTTGAAGATGCCTTTTCTATGAGTTTTTGATACGGACCAAGTCCTTAGGAATTTGTATTTCTCCTTGCCTCCACTTGTTCAGAAACCTTCACCTTCAGCTGTCTGACATCCCACACCTGTGGAAATCAGATGGGGGGTAAAGGGGCTTGGGTCCAGACCAGGCTCTCGCTCACGCTCCATTTTGACCTCCTTTAACATGTCTGCACACTTCTGTCTTTTGTACTATCTGAGTAAGTAAGTAAGTAATGTTTATTTATATAGCGCATTTTACAGACCAAGGTCACCCAAAGTGCTTTACAATGTTCAGAGTTCAGATATTGTTCCAATCATTCCACACAAGGTGATGACAGAAGCGAGTCGGCCCCCAATCAACACCATCCATTCACTCTCTCATTTACATTCACCTATTGTGCATGTTTTTAGTGAGTGATTCTATCCATGCCACATGTGTGAGATCAATTATATCTGTCTTATCTTATCTTTTTGGACCAGAGGGTCCTGCTGCACCTCGCCAATCTTGAGTCTTTTATTTATTGTGCTTAGAAAAGTGCTTCACATTTATATTTTTGGTATAATAAACTTTTGTTACTTAATAGACCACTGCCTCCGGTCCCTGTTCAATGCCGGTTTAATTAAATGTTTGAACCACAATCCTGTAGCACCTTGTGGCTCCTAACAGTTCTGCTATAATAAAAGTTCTTATAATAGGCTACACAAATATACCATTTACTTCAGTTTTTTGGCAGGCATCTTTCATTGTAGGCATTAAACTGTATAATAATTTTACTAAGTTACAGATGATGTCTGTGGAGAGGAGAGATAACTCAATGTGAGATCAATAATGTATCTGTATTGGCCAAACCTCACCTTAATGAAATACATTCCAAGTAACTCACATTTACAGGTGAAATAAACTTGAGAAATTATGAGGAATTTATGAGATATTTTGAACATAATTTGAGATTATTTTGCATAATTTAGCAAGATTATAATAATGTGTAGTTGCTATTTTTGGCTATAGTTATTTGTCAAAGCCTAATCTTGATTTCGGGAGCTAAGCGGCGCAGGGCCTGGTTTGTGCTATGATGGGAGACCACAGGCTGTGCATGCTGCCAAAGTGCAAACTGCCCTGAGGCAAGTCACTTCACATGTATTGTACTCTACATTATTCTGTTGCATTTGTACAGTTTAACAATTGCACCGGTTTATTGTGTATTTTCTTTCAGTGCAGAGTGAGGGGTAACTACAGGAACAGACAATCCACTCCTGTGTTTTCTAGTGGGACGCTGCACTGTACAACTATGGGGCACTCTTTATTCTTTGTAACACATTCACTGTTGTGTTTTCTGGTTGCTACTTTGATTCAAGTCTAGTGTGGATTGTGTGCGGAGTGTGGAGTGTCGTATTTAGTTTTCAACCGAGCAATAATGTGTGAGCTAATAGTATGTATTATGAAAACAAAAACTATCTTCCTCTTCAAACCAGCACTAGAATATTCATTGTGCCTGATTAGCCAATAGGAATCCCCACAAAATAAAACATGTTTTTGTAATAATGTTGGTGTAAAGTTAAAGCTGGAGAATCTAACTCTTAGTTCCAAAGATTTTACATTTTGTTCGTCCGTACATAAAGAGTCATGGAAAAGTAGAATGTTGTGAACCCCTCAGACATGTCTTTTTCTTATTTAGAAACATATTTTGTATACTTGTAATAGCCCTGTGAGTCACTATTTGACTCGTCGGGATGAGAGCTGATGAGCCATGAGGAAAGTCAACTGACTCAGAGCAGAAATTACTAAATAAAGCTTAAATCATGTGAGATGTTGTGTGTAACCGTATATCACAAAACAGCAGCCCAATCATAATCTTTGAGTTTATCCACATTGTATTGGACAAAGACGAAACCAAAAGGCCAAACCACATCAAGCACTAATCAATAACTGTTTTTAGAGCTAGAGACTAGTTAAAATATCGTTTTTGTGGCTTGAAAGTGATGTGCTCCAACTGCTTATGTAATATGTATTTTATGAAGTAAATGATTCATATTGAAAATAAAAAAGTCTAATATATTTCTTCACGTAATAAATACGGCTAAATGCTAAACCAATTGCGTTCAGAACAGTGTTGGCACAAAGCAGGAACATTTCGGTGGGAAATTATTACTGTTTTGTGCAAACATAGTAGTTTTTATAAATTATCTAATTCATGGGGGAACAACATTGTAATCAAATCTTTCTCATTTCATTCAACTAAAGCTGGAGTATACCTAACGTTTTGTTTATTTCAGTTAGTCCCAATCTTGGCTTTTTTCAAATAACATGTTGTGAACTAATCAGACCATGCTGCATCTTATTATAAAACATTTGATTTGTTTACAGAGAGCTGATTGTTTGAGTGAGGGTGGTCCTCTCTTTTTCAAATTTCTGTCTGAAAAAGTTAAAGTTGTGACAGAGGCTAAAGAAGATGCTTTTGATAACTATTACCAAACTCGTTTTTACAGCAAGAAACCTCAGAGCAATGGCTTTTACGCAACCCAGCTTTAACAAGTCGATTAATCGTTTCAAAGCTCCTGAATAACGCAGTTCTTTTTGTGGCAGTTACAGTTTCACAATGACTTTTCTGCACCTCTTTATGGCACTGTCCTTTGTACCTCACATTTCTGGCGCTTTTTACGCTTTCAATCCCCACCACCGCGCGCCGTGTCCTACATTACCCAGATGCACCTAGAGTCGGCCCGTCTTTCCATTGGCCCGTCTCCACTTTCCCTCGCTACTGGACCCGTGCGTAAAGGTCTGTGTGCAAAGACTGCTGAGCCAATCACCACCGCGGACCAATCACACGGACCAATAGCGAGTGAGCAGCGAGAAGGATTCGGCGCGCTCTATCCAATGGCAGTGCGCGCTCCAGACTTTTGGGGAGTGCATATAATCAACATATTATCGAAGGTGCTTGGATATTGATCCTGTATTCCGTAGGTATAGCACGAAGCCCAGCTCATTTGGACGTCTCGCTTTGGTGCGCTCAGACGGAAACGCGCAAAACATGCCGAAAAGAAAGGTGCGTATCTGTGGCCAGCGTGCCTCCTGCTGTAGTTTTTGGGTTTTGACTGTATAGCGAAGGTGGAATAGTGGCGCTGCAAATATGTGACGACGTAAAGGAGAGAGGGAGAGGAAAAGAGAGAGAGAGAGAGAGAGGAAATAATCAGGTGAGAGCGGCGCAGTTCTTAAGCCAAAGTTTCAGGAAGCCTCTCGTGTCTTCGTGTCTTGACGCACCACGCACGCTCCCACATCTAATCATTCATCTCTCTTCGTGACAGAAATCTCTTACTGTTTGTTCATGGCCATTGCTGACGGGTTTTTTTTTATGTGGCACTTCCCTATATGTGTGAAATGGGAATAGTCTGAACCAGATATAGAGACGTGCCCATTGAGATAATAGCTGTAATACCAGATGAGTCTATATTTATACTTTATACGTGTTATTCCAACACACGCACAGGTGATGATATAGCTATTCCATGGTTTTAGTGGAGGGGAATAGTGCGCGCGCAGAAAGGGGGGTGCCAGGGGGGCTCAGCATAGGCATGAAAAAGAAAAGGGTAGAGACAGGGTTTTAAGAGACAATCGGTGCTGTTTTAAAAAAAAAGATCTTATAACAACAGTGCGCAACGAGCTTTTTCTGCTGTGTTTAAACTATCTTTGTCCGCGCACATTTGTCTTTGAGGGCAGTGAATGGGGGGGGCCTCGAGGGGCGGAGGTCGTCCATGCAAATGATGCCACCAGCAGCCAACCTGCAGCTAAAACAACATTTTCCACCCGGGATGGGCTGTTACCCCCCACCCTCCACCCATCTCATCTCTCACAACTTATCAGCATGTTCATTCATATCAAGGACACAAAGATGTACTGGCTATGTTTGATAATTTCCATAACGAGAAAAATACTACTTTTGATGTTAAAGCTGGGTTACCTAACTTTGAAACCACAAACAAATAAGTTGGTAATTAAAAAAATGATCTATGTCTTGTTCTTTCCTCTCAATACAGTTTGGTTCAATTACATGCCTGTGTTTCTGGCCTTGGTCACATCACATCTCAACTTTTTCAGACAGAAAAGTTACAAAGAGAAACCCCAATCTCACTCAACCAATGATCTCCCAGCCAAAAGAGTCAAATATCAAAATACCTTTATCTGCTTATACAAACAACAGCTCATTTTTTAATGAGAATGTTATTTTAGGTACTCCAGCTCGGATCATATTGGATATTATTAAAACTATTTAGCACCCGTTCATATAAAGAGGACAATTTTACACTGGCCGAACTTTTCTTTAGTTTCCATATAGTCCATATAACAGTCAAAATCAACTCTTGTAGTTTTTTTTCATGTCATTCAAGTTATTACCACTTCTTTGATATCATATTGTGGCGGAATTGGAATCATTGGTGCGTGATGTCAGATGGGGAATTCTGGTCGTTACTCTGCTTTGTCTGAAAACAAAACTCGGCCCCAGATAAAGCGGAAGAAAATGAATGGATGATACAAAAATTGGTGTTTGCATAACATTTAGTAAATTTTGTGCTGAATCTTTAGCTGTAAAAATGTGTTTTAGTTCATCTGGATTATGGTTAATGCAGTTGTTACTCCATGGTCCGGCCCACATGGAACAAAAACTGGTCCGTCAGCAAAGATAATCTTTTTTTAGCGTTTGGAAGTGGTGCCATTTTTCAATTCCGAAGAGTGTTGTCAGGAAGGATTATATTAAAGCGCTTATTATATTGTTAGAATTACTCGAGAGGAATTTAGATTTAGTTTTACTAAAACAACGCGTGGATATGATTTTGAAAATATATGCTCAGTTAAGGTACTATAGATGTTGTAAAGTGCTTTTCGAGACCTTGTGAAATGCTCTATATAAATACATTTCATACTTATTTACTCATTTACCACATATAGATTTAGAAAAAAGGGATTGGAGGAATTAAGTTCAGTTTGTGACATGGTTGAAGTTGTAATTGTGACGACAGCAACCAGGAAGTACATTTACAATCTCGAGCAGGGTTCTCCAACCTGTGGCTTGGGAGCTACCAGTAGCTCGCCAGCCGCCTTTCAGGTAGCTCCTCAAACGATTTAGAATTTAACACATGATCCTGGATAAATATATTTTGAGTATAAGTACAAGATTAAGGGTTATACAGTATTATGGTATATTTTACATGTGTTCCGTCTTGTCGTTATTATCACATATATTTGTATTATGACTGCAAAAGTCTTCTATTATATAAGATAATATAAGATAAACTTTATTGATCTCACAATGGAGAAATGTACAGTATCTATAACAAGTATATAAAAGTAGCTGTACGATTGAAAAAGGTTGTCGACCCCTGATGTAGTGAGTAATGATTTTGTCGTCACTGCTTTGTTTACTGCTTGTCTAATTAATAGTGTAATTCTTTCACAGTCAGAGGGTCCCGAGGGAAAGGAGGCCCCCAAAGTCACAAAGCAGGAGGTAAACACCAACGCTTTGGCCTCTTTGTGAGTGTGTGTGTGTGCGTGTGTTTTTTGTGTGGAGTGCAATAACAACAAGTGTGTGCCTAATATTACATATCAAAGAGGAGAAGATTTAGTTCTGGTTAATACGCAGTGAATATAGTGAGATATTTAGTTATAAAGTTAAAGTTTTAAGTTAGACACAGGCGGTTAGATTCAGCTAAGATATTGTAGAATGTGTAGAATTGCTGTTTATGAGCCTTTGTTTCATTATTGTATATTAACAAGCAATGCGACACTGAGGGAAAGGGTCAAATCTCATTAAAATAGAGCCGTTTAAGACCGTGTCATCCAGCTAGCTTCAGCTTGGCCAATAGAGACATGCTATTTGTAAAAATGTACGCTGTAAAGATGTATGTTGTAAAGTTGTACGTTGTAAAGCTCGGAACCTTTTGAATCCTGACATTTACCTGTGATTATGGCACAAACTTTGGTTTACGGCACTAATTTAGGATGAGATAAACTTTATTGATCTCACAATAGCTGCTGAAGAAGAAATCATGTTGTCATTCAGCCAACTTCAGCCCCCTGGATTAGTCTGGTTAGCGAAAGTGGCCCTCCGACTCTAATGTTTGAACACGCCTGCTGTAGAGTGTGCTATTTTGCAGTGTAGAAAAAGTGCAGGATACAGTAGATTCATAATAAAGTCACTTCCATCACAGCCTCCACAGCACTGACCTCTCTGTCCCTGTCCCTCTGCTCTCTCTTGTTGACCATGCTTTGCTCCGCAGGCCGTTCGGCGGTCCGAGAGGTTGGCGGTAAGTGTCCCGTTTACTGCTGCTACTGTCTTCACCTCTATTCTTCCCCTGCAGTTATATATGTGTGTGTTTGTTATATATATGTGTGTGTGTGTGTTATAATTGTGTATATATGTGGGTGTTTTATACCGAGGTTCAGTGGATGCATTTGATTCATTTAATCAAAAACATTCTACAGTCTGAGCTGGTTTTTTATGTTGTATCTGGTCTTTTTCAGTGTTGTCTGTTTTGCGGAGCTGCATCGACCAAACTTTCAGACATGAATCCAAATATCCAAATATATATTTAAAAGAATAATAAAATTGTGCACCTGTCTTAATTTTCACTGTATGCAGAAAATGTATATTTAAGGCCATGCTAGAATGGAAAACTTACATAGTGCACCATTCATCTTTCTTTTTTTGCAGTTTCCAAATCTATCAGACATGTGTAACTTAGATAAATAACAAAAACACTTTATATAGACTGTATATCAGGGGTCTCCAACCTTTTTCACCCACTCAAGCCACTTTCTCAGGACTAGAATGAGACAGAGCTGAAAGGAGTCTATTGAAAGATCAGAGCAACCTTGGATGGGGTACAGTTACTATCAATGTCATTTTTTCTAATTTTTTTACACTTTTAGTTTTACTGCGTTTAGTAAAAGTTTTTAAGTTGTGGGCATGTGAATCCTCATGTAAATAATGTTTTAATATTCAGTATATTTATGTAAAATCAAAATCCTTTGGGGAGCTATACTCGGAAGGGGGTGGCGAGCTAGTGGTATCTCCCGAGCCACAGGTTGGAGACCCCTGCTGTATATCGATGGTCAATGCTAACCCCTGAATTCAATCATCCTCAATAGAGAAGTGCTGGTGAAGTTTTGCTCCAACTCCAATTGATTCACAACTCTCAATAACCGGCAACTCCAGCCTGCCTTATCAACCATCTTAGCAACACGCCCGTTCCTGTCTCAGCTCCAGCTAGCTTAGGATCAAAACGGCTTCTTCTGCATTTGCCAAACACTGTGGGTGATGCCAGCACTCAATCAGTCTACTCCTAATATACAAAGAACTAAAATAATAATCCAACAGATTGAAAGTAAATATTAATTATCACACTTTTTTGCATATTTTCTATTCTGATCCAATATTGACACATTGATAGATTATAATGATAAGGTTTTCTTCTTGAACACGGCATGATTTTCACCTTGAAACTTGGGATGCAGCGCTCAGTCAGGCTGTCTCTGTCTGTTTATACTTTGCATGTTCTGTTCTGTGTAAATGGGCGTCTTTGTGTCTCATTTGCATGTTCTCAATCATGTAACACTATACCGGAAATTTCACATAAAACCATCATGTATTTTGTATTGATCCAACAGTTTCAACTTTTTGCAAAATACTGGTTATACATTTGTAGCAATTGTATGTGTTATGGTGCAGATTGTGCAAGTTTTTTTTCTTGAGCAGAACATTGAGGATATCACATCTTTTAACTTCATCCCAACAATTTTTGCCTCGAGATCCAATACTACGGTTTTGCCAAGACCTTAAATTTGGCTTTAGTGCAATCACTTCAGGCTGATTGCAGTGTCCAAAGTTATTCAGCGCCATAGTTTTAAAGCTTTGTCCTATATTACTCACAATCCAATCAAAAATCCTCAGGAAATTGACATGGCCTGAATTTTTGGATGTGGTTTAAACACAAATGCTTGTTTGTTGTCTGTGCAGAAACTTGCTCCTCCCAAGACTGAGATGAAGACTGAGATGAAGCCTAAGAAAACAGTCCTCAAGGTAAAATTCAAATGAGCTGCAAATACTGTAGGAATGTGTTCTTTCTAAAGGCGACGTCATGTGAATGCTTTGGGGTTAGGGTTATGCTGTAGTTGTTTTCTCCATTTGCACATTTGAACATGTTTTTAGTGATTTAGTGACATTTTATGACTTTGCAAAATGTTTAGTGGTTTTAAAGTTAAATACCCCAAGTTTGATATGCCTGAAATCAGCAACAGTGACCTTAAAATAAGGTCACGATATGGGATAAGATACAATAAGTAACTTTCCTAATCTATTATTAGACTAGTGCAATTACTATACAATACTATAGTACTATAATATACAATATTTAAAATCCTAATCTGTGAAAATAAAAAAGGAATGAATGGGGTTATATGCACCCTCAATTCAACACCATAAAGTAGCTCTCGAACCATTTGTTAATCCTTAGCTTTAAAAAGTTTGGTGACCTCTGTTATATATGATAGCAATGTAATTTACAACTTCCATAAGGCACAGTTACAGCCTTTGAAAGTGTTCCCACGGCTCTGCCTGATTATCGGGGTCCAACTGGAACCTTTAAGTGGTCAGACCGGTTTGGGAGCAATACAGGGTCTGTTTTTTTCTTTTTTCTTAAAAAAGCAAAACAAAACATGTGCTTTGAAAATATACTCATAGATTCTCACCATAGCAGGCCGAAGAATGTTTCAGATAAAAAAACACTTCTTAATTAAAAGCAAAGACATTTATTCCAGTCTCAGTTGGCCCATTTATTGTGTTTGTTTTAATAGAGTCATAAGGATTTATATCCACATAAGAAGAGTAAAAAGGCGAAACAGATTCAGTGAAAACTGAATCTGAACTGTGCTGCACTCATGAAAGTCCACAATAGTGTCCTCAGGACACAGTTCTTCCCCCAAAAAATTGGATATTAACATGTTATCAACATAACTATGTTTTATTCAACATTTCTGAGATGAATTATAGGACTAGCAAGTCTTGAAAAAAATCTCATCTGAATTGAGTGACATAAAATCCCAAACTATGTTATATCAAAGCTCCGTTGTTTTTTATTTTATTTATCAGCTCTGCTTGTGTACTTTTGGGAAAGCCTCAACTAAAACTTGTTTTGGGCTCCTGGATTTCTACATATGCCACTGCTCCAACAGAGACCTACATGTAAAAATGAAATTTGGTGATCATGAACAAGTGAATTAATGTGAAATATATTGATGCACAAGGTTGTAAAGAAAAGCGGAGTGAGAGGAAGGAAGGACGACGACTTTGCCCACAACGGAGATGCAAAGGTAAGAGCTCTGTTCACTGCAAACGTTAAAAAGTGCTTGAAATGAGTAGTTTTTATTTTGAGTATATTTTCTTTGGGTTTGTCTGGAACTATCAATGGAAGTTCATGAAATTTTGTGTGGAGGGAAATAAAAACAGCTCTAGGTTAATTTTGATGCAGGAATCCATTTTCAGAATTTGTGTCCTTTTTTTTTCACAAATAATACTGTTTTTTCTCGACACAATCGTTTTGTGAAAGTAAAAGGCTGCGTGCAAATCAGACCATAACATACAATCTTCATTGTATTAGAAAACATGTTATCTGCTTACAAAAGAGCCCTGTGAGTCACCAATTGACGCTTTGGGAAATAAATCTGATTGGCTGAATGAGGGTGGTCCTCTCTTATTCACTTTTTTGTCTGAAAAAGCTGCTCTAAAGATGTGACAGAGGCCTAAAATACATGTGAAACTAGTGATACAACCACATTTTTTTGACAGTGAGACAAATTATTTATTTTTGTGGTTTTAAAGTCAGCCTTGTGTACCACAACATTGAAAAAAACCAAGATATTTACTCAATTCAAGCAATTTTTAACTGTTTTTGAATCCTATTTAATAATGCTTTTCCCCCCAGTGATCAGTTTTATAGTTAACCTAATATCGCTTGTTTTGTCTAACTGTTATTGCACGCACACACACGTATTGCACAGATCTATGTGCGCCGTCCGTGCGTGCGAGTGTCGGCCAATAGAAGCACAGCGCCCTCTCTGACATCTGTGCGAGGACAGAGCAAAACAGTCCAAGTGAAGGGTAACGACCGCTGCGAAATCTCCACGAGTGATTCATACTAACATGGTTTTCATTCTACTTTTACTAATATTACTACTGTGTGCTGTGGTTGGAGTGCTCAAAACATTTATGAAAACTTTAGACATAAACACCGACAATTAGCCTCATGGTGAATTATGTGAATACAATTTGTCCGTGACTAATTTCCCTTCAGTTTAACGATAAAGTAGAGCAGGGATAATTCAACTCGGTCCAAGTCTTCAGGATAAGACTGGACTCACTTGAGGAAGTTGGTGGAGTCTGGTGTGCTCCTGCTTGGTTGGAATGAAAACCTGCAGCCAAACTGGTCTTGTAAGGACATCCCCTGAAGTACAGTATATCTTAGCTAGCTTACCTTACCGTACATTACAGCGATTCAGGGCTACTTTTATCACTGAGGGCCGTACTTTTAAACAAGTTCAAAGCGCAAGGCAGCAAATCAGAAAGCTTTCAGTAAATACAATCTAATATCTGGGCGGCCCTATGTTTTTAATGATGTTATACTGATAACACACTCTACAGTTGAGGTCACGCACTCAGACAAACAGCCGTACTTGAACACCTGGATGAACCGAAAGTCAGCTCAACTTTAGTGTCTGTAAGGGTGCATTCACACTGGAGTCCCAAGTGATCCAGAGTTCACTTTGAGAGAACACAAACTGCTTCAGATGTGGAGATATGAAACCACCAAAATGACTTCAATGACTGCAGCAGGTAACACTTGTTTGGGGCTTCATATCTCCAAACTTGAACCAGTTTGCCCTTTCTGGTTCCCTTAAAGTGAATTCTGGTTCACTTGGACTGAACTAACTGCATTATCTTTTACTTAAGTATAGGGAACAACACATTCTGGCCTCTCTACTCGCCTGTGGATAAAAGCCTTTTCCCGTCTCATGCCATTAGGTGTGGTTCTTTTAGCGTATTGTCCAAAGTTTCCAATTAGCCCCACTCAGTTAGCATTAGTTAATTAGTCAATTCTTATTCATTTCATTAGATTTGAACATGCTTGTCCTTCTGCAAGTAATATGTCTGTCTGAGGAGGTGTGTCCATCTTTAGTAACTGTGGAGTGTGCTGGAGTGACAGTTATTTTTTAATTAGGAGTAGAATTATAAATCACATTTCTTTCTTAGTACATATTGAGTGAATAATGAATTGAGTTACAGCATTATACATCTTTATGAAGGGCTTGTGGTGAAAACTTTTGGGAAAAGACAGAGGGATCCATTCATGTGATTGGTTGAAGAGGCCCAACAGCTTCAGTGTGTAAGTTGATCTAAAATAGTTTGTGTAAGTACATATTGTGTCTGCGATTTTTTGTTGTTGTGTGATATTCACCTGGACTCTGGGAAAACCACAACATTGCTCTGTATTTTATCAAACACGGTTGATTTGTGAAAAGAATTCTGTAAGTACAATTAATATGTGTTCTTATTTGAGATGATGCAGTTTTATTATGTGGACTATTTAACTTCATAAATGTTTTAAAAGAGTCACATTTGCAGAAAGGAGATGAGGGTCCTGGAACGGTTGGCAAATTTAAATAGTGCATAAAACCTTTTCATTGGGACAAAAGTGATACCAGATCAAAATGTATATGGCCTTTTAAGACTATATAAAAGGCTGCACTTTTGAGTTTCCAGACTGGGTAATTGTTCAGTTTGGTGCAAAAAAAACGAATCAAGCTGAATCCGAATCTAAAGAAAATACTTCATTCTTATATTTATTGACTTTAGTGGCATCAAACCTAACCTAAATGGCATTGGATAACATCTTCATAATGTTCAAATTCACAAACTCCAAACCCATTCACTCCAAACTACACTGGTCCATTTTTAAAACATAAGAGTCCAGGACTGTCGGCTTTGTGTGAAAGAAATGACATAAAAAAAAAGCACAATCCCAATTTTTGAGTGATGTTTTGGTTTGTTCAGAGTGACCTATTTCTAAACAAAGTCTTTTCACTATTAGGAATCTGAGGCAGCGGAGGAGGCGACCGACGAGAAGGCGTAATGACATCAACCCCTCCACCCAACGGCAGCAAACGTCTTTTTTACAGACACTTTTTGTATCATGTTGACTTTTATTTTGACTTGTGATAGTTTATAGACAGACATCCAGATATTCACTTTATCCCATAGACTTCACAGACTCCATATCTCTTCCCGTTCTCCTCACGAACTCGTACAAGACAACTTTTTTCCTTTTGAAATCACTGCAAATGCTCTGGATTGTTGTGATTTTTTGGCAGCTTTGTTTGCACTTTGTTCCAATCCTGTGGTCAATATCGTTCAGCAGCATCTAAGGAAAAAAACCAAGGCCATTAGACAACACCACAAAATCTACATATAAAATAAGAATTTGCATTATTTGAATAAAAAACTAGCTTTATGCTTTATGTATTTATATTGAAGAGAGTCATATCTGATTTGAACCCAATAAATACATTACCACATTTTACCATTTTTTTTTCTTATAAATTGCAGTGAACTTTTGAAAGTATTTCTAAACAATCAGTCATGCATACAGGATTTGATCTTATTTTCGTAAATTTTGTGTTTTTTTTTTATTAATTAAAGTATTTTGATCAGTTATTATACATTTAAAAACTACTGTATACTGTATTTATGTACAAAAAAAATACTGGGTGTTCTGACAACATCACTCTATTGCAGAATTGGATAAATGCAGAATTTAAAGCTGCATTACCTCACTTTATTTTTGCATTCATTACGAAAATGTAATCCATATCCATGCAGTGCATTGGGATATACGTCCTTTTGAAGAATAAGTAGCGCTGATTTGTGCTAGCGTGTCTTTTTATTTTAGATCAAATTTTTGTGCAACAAGGAAGAGATTTTGTTTCGGGACCAGATTGTGACCAATCACAGCGGACCACTGGCCCCAACTTTCTTGAGAAAAGCCACAGGTCTCTTGTTAGCACAGACAGCTGAGGTAAACAAGCGGCGGAGGCTGACCTGAAGCTTCCCGTGTCTTCGTTACCGGTTACTGTTTACTCAGCGAAGCAGCCAAAAGAAAGTCTCGTCCTCCACTCTTCTCGGTTCTATCATTCTATGGTCACGCCATCCACGTTCAAATGTGCGATCCATATGGTGAGACAATTAGCATGTGAGCGCAGGCTGAGGGGGAGGGGGGTAGTGGGGGGGGGGGGGGGGGGGGTTGATAGCTTTGTGAGTGCGGGGAGGGGGAGCAGAAAGAGCAAGGCCAGCGCTCACATTCGAAAATGTCACAAAGTGAGTTAGTGCAGCTTTAAGGCAAAACTTACTGTTCAATTCAGCAAAACAAAAATGTTAAAAACTACTTAATGGTCAAATGATTGTCCAATCTGTTTTTACGCACTTACTATAATCCCCGTGCTGTCGTCATTATGTTGCAAATGTATGCAGAGTGAATGTATTAGATTTTCAATGATGTTTATTTTTCTCCCTTTTTTCCCGGATCCTCTTCCCTTCCACCAAACGTCTTGAGTGACACATGCAATAACGAGTGGTGCTTCTGTTCTTTTGACTAGTTTGACTTTTTTGATCCTGTGGGCTTCTACGGGTTTCACTCTGTTGAAACTATTTTCCAAATAAAACTATAACTAAAATGTCTTTGTTTCTAAGTTTTATATTCAACCATTTTGAGTTTCAAATTGTAAAAGGGTTGATTTGGATGTTTTAAAGGTGTCTGAGTCTTGAGCAGTGTGATCTATGACCTTATAATTGTCTTTTGCTGCTGATGTTAAAGGGGACGTCATTTTAAAGACCATTTTACCGTCGTTTCACCTCGCTATTCACACACTTTTTAGAGCGATTTAAACATTCTACGACCGAAAGACCATTGAACTTGCTTCTCTGACCACGGACATGGCTACTTTTCTGAATCTTTGATATGTGGATGATATGGCAGCATTGCATAGACATTTCTGCTCAAAGGAAGTAGAAAACCCCCCCGCTTTTTATTGTCTTTGCTAGTCCCACTGATGATGCGAAAAAAGGGACAGAGCTCAGAGCAATGCGGCAAGACTGAATACGGAAGTGTGCAAAGTCTAATTCTATAGTATTTTTAAAGTCTTCTCTTATATGTGAAAGATTCTCACTATAGCTGCATGTTCAATAGCATGGCTGTAGTTCCTCTAGTGTGTGCAATATACAGTATATCAAAACTCAAAGCTGGAGTACCTCACTTTCAAACCTCAAAACATTGAACCACTGTAACCAAATCCATCTAACTAGTTCCTTCTTCTAAAACAGTTTCATTCTATCACAAATTTTCATAAGCATGTGTTTTTGGCCTCTGTGACTTTTCTAGACAGAACGGTAATAAAAGACAAATCAGGGCTCTTTCTTACAAGTATGCAAAATATAACAAATACTTCTGTTGGGACAGACAACATGTATGATTTATGAAAAAGTGAGTTACCCCAGCTTGCCCATGTCAGGTTTTTTAGATAGAAAAACCTAATATTGGCCCTGTTCTGGTGGAATGACACCTGTTTTAAGGATATAGTTTTGAACTGATGTAGCCACGTCACTGTCCCACTGTGATTCTTTTTGTAGGGGTAGACGATACTCTCTCTGGGGCCAGAACTCCCCTGAAAAAGAGATTCCATGGGACTTTCCTGATTAAATTAAGGTCAATAAGTTTAAATATAAATCTAATGTAATGACATGAACTGGTATTAACAAATATTGATGATTTGGTTAACGGCACTGATATTTCCACAGTCAATTATTCTACACACTGAACCAACATTTAGAGTATGTTTATTTTCTCCAGTAAATAAATCATGACAGTGGTTTATATGGTGCCCAGGGATGGTTGTCGTCACGTAAGCTGACAGTGTGGTCGTGTGTAAACCCAAGCACACAAAGGGGCCGCTCACATGGTCAGGGTAAATACAACTGCAGCGTCAGGAAATGAAAGGTCAGCGTTTGACTGGCAACCCATAGAGATGGACCAAACCATGATCAGACTTGACAACTTGATAGAAAAGAGTCGTAACAAATAAAATCATATACAGATGTTTAAAGCTGAATAAACATAATAAAAACAATAATGCTTGGTTTGATAGAGCGCTGTTCTGGCCACTCAAAGGCGCTTTACATGTCATTATTCATTCAATCCATACACTGTGGTGATAGATAACTATAGTAGCCACAGCTGCCCTGGGACAGATTGACAAAAGCGAGGTAATCAATATACGCCACAAACCATTCACGCACACATCAGACTCATTAATGTGGGTGAAGTGTCTTGCCTAGGGACACGACTACGGTTTGGCACTTTACAGCCGCAGCCGCCCCATTTTGGCACCTGGAGTTCTCTGTGGTTGCCCATCACAGTGCTAACCTGGCTCTGCCCTGCTTAGCTTCAGAGGTCTGGCAGAATCTCACACATTTTGTTTATTTTCAAATTAGGTTAGTGCTGTCTATGTACAAGTTTGCTTTATCGTTCAGCAATACTGTGAAAATATATTATCATGATTTTTGTTTACCTCATTCTGATATCTCGATGTTGGATTATCGACTTTTTAAATTTGATATACAGTAGATAAATGGATTTTTATTACACAGTTATTGTTTTGTTGTTTAATAGATAGATACCTGCATGAGCTCTAATTATGACAAAATCTCATCTTGGTTAGATCTCAAGGACCTAAGCTTGTTATGTGGAAATTCTTTGTAATCCCAATCTATTTTTTAAGTACTATCGTTCTATGAAAAAAGTGTTTTCTTTGATGAAATAGTATCAAAAGCTGTTGTAGCTTCAGATGCAGAGTATACTTTTATTTGACCAAACATGTATAATCAACACCTTTTGACGCTTGACTATAGAAAAGTGTTGACTACAGAAGCCTATAAGGTTAAATTAAAACCATTGCTTTCCAGTAGTGTAGTTTGAATATTCGTCTCTCTCTTGACAGAGCAGCGTGAGGTCGCCTCCTGGTGGAGACCGTCACATCTGCTCTCATATCAGTATCAGCGGATGCAGCGATGATGTGGACGTGTCCTTGAGCAAAACACTTCACCTTGTGCCTTTTGAATAATGACATAGAACCAGCAGGAGGTGACGCAGAGTGGGCTTCAGCACAGTGCCGTTCTACCCTTTAAACCTGGAGATCAATAGTGGTCAAGAGATGAAGTCGATACAGTGACAGGTGCTTTAGAGGGTGTACAATTAGGTGACCATAGTACATTTTCTACTGAAGAAATGTAGGCATATTACAAGTCACATTTACAACAATAATAATAATAATAATTCATCAGCTTTATGTAGTGCTTTTTTGGACACTCAAAGATGCTTCATGTCATTGTTCATTCACTCCAGACACAGCAGTGATAAACTACTTCTAGCCACAGCTGCCCTGGGTCACACTGATATGTCCCCTCCGACCACCACCAACCATTCACACACACACACAAGACTCATCTAGGCAATGTGGGTGAAGTGTCTTGCCTGAGGACACAAAGACAGTTTGGCACTATTACATTAATTAATATTAATTATTCAGCTCAATTTGATCTATTTCTTTCAACGGGAAATACCTACAGGTTGGTGAATGTTTTAGAAATGCATGTAGAGTGGTGGATCTCAAAGTGAGGACGGCCCGGTTGCTGAGTGGATAGCACTCTCGCCTCTCAGCAAGAAGGTCCTGGGTCCGATTCCCGGACGGACCAGGGCCTTTCTGAGTGGAGTTTGCATGTTCTCCCCGTGTCTGAATAGGTTTCCTCCGGGTTCTCCGGTTTCCCCTACCACTAAAAACATGTACAATAGGTCTGGCATGCGCCTCCTGAACTGGCGACTCCGCTCCCATCTCTGTGTGGAGTGAGAGGACAAATGCCCAAAAAATAACAATTGCAAACCGCTTTGTGACTCTGGTCTATGAAAGGCGGTAAATAAAAAAAGATTACTTACTTACTTACTTACTTAGGAAAGCGACACACTAAGGGGGCAAGAAGATTATTTCAATATAACATATCAAAAGATTTTCAGAGTGTTTCACCATAATAATAATGTTGTCAAATAACACAGTAGTTTCCTTCAATACTAGAAGGATTTAGATGTTTTGATCATGCAGTCTTTGGTTTCGACTTTTGAAATTGTTTCTGTTTTAAACACTATTCAGTATAGTGTGTGGCTTGCAAATTGATGACAAGCCTATATTGGGGTCCTGGACAGAAAAGTTGAGAACCCCTGATGCATGGGATTGTCTTTGCTTTTATAATGTAAAGTAAATGATGAAAGCTATTTATGGTGTCAGTTACAGACAATGTGGTTTTGTAAATGAAAACATACAGAGTTTTTGTGTGATGACTTCTGGTAATGCCTTGAGCAACCATTCACACACAAGGCAATACATACCAGAAGTCATCGCATACAATACAGACTAAAACAATCTGGAAACAGAAATAATACCACAACAATGTTCAGGTGAACCTTGGAAAATTAGAATAGTGTTTGAATTGTTTGTATTTTCTTTAACCAATGTCTATTTTCAAAATATTTTAATTTTCTGAGAGGTTTTTAATTGGGTTTTTACAACTCTGAGCCTATGGTCAACACTAAAACAAACAAAGGCTTGATATATCTCACTTTGTGCGTAATCAGTCTATATTATTCATTAGTTTTACATCAGAAGTTGAAATACAGAAGTAAATGGACTTGAATAATGTTTCAATTTCTGGAGTTTCTGGATTTGGACAATTTTCACTCAAACCTTCGTACCAATGCTTATTTTTCTCAACTGATTTTATTAATAGGCAATAATAAAAAGACCCATTGGAGTGTTTTACTGTAACTTCCCACAAATTCCTTCCATTAGTGGGCCACACAGCACAGGACGTGGCAGTGGGTCACTTGTTCTTTGATCCTCTCTGATAGCTCCTATCAATGTCCGATCGCTGTTAAATTCCTGTAACTCACGAGGTTTCTTTCATTAAGCTGCATTCCCCTTAGTTTCGAGCCCTTCCCCCATTTTACTGCCTGCCTGCCACTATTTGGGAGATAGAAATGGACGACTTCTCCAGCGCCAAACACGAAAGTGGGTGTGTTTGCCTGACGTCTTCTACACGATAAAGACATCATAATAGCGAGCGTAGTCATCAAAGACGTGCAAAAAGGGACATTAAACGCATTTGTGTATGTTTTAACAGCGCGCAGAGATACATAGTAGCCAACGTGAGGCGCGAATCTTGCACAATCTCCCTCCGAAATAATGTTTTGCGAGAATCTAATAATTGATCCAACAAGCAAAGTAAAGATGGCGTTAGTAGTGCGTTTATCAAACAGAAAAACACGCCACATCATTGCGAAAAAATAAAGATAAAGTCATTCTGCAGCAATGTGTCCTCTCTCTTCTCGCAAGCTGCCATTTCTAAACCCGAGTGAGTGGAATATCCTTCCGCTGCATATCAGAGGGGGAGGGGATTGAGTTTAGCCCCATTAGCATACAGTCGCAAATTAAGCACGCAATAACAGCTGAAAAAATAATCAGATCAGCGGGTACGTGTTTGTAAACGTGTTGTAAAGGAGCACTGTGGTCGAAAAGGAGCAGATACGCGCGCACTAGTTGCCGATGCGCGGAGGAGGACGTTGTTTAAGCCGAGCCGGGACTTCACGCGGCAATGGGTTGAATGGAGGCAGCTCTTTTCCTGGTGGATAAACAGTGTGACAGCTATAGGGCAGCGATCACAGCCTCTCCAGCGCTGCCCTGCCGAAAACAACCCCCAAAAATGGCTTCAGATAGCGCACACATCGCCCAGCTGACTTCTGGTAAGTACAAAAGGCACTCACAAATGCGTCACTATTGTTTAAACCCCCCATTTTTGCCCGTGCCCTTCTCCATATAACGCAGCGCCTCTCGCCTTCTCCCCAATTCTCTCCGCCAGAGCTCTACTTTCTCATAGCCAGGTTTCTGCAAGCTGGACCATGTCAAGACACGGCCCAGGTTTGATTTTTGATGTTATAAGATGTTAATAAACACATATGAAATAACTACAGGGTGTGATTTCGCCTTTTTATGCTGTTTCCAGAGCCTGATAAGGGAGGTGGAGGAGAAGGAGGTAAGCAGTCAGCAGCAGTGCAATGCTTCCCTATGCTTTAGATTCACGCTACTTTACGTCAAATCACCCATTTCTGTTTCAAAACATCACTTTTGACATGCATGGGCACAATCCTGACACCACGCTGTGTTTTATCCACCCAGCTTCTTCCCAAAAGAGTGGACTGGACAGGGCAAGAACACACTGGGACATACGAGAATTTGGTAAGCCATGCACTATAACTGAGGAAAAGTTTGTACAGAGCAAAATAAGAATTGAATTTCCCGCAATTTTTAAATCAGGTGGTGGAGTTTAAAGGGTGCAAGGCGATGTATGGGGGGCTTGGCTGCTACTTGGAGTGTGTTTGGGGCATCCAGGGCTTGTGTCTGATCCTACTGAGCGATTTGAGTGCGTTTTACAGCACGCACATCCTAATGGTTTTAATAATTGCTGGTAAAATGTGTGTGAAAAGCTGATACGTCATGAGCTTGTGTTGTAGCAGCGAGGATCCGGAGGAGGGACTGCATGCGCCACTAGGCTGAGAATGGAGGCGCTCTCGTCCTGCCATAATGCGAGTGCATGAAAACACAGGGGGCAAAAGAGTAACAAAACACCACTTTTGGAAAGAAATATACACATTAAAAAAGCGGAAGGAGCGCGGGAGGCTTCCAGCGAGTGCCAAGATCGCTGTCGAGCTTTGGGTGGATTTTTTTTTTTTTTAGGGGGGGATTGTGAACTCGGCTCACTCGGATATGGATTTACTGAAATGATTATAGGTAACATCACGCTCTTAAGGTTATATTAGGAAATGATTTGAGACGCTAATTATGATGTAAACAAATGCGATCGTCTGCAAGTCGCCTTTTACGCATGGGGGCGTGGAAGGATTTCACCACAACCTCTTTTCTGTCTTGACTCATGTCGAATCGGCCATCGTACCCAAATGTTGAACTGTTATTATTTGCAAGCGGAGCAATTAATTTATGAATATTGATCAAATACGGTATTGTGATGTTGAAATAGGCGCGTTTTTGGCACCGGGATGTTTTACACTCGACTGTTCTCTGGTGTAGTAGGCTCGACATGAATTGCGCTCTGACCGCGTAGTAAAAGTACACGTTTAAGATATTATTGACAGAACTGGAGTGTGTTTTTTTCTCTCTCTCTCCTGCTGGAGCTCGCCGCGCCTCCTCCTCTTCCTCCTCTCCGCTCGTGTTGTCCAGTGTATGCGCGCGGCTGTCTTTTGTGCATGGAATCATTGTATTTAAACGCATCACTGGGGTTTTTATTCGTAATTAATGATAACCATTTTAGACAGGGATCTCACACGCTGCTGTTAAAGCGTTTTTGGGAGCGTTTTGTGCGCCTGTCTTTTGCAGAGAAGGGGTTTGAACTGCGGCGTGGATCAACATGGCTTCGGCGAATCATTTTGTGATGTTTAATTGTATTAATTGCGGTTAGTTAATTAAGACGCATAATTACACTTTTTGGCATTTTGCCTAATACATACATAGGCATTCACCTATTCACATTATACTGGATTTTGACATTAATTTATCTTAAATCTTTCCAATTATACATGTTTTAGCGATTTTTGGAAAATGGGGTTTTCTTGCACACCTATACATGTGCACATGCTATAGTTATGTGCACGTGTGTAGGGAAATGCACAAGGTTAATTTCTGTCTTTTTATCGATATATACTGTTTTAAACGATCTGGTTCTTCTTACTCATTTCATTGTACTATTGGAGTATGATGAGGTTTTTGTATTTGACCACAACGCCTTAACCTAAATCTAATCAATAGGCTAAATGGGTAGGTATAATGAATCTTGAATCGTGAGTTGGTCTTCAGTGTCGGAAGGCCCACGACTCCAATAGAGTGTGATTCATTACCGAATTGAAGCCAGTTGTTATTACGCATAACTTTGTTTCTCACAGAGCGCTGCGTCCCCACAGAGCGCCTTTAGGAACACTGGGCACGTCTGGAGCCAGTGATGTTGAAAGCAATTAGCGCTTCATTAATTGTGTATATGCGTGCGTGTGTAGGTGACAGGTAAGCGCGCGTGTGTCCGCCTCTTCTGCTTATTGGATCGTGTGGAGACTGGAGACATTTATTGACCTGGAGGATCTACCGAGCTGAGTTTTACCCCCTTATTTTTATGCATTTGTCGTTGTCTGTTCAGCTGCTGCCATGTAGACATATCTTCTTTGTCTCACAGGTCGAGGCATATGTTATTTTGAGACATTCTGTTCAATCCCGACTGATAAAAAAACATGTCTTTGAGCTGTTTTGCTGACATGTCTCATCAAAGCCACACTATATTGTGCTGTTTGAGATGTCCTCCCGTGCAGTCCCCATTCCCTATCTTCTGTTCTTGCTTGATTTTAGCCTATATTCTCACGTGTTTAGTTGAAGTGGGCCAATGATGCGCACAATGGGAGATTCCGTGGTTATAGTGTGGACTTGGAGACACGCGTTTGGTGCGTCGCTGCCACGCCCCCCTCCGCAGCTGTTAAACATATTATTACACGGACTATGCAGCCACATGGACATGACAGGCGCTTTATTGCGTTTGGCTCGTTTACTCTGCATGATGGAACCTTTTTCATCTGTAAAAGCGGATGTAGAACAAATTTGGATGCGAAGTGTGACTATAACCTTGTAATATACTGCTAGTATGAAATGTGGTGGATCCTTATGAAGTTTGGATACTAAATTGTATTTGCAATTGTGAAAGGAACACCGAAAAGACTACTGCCGCAAGGGCTTTATGAGCGAGTGATCAACAATGTTACTGTTCTTATAATGGTAAAAACCAAGGAGATGAAATAATATTTATTTGTCCCACATTGGGGACTTTTTCTTGTTACATTGTACAATAAAGTAGGATTAAAAGTCACACAAAAAGACTAGATTAACTCATAACTGCTTTTCTACAATGTCTTAGCAGGTCTTTTTTTTTCATTTTTGATTTTATTGGATTGATTTGAAAATATTAGGCTGATAATAATACAATTGACAACTTCAATGGTAATTATGAAAATGCATGTAGTAGTTTTGAGACTCATCCAAAAAAAAAATCTGAAAAACAGTGAATATTATCAAAATTGCTTTGTTTTTCATTTCCATCAATAATTTTGTGTCGTCCTTCAAGGCATCTGTTACGATAAATAACTAATTCAATATCTTGTTGGGTCCAGTTCATAAATACTTCTCCATTCATTGGCGTATGTTGTATTTCCCACATGGATCTAATGTTGTTTTGGTTTAGGTGAAACTGTACCGTCACGTCCAGTCGGACCACCTGCTGCAGATCTGCACCCGTGTGTGTCCTCTGCTGGAGAAGGAGGTTCCGGCCAGTGTTCCAGGACTCTGCAGTCTGCTCGGGGCGGGACGGCAGAACCTGCTGCGCACAGACAAGAGTGAGTGACGAGGACTTTGAACGCTTAAAACGTATTCTAATTAATTATTAAGTCTTAAAGGTGTACACGATTCTGAATTATTTTAACATTGTATCCAACGATGTGTACCTGTGAATCATAGAAACATATTTTTATTTGTTATATTTTTATGCACCATGAATACAAAAGCTACTGGTACCTATTTCTACAGTATATATATTACAGTATATATAACATTTTTAGTTTTTCATAATCACAATTATGTTATGAACTATTATAGAAGAAATGTACAAAACAAATATTGGACTTTTTCAGGCTGCAAGCATGTGGTGTGGAAGGGTTCAGCTCTGGCTGCACTTCACTGTGGGCGACCACCAGAGCCCCCCATCATCTTTGGGAGTCCTCCAAACATCGGTAAGGACTAGTTTTACCAAATGTGTCACTTATCAAATGAGAGGTTTTGCCTTTTTGAGGCCTAACCCAGTGTTCTATTGATAGATTGTGTAAACATTCTCACAGATCACAACTGATGATTAGAGAAGCTATAAATCGATTCAATAAATATAAGATTTTCATTTTTTTAATTTGTCAACTCTTTTGCTAAATCACACTGGAGTTTTAATGAACAACTCATCATCCTCAGTCCGATTGACTTTGAAATGATTGTGTAATAAATAAATAAGATAGAGTGAAGAGATTGTTATAGTGTGTGAGAACTGTTCTTCAGTCCTGTCCCTGTCTCAACCTGTCTTCCTCATGTCTTTGTGTCCAGTGGAGACGAGCCACAGCCGCCGTCTGAATGGCTCGTACCGGCAGAGGCAGCTGGTGCCCACAGCTGTGTACCAGCACATGAAGATGCACAAGAGGATCCTGGGACACCTGTCATCAGTGTACTGTGTGACATTTGACAGGACCGGCCGCCGCGTCTTCACGGTAAGAAGCAGCAGCTCCGCTCTACTGCACTCGTCTGTGACGAATCTGAGTCTGTATTCAATTTAGGAGTGATAATATTGGGTGTGGGTCTTATTAGGAAAGACTTTGTCATTCTCTGATCAAAGCAGTGCAAGGCCTGGTTAGAACTGTGATGGGGGACCTCTGCAGTGGGATGGCTCAGGCTGTAAAGTCCTATATTGTCACGACTTCAGGCAATCACTCTTCATGACCCACGCTGCCTTGTGTGTGTGTGTGTGTGCGTGTGAGTGTGTGTGTGAGAGAGAGGGGGGGAGAATTAAGATGGTCCGAGGAGCAAGATTGACATCCTTACTCCAGTCACCCTGCCCAAGGGCAGCTGCGGCTACAACTATGACAGTGATTGGAGTGAAGTGTTCTATAAATATTGTTAGATACTTTTTACCAGCCTTTCCTCTGAGTGAGTGTCAAGAAGGTTCAGAGAAGTAGGAAGATTTTTGTATCTGTGAATGCAAAACTAAATACACAAAATGTTCTCAAATTCTCCTGACTCTGATGAAAATATTAATCCATATGCAAATTCACATTTAGTTAATTTCTAATAGATACAGACATAGTTATTTCATGGTTGTGTCTTTTTTACCACAAGAAATGCATTGATGTTTGTCATATGGCATCTTTTGAGCTTATGTTTGTTGGTTTTGGTGATTGAAATGGCTGTAGCTGCACAAAAGTTAACAATATGGTAAATTTGCTGTTGTGTCATTGTGCTGTCGGTTTGAGGGTTATCTGGACTTCAATCGGTCCACAGCTCAGAGATCCGGTCCCATGGAGCCTGTTTCTTATTAGAATCTAACCCTGGCTAGATCTATGATCTCATGATGGGGTTCCTTCTGCATAAAGCTGCAAAATTCTGTTCGAAATCAAATCAATGTTGCACTTTAACAGTTACAATCATTTAGGAAATGACTTTTCTTTCTCTCAAATATGAAATATGAGACAATGATTAAACATAAATCACATTTAGAATTTTATCACAAAGATTCTCTGAAAAATTGCATAAACGTATGATATTTTTCATCTTAAAGCCCTTTTACTTTTTGTATAAGTAATAAGTATTGTAGGACGAGTTTACTGGCCCAGAAAACGCATACTCAAAGTTGTTCTGTTGTTACTTGCAAGATAAATGTCAGTAAATAAAAACTGGACACATGTTTTAACAATTTAGCAGTGATTTTGAGTTCACTGATACCAGTTCATATCGGGTATCAGCAGATGTTGAAAGTATCGAGATCAGTGCATCCCTAATATCAGACATACACAGGCAGTGAAGCTCTTGCACAGCATCATTTATTATAACCTTGAGAAGACTGTTGCAGCCTATCACACACTTAATATTTACACTATTATCCAAGTCACAAAACTGTAGAACACGGACAGGGATAGAGAAAGGACACGGACGAAAAATTAGCATAATAACACTAACCGGACAACTTACCAGACCTCAAGCTCACAGCGTTTGAAGCTGAAGTAACACAGTATGGAGTTGTACATCTCCAGATACAAGCGCTGAGTCAGAACTGCTGAAGAGGCAAAATATAGTCCGCTTGTAGATTTTTGTCCGATTGACAGAATTCAACTTTGACTTTATGGTTATTGTACAATTCAAGACTTTTAAATTCTACAGTTTTTTGCTACAATCAGAATGTATTAGTTCCAGGGGTTTAACAACTCGCCACACTGATTTGGTTTGATTTACAATGCATTGCAATGTGTAAAATAATGGACATTTACTTAATTATTATATCATTTTGGTCCCAATAGTGACAATTGATCAGTATTATTAATTGTAAGTGACACAAATATTATAAACAAGACTTCATAAACGCTTTGTGTTGCCCTGTGTTTGAAAGGCGCTCTACAAATGAACTAAACTGATAAGATGTTCTCTGCTGTTGCTCTGGGGCTGTGTTCAAATTGTTAATGTTTTTCTTTTTTTTTTGATTGTTCATTGTGTTTATTACGATCAGCTTTGTGCGCACTCTCTGTCCCGGTTGTTTTAAAATCACGTCTGTGAACTTGAAACATTGATCTGTCCTTTACCCTCCCGGTGATCTCAGAGTTGACCATCACAGCCGCAGTGAATCTGAGACGATATGATTGTTTTGAAGTCGCCTCCTGCTTATAATTCTGAGTGTAACGTGGCTGTTGCTGCTGCTGTAAACCATTTCCAGCTGCACTTTTAAAATCTCTAAAAATGGCTGTCGTCTTGGGGAGCAGAACGAGTGTCTCCTTCCTCCTCTCGTCTTATCTCTCACTCACCGCGGCCCCTCCTTTGTTCCTACCCCTCTGCTCACTATTCCTCATCATAAGACAAGAAAATGTTTCCTCCGAGGCTCTGGCTAAGTGCCAAAATTAAAATTCAACATCACCTCTCCTCTATGCCTCCACTTCCTCACTGCTGTTTTCCCTCGTTCTTCTCAGTCTCTCCTGTCATCATCAGATCGTTCTTATTTATATAATTTGTTATTTTTGGATTGATGCGTCCTTTTTGCTGCAGTGGCGAGCGCTGGCTCATTGCCAACTTGCTTTATGTATAATGGCTAAGTACTTTCAAACATGGCATACCTTGGTTGTTACTGCTCCAAAGTCCAGTTGGTTAGTTATTCACAGCCTCTGCAGGGATTTGTGTCTTGAAATGAGGACCCTAACACTTGTTTAAACCACACATCAAAACCAGCATCCGTTTGACTTCCTTTTGGTCACTGGGATCTTGCTCATGTGTGTTAGGCAGGACCATGGGCAGGAGACATACTGCAAAGTTTTACATAATGTCCCTTCTGTCTAAATGCCCCCATTTCACACTTTGTTCGGGAGGACGAATCCTTACACTATGTCGATGTCAACTTTATTTGTATAGCACATTACAACACCAGCTGCTTCAGTGCTTCACATGCACACAACACATTGTAAACATAAAATCAACATGAAATGCATATTACACACAAGTCTGTGTTAAAAGCCAAGGTGAAAAAACGTGTCTTCAGAGATTTTATGAAGCGCCAAATATTTCATTAGTGATGTTTCACCCACAATACTTCAGTTTGATCTTCTTTGCCTTCATTGAACATTTTGATATTGAAACGGAATGACATTTGGCGTGCTTTGCTCCGGTTCACACCAAGGACAAAGCCTCTTTCTTCCTTTTCTGAAACAAAAGTATTTCCTTTAAATTACATTCTTTACAACTGCATGAATGTTTGTGTTCTTCTTCAGAGATTATTTCACGTTCTAAAACGGCCAGAAGACTATATTCTCAAGATCATGTTTAAGGGATAAAAAGAACATGAGTAATAATCAGAAATCAATGGTTATTGATGTGAAAACTATTGAATTAGAAATAAGTCAGTTGTTATCAGATTCACAATATTTCCTCTCACGCACTTGCAGCACTAAGTTTTGACTCTGTGACATTTCTATTCAAAGGAAATGGTGCTTTATTCTTTTCACTGTCTCTTAATTTATGCTGCAGCGCCGAACAGGGCGAGTGTCTCACAAAAAATTCAGAGAGATGAAAAGAGATTGTCTTCCGTGTTCTGTCTGTTTCCCCTCAGCCTCCTTTTAAAACGCATACGTATAGTCTTCATTTGAAAAAAATAACAAAATCTACCCATGTTTAGCGCTCGGTCTTAAGTCGGTGCAAACCTTTGAAATAAAACAGATTTGGCAACTTGAAACACATCTAAAATAACACTATCCCATTTAAAGAACATATGGGCACAGAACACTGAGGAGATAATGAATAGCATTTCAAAATATAGTCAGTTTAGCTTCGCTTCAGGTGAGTTACTTTCTCCATTCCTCTGTCTGCTCTTGGCTCTCTGCTTCATTGACTGTTCCTGTTATTATGTTTTTGGTTAAAAATTCTCCAGACAGCTGCTTCAATGTTCACAAAATGGAAGGAGAAAAACATCCTCTCGTCTGGCCAGTGTGTTCTGAGCTTTGTTTGATTATTAGAACGCAGATTGGAAATGATAATTATTACTGCCAAGAGGTTGTCTGTTGTTGTTTGTCTGACTATTAGTTACTTTGTTTTGGGTTTTAAAGATGTTTTAGGAACTCGCAGAAATGGAAGAATTTCTAAAAGCCTGTTAAGATTACATTTTCAGACAATTGTTTTAAAATTACAATTTGCACATTTCTTGCTTAATTTGTTACGACTCTGTTTATGCCTTAAAAACAAGTTGTTGAAATATCAATCATCTTTATTTAATTACTAAAATCTCTGATCAAATAGCCTTGGGCTTATTTCATCGGGGAATTTCCCTACTGCACATGTTTTTATTGTAGTTGGAGAAACCACCCAGAGGAAAACCTATGGAGACACGGGGAGAACATACAAACTCCACACAGAATCGTTAGAACCCTAGTTGGAATCATATTCTTCTACGGAATAACATTTTGTCCTGTGTAAATGTGGTTGCACACTGTGCTGGTTTCTCCAGACACAGAGATGACTTCATTTGTTCAGCGTCTGCAGCTGTTGGATTGAGTTCAGAAAGAGATAGAAACATTGGGTTAGAGGGGCACTTACAGCAGAGCTGGAGATCCATGTGAGAGGGACAGAGTGTCACTTCATTAGATCCACTGAATAATGTGTAAAAATAACTCTGAAGGACCATACAGAACATGTTTGTCGTATTTACGCAGGGATTTCCAGACTCAATGATGTAATCATCTACATGCAAGTCATGTTGTCTTGATTCTTTAAATAAAAGTGTTATCATGAAAAAATTAAACACAATTGATCGAATATTGCAACTTTGTTATCAAACTGGGTCCAGTTAGATACAAATTGTATTTTCAATGCACCCCAAGTTTGGGTCCCCAACTGGTTTACATGAATTGAATCTCTTCCAGTCCTGACAAGTCCCTGTCAGTTGGAAGTGTATAGTAAATCTGTATATAAATTCCACATTCTATTTAGAATTGGATTGTGATATTTTTGAGGCCATTGACATCGTCTCCATAATGTGTGTTTGTCACCAGTCTAATGTGTCCATCTCTGTCTGTTCACAGGGCTCGGACGACTGCCTGGTGAAGATCTGGGCCACAGACGACGGGCGTTTGCTGGCCACTCTCCGCGGTCACGCGGCCGAGATCTCAGACATGGCTGTGAGTCATGAGAACACAATGATCGCGGCCGGATCCTGCGACAAAACTATCCGTGTGTGGTGTCTGCAGACCTGCGCTCCTCTGGCAGTGCTCGAGGGACATACTGCCTCCATCACCTCCATACAGGTCAGGGACACGATAGAGAGAACTGATTAAGATGGTTTTGTTGAATAGATGCATTGAGCTTTTTCAGATCTGAGACATTACGACCCAAGTGGAGAATATTAGCAGTATCATTGACTCTCAATGATCATGGCCAATAATGTAAAAATATACAGTAGTATATTTGCGCTTACTAAAACTTACTGATTTAGACATTGTTTACTACTATAAATTTCTATAACTTTGTATTATATTGATGCAATTCAATGATAATGCAAAGGTAAACTAACAGCTTCAAAAAGTTACACCTAAAGTTACACCTAATCTTATGTATTTGTTTTCTGACATAAAACTACTTTCAATAAGAGATACATTGTAGGGCTGCTGAAGAGGAGATGTCTAGATTATATTTGGTTTAGAGTAGTTTGAGCTTACAGTATGACCTATTTTAGGAAAGCTTCAGTTAAATTATGAGTTCTAGTCCTGGTACTGTCACATATTGTTCACAGATACATGTCGGTTTGTCTGTGCAGTTCTCTCCCCTCTGCAGCGGCTCAAAACGCTTCCTCTCATCCACCGGAGCCGACGGCATCATATGTTTCTGGCAGTGGGACGCAAGGTCGCTCAAGTTTGGGTGAGATTCTCTCCTCTAGGGTTTTACACCTTCGATATGTTCAGCCATTGATGAACACTGTTAACGTATCTTTGTAGATAAAAAGATCAACAAGCAATAGAAGCAGCTGTTTTTCATTGATACCAGTCATTTTCTTCTGGTTTAGATTTTGAAAGATAGGGCTGCACAATATATAAAAGATAGGGCTGCACGATATATACAAAAAAAATATTGTTATTGCAATATTGGTGTGTGCAATATCTATATCGAAAAGATGCATGATTAAAAAAAAATAAGACAACTAAACAGACACATTCAATAAGAATAACAAACAAACAAGAAAGTATATACATTTATGCATTTGAATGTCATTAATGTTGTGCTCTTGCGTTTCAATGCAGATTGCAATTTTAGGTGAAAGACAAAATTATCGCAATGATATCGTTATCGAAATACGAAACACTCATATTGAATATCGCTCTAATTTCCAATATCGTGCAGCCCTAGTCTCCAAGACATCACTGAACGGGTTAGACTTTTGTGACCACCAGGTCAGGGCACACTTGTTTGGTGGTTTTACATTTATAAATGAAGCATTTCTGCCCCAAGTGAACTAGAATAGGTCCAATTAAAGTGTTAAAGTGGTTCTCACCCCCGCTCCTCGGAGCTTACGTCACTCACATTTCCTGTTCAAATCTTCCTCTAAATGGGCGTAGCCTGGAGGACTAAAGGGGCCGTGAACGAGACTGGGCCGTTTACATTGCTCTGGGCGGGGGCTGCTGACGTCAGGTCTTGCTTCAGACGTCAGGTCTTGCTTCAGACGTCAGGTCTTGCTGCCGTGCCAGTGTTGGCGCCAGATTCAAAATTCAAATGTAGTAATACAGGTCGCCAGCAGATGGCGCCTCACAGACGGTTTTAGGCAGAAAGTTTCACTTTCAACTAATTTGCACCAAAGTGACAAAATTATGACCAGGATATGTAGACAACACTATTGGACACTCATTTATACAGTTTATCAGCACAAAAAAAAACGCGGATAAAAAAAAAACAATATTCACCCATTGGTTTGAATATTGGTTTAGTTGAAGAAAAAAGATATCTGGTTTTGGTACAGCGTGTCACCCTCCAACGTGTCCTGGGTCTTACCCATGGGTCAGTCACACAGAGGCAGCCGAAACACATGCACCTGTGTGACGGAGCTTCTCACCTCTTTTGACTTTGGCTCTCAAGAGTGCCCATCTCTGCGGAGGAAACTCATTTTGACTACTTTCGGTCATTCTCCAAGTTCACGACCATAACTGGTAAATCCAGAGCGTTTCCAGCTTCAACACAACAATCTTCCCTTCCCTGATTTTTTTTTTTCCCTGAGTAGCATTATCACCCCCAAATCATTTCTTGTTACTTTATCTTTGACTTTTTCTCACATTTACCTGTGAGTTACTATTACATTCTTGTATGTTTTTACATCTCCAGTCAGAGGCCCAGTAAGTTCACAGAGCGCTCCAGACCCGGAGTCCAGATGATCTGCTCGTCCTTCAGTGCAGGTATGGAATGCTCTTTCATCTCTCATTCAGCATTTTTCATCCAATAAAATCATAAGTATTTAGCAATCCAAAGGACCTCAAAGCAGAGAAACAGGATTTATTGAAGTATTTCGCTGGGCTCGGATGGGAGCTGGGGCAGTGCACTGGAGCAGGCTAGATGATCTGGCAAGAATGCAAAAAACAAATAAGTCGCTTGGTAGATGATAACGTTAACAAGTAGATACTTGAGGATGGCTGTTCTGTACCACTGAACAATCTAGCAGAGTGTTCAGGAGAGCGTGGGTAAAAGTATGGAGTGTTGATGGGAAATTGGAATCAGGTGTGCCTGCCCAGGGACCACTCCCACCATGCACCAAGTCTGCAGACACCAGAGGGAGACAAACACACGTAGACAAGCCCATAAGGGCAAACATAACAAGAAGAACCCATAAAAACATGCATCTTTTTTTGATGGAAAATTGGCTTTTGCAATTAATACCTTATTTTAGGCCCCTGTTATTTTACAGTTGTTTAGTTGTTAAGAATTTCCCTTTTTAAAATGCCACTTTTATTGTACATAAAATATCCTGCATTTAACATGTTTGCACATTTCTTTCTTTTTGCACAATCTTGAGTGTTTCTATCCATGCCAGATGTGACATGTAAATTTCTCCTTTGTGAGATCAATAAAGTATAGCTTATCTTATCTTCAATGTTGTTTCAGAAACAAACGCGCATATTCATTTAATGTAATCAACAAGCCGTTTAATCCTCTTGTTATGTAAAATTATAAACACCTCCAGCCGCGGTGATGGCTTGTTTTGACCTCCACCTCTGTGCTCAGGAGGCATGTTCCTGGCCACAGGCAGCACAGACCACATCATCAGAGTTTACTACTTTGGTTCCGGACAACCAGAGAAGATCTCCGAGCTGGAGTCGCACACTGTGAGTTTTTATTAGGTACAAAACAACAACAGCAACAATCACCAGTGTTGAAAAGATCTGTTTTCAAATAAAATATGTTAACTCTAGTCTGTGCTCAAAGCCACTGATTTTGTGGTCAATATGAGTGGAATGTTCACTACTGTGAGTGAGCGATTAATCAGGTCACTATACAGGAATACATTTAACATATAAGAATAATTATCAATACATTTTAAGAAGTTAGACATTGTAATCCAAAGGAAAAAAGTGCTTGTGTGTTTTTTGTGTGTAAATTTGACCCAACGTTATTTATGCGACTAAATGATCAGAAATAATTTTAAAGTTGTCCAGTTTCTCCTTACAATACCTGAGCTAATGTGCCAGCAATACTCCATGGCAACTAAAACAAGTTATAATTGAAAGTAATGGTCCTTTTTGTATCCTAAGGACAAAGTGGACAGCATCCAGTTCTCCCACTGCAGCGACAGGTGAGTGACGCCATCATAACACTTCATAATCTAGGGCTGGAATTGCCATTATTTTTTATAATCCATTAATGATAATAATATGTTTGCTGATTGTTCATTAAATTGTATCACAAAAGGCCTGTAAATATGGGGGTTTTAAAGATTAATTCTATGCACTTATGTGCATAGAATTTTAAACGACAAATTATGTTATAACTCGTCTATGGTTTTGAATTTTCATTTTCCTAAATGAATACAGCTCTGTACAGAGTGGTACAAAAGGTTAATTGATAGAAGTATAAAGCGATAGTTTCTATAACTCTATGTTACGCTACTTGTTACATCCCTGTCATGATCACAGTTTAATTATGTAGATGTGTGGAGCTGTTAGTTTAAATCTAACCGTAGGGTGCAATTGTGTCTAAATTATTCAATAACACACATGCAAACGCTTTTACTATTCTAAACCGTTGGTATGAGTATAGACTTTGTGGGGGAAAAAACACGAGCGTGACACAATCCCCCAGAGACGCAGATCTGCAGAAGACGAAGCGAAGCAATTATGTTCAATGTCATCCTGGAAAATGTCTCTCCAAACCACACGACAGAAATGTGAAGGATTTACACTGAATACCATACAGAGGTTTCTACACATGTTGTTATGACAGAATCGATAACATAGAATCATAAAATACTTAGCCACTTAAACTCAGGACTCATTTGTTCCAACTTTCATTTCTTTTTAAAATATTGTATAGAGATTCCGTAACTATTTAGCACTTATCACAGACCTGAGTATCCAAAATCACTTTTTACAATTTAGTCTTACTGCTGGATTTAATGTACTCACCTGTAACATTCATCAAGGAACAGTCTGACATTGACTGTTGTAAATGATTTAAAATATGTGTTTAGTTTAGTACAAGACTGTGAGTGGATGTATATGAAGCAGCACTTACCTCAAGGTCAAACAGCTCCTGACTGACTAGAATTTTACTCACGTACGCTTGATTATGCTCCGAATGAATTCACTACCAATTTACAAACCCACAATTTTACACGTGTCTTTTTCCGTTTACCAAGAAAAAAAAAGACTTCTACAAATGTTAGTTTATCCTCCTATGTGCTGGTGAACATTGCGGTCTGCAATTAATGGTTATTTTGTGAATTGATTAACTACGTTAGTTGTTTCAATCCTAAAGGCCAGTGACTCTGCATTTATTTACATTTTAAGAGGAAACATCTTCATAGAGATGTAACACATTTGTTTGTTTTGAATAAGTTTTTTCATATTTATGAAACTATTCTGCATGATTTAGTTTGTTTATGGTAAAAAAATGCCTCTTTGTTCAACAACTATTTAAATAATCAACTTCAGTCAGAACTGATTACCGTAATTTAATTGATTTAACAATTTGATTTCATATTTCAGGGTTTTTGATTTAAAAGAAAAATGTAGGGTGTAAAAAAGTTAATAATAATTGATTAATAAAATGTTTGATTACTGAAAACACTGATGGCTACACTGCTAGTTTAACTAATTAATTTTTTGTATCCTATTAAACACCTCAGACCTGCGCTGACAAAATATTGTGACCCAATCTCAAGAGTTCTGATCTGAACATTACTGTTGTGTTTGCTGCAGGTTTGTGAGCGGCAGCAGAGACGGCACCGCACGGATCTGGCAGCTGCAGCCTCAGGGCTGGAGGAGCATTTTGCTGGACATGCAAAGCAAACTTCCCGGGTACGTCCAGACGGCAGGGTCAAACCGGGTCAAACTGGGCTAGATACATCCGGCACTTTTGATATAAGATAAACCATTTGTTTTGAATAAATAATCTTGTATAGCGTCTTCAAACGTGTACCAGATGTTATTTACACCTACGTTTGTATAATATAGTATTAAGACTTCATCAGACAGTGCTCGTAAATAATTTATGATGAAAAAACAGCACTTTACCACCTGCAACAGTGACGGAGCCAATGATGAATGACACAATAAATATCATAATTTTCCCCCTCATAATCCATAAAGGCCAAATGCTTATTTGTCATATCTTCAGAGAAAAACTTCACATTGTGTTTCAGTAGAAATTTGACTTATGTCACTATAAAACAAGACGGCACAGATTTTTCAAACCCAAATAAGAAGTGGAAAATTCTTTGTGCTTAAATACGTGTTGTCTGGCTCTGGTCCAATGTAAGTGAATGAACCAAATTATGTTTTTATGCTTATTTTAATGTTTCTATTTTCAGGAAGTACAACCCACCGCCGCTCGAGGATAAAGTGACCAAATTGAAGGTTACCATGGTAGCCTGGGATCGCCATGACACCACCGTAATCACAGCCGCCAACAACCTCACGATCAAAGTGTGGAACTCCACCAATGGAAACCTGGTGCACGTGCTCATGGTAAGAAGCATTCAATAACAGGAGAATCAGCTGATGAAATTATATTGTGGTATACTATAAATGATGTTCAGTGTCATTTATCCATCCATCCATCGATGTTCTTCCGCTTCATCCATTGTCGGGTCGCAGGGGCAGCTGTTTTTGCAGAGACGCCCAGACTTCCCTATCCCTATCCTGAACAACAGTCAAACTGTTGTTCAGGAGCCAGAACCCCCGGAAGGCGTCCGGCCCGGATTCTGTCTCCCCCTCCGTTCTGAAGCACTGCGCTGATCAGCTCGCCCCGGTGTTTACCAACATCTTTAACACCTCGCTGGAGCTTGGTCAGGTCCCCGCATGCTTCAAGGCCTCTACCATCATTCCCGTCCCCAAGAAGGCCAAGGTCACAGGCCTAAATGACTACAGACCTGTCGCCCTGACGTCTGTGGCATGAAGGTCCTGGAGCGCCTTGTCCTGGCCCATCTGAAGCGAATCACTGATCCTGTGCTGGACCCGATGCAGTTCGCGTACAGAGCCAATCGCTCCACGGAGGACGCCGTGAACATGGCTCTGTACTACACCCTTAAACATCTGGACACTGCCGGCTGCTATGCCAGGATCCTGTCCGTTGACTTCAGTTCGGCTTTTAATACCATCCTTCCACCCATCCTAGAGCACCAGCTGTCCCTGCTGCAAGTTCCTGCCCCCATGCGCAGATGGATTACGGACTTCTTGACAAACAGGTCCCAGCGGGTGAAGCTGGGGAAGAGCATTTCCAGCTCTAGGATCACCAACACCGGTACCCCGCAGGGCTGTGTCCTGTCCCCACTACTGTTTTCCCTGTACACCAACAGCTGTGTCTCTCTCCACCCGTCGGTCAAGCTCCTCAAGTTTGCTGACGACACCACCTTGGTGGGCCTCATCTCCAAGGGGGATGAGTCGGCCTACAGGAGGGAGATCGAGCGGCTGCGTAACTGGTGCAGCAACAACAACTTGGAGCTGAATGCTCTGAAGACAGTGGAGATGGTGGTGGACTTTAGGAGGGACCCAACCCCGCCTCCTCCTGTCATGCTGGGCGGCACTCAGGTGGAATCTGTACAGTCCTGCAAGTTCCTGGGGATAATTATCTCCAGAGACCTCAAGTGGGAATCCAATATCACAGCCCTCCTGAGAAAAGCCCAGCAGAGGATGTACTTCCTTCGTCAGCTGCGGAAATACAGACCGTCGAGGGCCATGATGACCCAGTTTTACTCTGCCATCATAGTCTATCCTCACTCACTCCATCATCACCTGGTTCCCCGCTGCAGCTGCGAAAGACCTGGTCAAGCTGCAGCGGGTGATACGCTCTGCGGAGAGGGTGATTGGCCATCCCCTGCCCTCCCTTAAGTCCCTGCACGATTCCAGGGCACTGAGGAGGGCGAGAAAGATCATGGCTGACCCCTCCCACCCTGGTCACAGCCTCCTCACCCTGCTCCCCTCTGGGTGGAGGATGCAGCACCTGGGGACCAAGACAGAGCGCTACAAAAACAGTTTTTTCCCCTCAGCGGCCAGGCTGCTCACTGACGCTGGTTTCCCTTCTTCCCTTGCCCCCTAGGAACAAGGACTGAACACTATGGCACTTTATTACATTATTCTATTTATATCTCTTGCACTTTTTTGTTAAATTATATGTGAAAAAAGATGAATGCACACTGTCATGTTGCCAAGTCAAATTCCTATGTGTTTTGCACAATGGTAAATAAAGTAATCTGAATCTGAATCTGAATCCACACACATTTCCTCCAGCTCATCCGGGGGAATCCCGAGGTGTTCCCGGGCCAGCCGAGAATATAGTCCCTCCAACGTGTATGGGTCTTCCCTAGGGTCTCCTCCCGGGGTCTCCTCTCGGGGTCTCCTCCTGGGGAATACATATATTAGGGATGTAAAAAACTATGAATTTTCATGACCGACCACCGAGCCTCATTAACCGGTTGAAACCGGTTAACGGCATAGTTTAAAATAGTTCTCTGAAATAACAGCCATTTCAAGCCGCATACTTCTCATAAGAGCAGCTATGCGTTCTACTGGATTAGAGCCGAGACAGCGGCGCCAAAACCCACAACAGCTTCGGCACCTTTGAGCACAGAGAACTGCTTTAATCTTCCCATTCTGCTGTGCTGCGGGTTGAAGCATTTTTAAGCAAAAGACAGCTCGTCCACATGGTCAGAGCAGCAAGTGACGAGCCGCGTCTCGCAGGTCTCCGCTAAAGTTTAAAAGTGATGTCTGTGGAGCTGATGCCAATTAGGACCAGCAGCACAAACATGTTTCAAGTGGTTTGACTGGAGCAGTGTATTTGCGAGGATTCTTTTGGCTGCGTGACACAGAGGAGCGCGACAGACCGCTATGTGTGTGTGTACAATACATGCATGTGTGTATGCGTGTGTATGTGTGTGTAAATATAAGCTCCAATGTAGTTCTGACCCGTACCAGTGTGCAACTAGCAGACGGTATACACTAGGCTTAACAGAGGGGAGAGATGATGCGTGTGGATGTTACGTATCGAAAGTGTGTGTGTGCTAGTGTGTGTGCGTGTACATGTGTGCGTGCATATGTGGCGCGTGCGGCGAGAGAGTCAGCCCGGAGTTTACTGATACATTGGCGCACACAGCTAGATACGGACCCGCTCGTCACATCGTGCAAATAGGGCTTAAAATAGCGTTATGAAAAGACCTCCCCTCTCCCCTTTTTCTCGTTTTTAACCGACAGCTTTGACCGGTTAACGCTGTGACGGTCAACCACCGGTTAAATGGTCACCGATTTACATCCCTAACATATATTATTATCGTTTATGGATATTACTATTAATATTCATAATGTTTGGTAGTAATTATTCAGAAAATAGAAGTTCTGACAATCATTTCACCTCAGAGTATGACATGGATGTAGAAAATGGGTCAAGATGCTGTTCACTATTTTATTCAATTTGTGTGTTGTGGTTATAAATGCGGTTTTAATTAGAAAAACCGGAGAAATGGATGAACAACATTAAGAAGTGTGGACTCAAGATTTTGGATTATTAGAAAAAAATATCTCTTATTTTTTGTGTGATTTTGATCCTGATTCCGTTGTCCTAAATTTCGAATGGAGTTGTTAATCCTAATCTTCCTTTTTTTGCTGTGATCTTTCAGGGTCATGAAGACGAGGTGTTTGTTCTGGAGCCGCACCCGTTCGATCCCAGAATCCTTTTGTCTGCGGGACATGACGGGAACTGTGTGGTGTGGGACCTGTCGAGGGGAGTGAAGATCCGCTCCTACTTCAACATGGTGCGTTCACATCAGCCAATAATGACACACACACACACACACACAATATGTCACAGGAAACACACACTCCTCTGGGCTTCCTTCACTTTCTTATATTTATTATCAAGCTACTGTTCCTTTAATTCAACAAATTTGAATCCATAGATATTACTGCCCTTCATTCAAACTCCTTTTAGTTTGAATAAAGGGCAGTTTTCTTACTTACTGCAGCCTCAGGTACAATTGCTGCATCAACACAGGACACTTGAAAATGAATGCATGAAAGCGTGGCGTGTTGGTTGAACCCGTGTTGGCTTTTCTTAATGGGGAACTTGTCAATGTAAAGAGTCAATGTAAAGAGTCAAAACAAACATTTAACTTTCATAATAAGTCTCTTAAGTTACAGCGTGTGTGCCCAAGACCAAAGTGAATCACGTTATAATAAACTACTGCACATGTATTACTGTTTATGGACATAATGGACACGTGCACAACATACTTTTTACTTTATAAGAGAAAGTAAAAAGCTGTCATTATGCAAAGTATTGCAAAATGTGAATATTTCCCTCTGCTGGAGACGAAATATTCTAGTAAGATTGAAGGATCCTATTGCTTGTCTTAGCAGTTGACTTCCATGTTGGCAATGAATGGAATTCCAGCATTTTACCAATCTGTATTGACGGTAGATGTAAATACATCACTTCTAAAACTTAGCACCCATTGTTCATAAAAGGCCATTAACACTTGAATGCCACATGGTTTTCTTCCATATTTGAGTGGACTCCAGTTTGAGGGAGTGCAGTGTTTGTTTACAACAGGTACTACGGTGGCCCGCTAAATCAAGACACCGCTCTCCCTCATTCCCATGGAAATAATGGAGATAAAAATCGGCAGGCTTCGAGGCACTTGACAAAAGAACTTGAGAATTACATTATAATGTTATCCCACCAGAATAATGTCCTGTGCAGGAGTAACAAAAATGTTAGAATGTGGAAATATTCAGCTTAATTGCCTCCAACATTTAGTTCCAGAACATGATTGCCAAGGTTTAGCCTTTTTAAACATATTAACTCAGAGTTTATTCTCTAGTTACAAAAAACATAAATTCATATTACACCTTTTTACATTCAGAACCATGAATAAGACTCTTTTGAAAAACATGCCGTCTCTTCTATGCAGTGCAGTCTCTTTTTGGTCCGTCTCATGTGGCAGCGAGCACAGCGGTAATTATCAAAGCAAAAAGTGTACGTTTATAAAAGATGAAAATTTAACCAGAATTCTCTGAGAACGTCCAAGAATAAAACTGTCTGCACACTGACAATGTAATAGACTTCTCCCCAACCCTTTTTGTGCGATTGTGCCTACATTTCATCATTTGTGCTGCAGTGAATGGGGAATTGTGGAAAAGAACAGATCAGATTTTCTTTGTCTCTTGAAAACAAAGAAAATCATATATACAAGTTATGCCCTGAAGAAGCTTAACCTACCCTTTGTGTAGGTTTGGCTAGTCCCTAAAGGACTTTTATTTATCAGTTGGAGTGCCTTGGAAAATCCATCTCTCTGGAAAAAAAAATTCTATTAAAATCACATGTTCACGTTAATTTAGATGCATCATTTTGAAATGGTGTATAACTCACACATGAATTGTTTACAGTGTGTGCACTGCCACGTTCAAGTCAGAATTCAAGAGTTGAAAATGTATATAAACGCTTGGGGAAGAGACGAGAACGTCAAAATACCCCTCTGCCTTTGCTATCACATAAGTGCTTGCATAAAAAGTTGACGACCAATGTGAGGATCAGATTTGATGACAAGTGGAGGAATCACTTTTGGATGTTGCGACAAACCTTTGACTTTATTGAGAACTTGGTGAACTTCACCTCAGACTAGGGCTGGGTAATAAATCAAATTTTGGCAATTAATTGGCTTTTGAAAAAATCGATATTGTGAGAGTTCCAGCAGCACATCAATTATACTTGCGATATCAGCACAGTCTGTACAAGACTTTTATAATATGTATTGGGGGAAACAAATAAAAAATAGTTTTGAGTCTGTCTTGAGTGACTTTAACTCACTGACTGCCAGGCATTTTCAGATTTGAGAAGTGCATTCTGCCAGCAATTTCAGGTGATTTGACCCAACTTTGAAGTGCCACAGAATATTCATTTTTTAGACGATGTAAACACCAAGGGCACCAAATTAAAGATTAACCTCTCTGCTTTACTCTGAAAAAACAGTTTGTTTCTACCTCTTACCGTTCTTGAGCTATTCGCCATAGAACAAAGCATACTTTCGCCCACAACACCTGGTCTGAGCAAGAAAACAGAGAAAACGAGCTGTATGTAAACAGGAACATATCAAGCAGAAAAGAGACTTTTAGATGCATTTTTGCTGCTTTAGTGACAACTCAAAACATCTTCACACTTGTTCCATTACAAAAATTATAAAAACATGACTCTGAAATAATACTTTTGATGGCAAATTGTTGGCAATTTATTCACAGATAGAAAATTTAACTTTCTTCTATTCCATCAACCAAAACGTCAAACAACAACAACACAAAGATCAATAAAACTATAGATGTATAAAATAGAATGAAGCATGTGAATTTGAGTGTGTGTGTGTGAATGTCAGTGTGCGAGTGAGTGTCTGTGTGTGTGTCTGTGTGCGTGTGAATGTTCGTGAGTGTGTGTATGAGTGAGTTTATCTGCTTTTTCAGTCCTCCCAGTAGTTCAGCTTTGAGTTGTAGAGGTTGAAACACTGTGTGCAACGGAACACGACACGCTGTGTACCATTTGTAGTTCTCCCTCCGTGAAGAAGAGCTCCAGAAAGTCTGGATCAGATGAATCCAGCTCCAGAAAGTCAGCTGGATCAGATGAATCCAGCTTCGCAGTCTCTGAGGTCCAGGAGCTCCTGTGAAGGGCAACTGACTCGGCTCCCACTGATCCTCCTGTCAGCCATCTTCCCCAGAGCTTCTGGGTGACGAACGTGCTGGAAATTTGATACACACAATAACTATATTATACAGTGAATTTGTTACAATAAATCAATACATAAAATACAATGAAGGCCTTCCTCCCACATTATTGACTGACTACTTTTGGACCAAACACAGTATACTATATTATTATTATTATATTATATTGCCATGGGATGTACAAGAATAGAAATAGTAGTCCTTTTACCTTTTTTGTGCACAGCAACTGCCTCTCGATGCACCACCTGTAAATAATATAAATTTGTAAATCACTATACCAGGAGAATATATACAAAAATATGTACAATGGTATGAGGAGGCATTATCTTTACCTCCATGCCCTGTCAACTCCAATGGGGGAGGGCTCTTTTATCAGAATCTGTGAATGAACACATTAATTGGTTAATTGGTCAAATACAGCTTTATTGGACTGATCAAAATATCAAACATTATTCACACGCTGTATATTACACTATAAATACTGTTAACGCTGTATAAACCTACTTGTTGCAAAAAATAACATTATTCACACGCTGTATAAACACTATATTACACTATAAATACTGTTAACGCTGTATAAACCTACTTGTTGCAAAGTTTGCATGTTTTATCAGAGCACCTGATTTTTCGGGGCTGGCGAAAAAAAGATTTTAATGCCATATCATAAGGGAAGTCCTCAGGACAGGGTCCATTGATGGAGATCCTCAAGCAAGCTGCCAGGTGTTCTCCTTGCAGTTTGTTCCTGAGGTCTGTTTTCACCTGGAGATAAAGCAAAATGATAAATTATTATCAATGCAAAATGCACCAATATAAAGACAATGGGAATTTTTTATTGCTATTACCCTGTTCATTGCAGAGAAATCCCGTTCACAGTTCACAGAGGAAACAGGGATAACCAAAGCAATGCTTGCCAGAAGGCTCAGGCAGGGGTAGAGGTTGGCCCACTCATCAAACTCACTTGCCAGTAAACACAAGAGCTCCTCCTGGTTCTTGTTCTTGAAAGATAAGGGTTTGTCGTGGCATTAGTGTGTGTGTGTGTCAGGTCAATTCACTGACCTTGAATATCCCTGTAATGATATGGTTCATATAAATATTGTTCAATACTCATCTGGATTGAAGCAGCAAACATTCAGTGTAAGAGTAAAAAAATGACATAACGTTACTTATAACTTTATTTCTTGCTACAGCTGCTACATAGTGTTTTGACCCCGACAACCCAACTACATACCGCAAACTTGCGACTAATTAACTTTATAAAGAAAGCGGCATCGCTTGTTAAGGGAGTCGGGACGGAAATTCAACATTGACACTGAACATTCAGCACTTTTTAATGTGTGATTTACGAGATCACGGGATACCAACCTTTAGTGAACTTCACCAGCCGTCTTCTCTGCACCAAAATTAATAGACACAGCTGCTTACAGCGATGATCGCTGATGGAGACGGAGACACGCGGTGTGCACGAAGGGGAGGGTCTGTGTGTGTGTAGGTCTCTGTATGTGGGAGAGACGCGTAGCTTGAGTGAGAGTTACGAAGGGCCGCCACATTTTAAACCCCCCTCCCCGCTGTCAAATTGACCGCTGCGGCGGCACTAGACGATGCATGTTTTAAATAGCGTAACAAAAAAAATATATATATAATAATACGAAACGCAATTTGTGGCGGGCGGTCTCTAATCTGTGGCGGTGCGCCACAGATTAGTCTATGTGTGGGAAACACTGGTTCAAGTATGAAATAACTAAACATAAAAATAATAAATACAACAATGATAAAACACATAACTGGCATTTACTAAAGAAACAGTAGGATTTGAGCGTTGTGTTACTTAGCAGATCAGAGTAAGTTTCCGCGCCTTTCCCTCCTCTCAAGTCAGCATATTCTAGGCAATTTAGCAAGTTCTTACCTTCGACTCTTTGTGGAGCTTCTGGAGAGGATGCTCTGCTGGATTGAGACTGCAACCACTCATCCGATAAATCATGATCAGGTTCTCTGAACGAATCCGAGGCATCAGTAACAACAGCAGCTGATACGCTGCGAGAGGCGGAAGGTGTGTCCCTGCTCCGGGCTCTTGCTCCGCGCAAATATGGCTGCAGAGACGGACTTCCACCGGGGTCTCCACTCTCTCCCCTGTCGACCTCACTCACTGATCCGCGAGTCAATCTCTGAAGCAGTGTACACTGCTTATAACTATTCTTTTTCGCCATCACTCTTGCTATACTATCGCTAAACTAGATCGCTAATCTGTCTCAATGCTACGCTATCATCGCTCGCACGCTTATAGGGCGGCACGGTGGCTGAGTGGATAGCACTCTCGCCTCTCAGCAAGAAGGTCCTGGGTTCGAATCCCGGTCGGACCAGGGCCTTTCTGAGTGGAGTTTGCATGTTCTCCCCGTGTCTGCGTAGGTTTCCTCCGGGTACTCCGGTTTCCCCTACCACTAAAAATATGTCCAATAGTTCTGGCATGCGCCTCCTGTACTGGCGACCCCGCTCCCATCTCTGTGTGGAGTGAGAGACAAATGCCCAAAATTAACAATTGTAAACCGCTTTGAGACTCAGATCTGCAGTGAAAAGGCGGTATATAAATAAAAACTTACTTACTTACTTACTCGCTCTGCTACAGCAGCACGCTCTCCAAACACTCCCACACTCCTCCTCCTTCTCTCCACTGACTTATGACCTCTCCTGTGGTGCAATACTGCATCCTACTGGTGTTGATTTATCATTACAGGTACATTTACACTATATATCAGTATTGTGGGTCATTCACAAGGTGCGCCAGACATTACTGTAGCCTCCCGTGTAATAACATGAAAAACTCGTCAAACTCGTCATGGGCAGTGAGCGTTACTATTCAACATGACGAGTTTTGTCGTCATGGGCAGTGAATGAGTTAATGAAAAACGATTTAAAATCGACATAGTCTAAAGCAGGAAATAAAATCGAGATTTTACTTTTTTGCCATATCGCCCAGCCCTACCTCAGACAGAAGGAAACAACCGGTCGTTCTGTCTGTCCACGAGACCACGTCTCAGACATCCCCACTGCTGGGTGGCCATCATGGTACTCCTAATTTCCCGCTTGGGCAGTATTCCTCTGCAAATTATGTTGGGTCTGAGGAGGGTTAATTGCTGGAATTATTTGACGTGTTGAAATCTGGATTAGAGCTGCTTTCTTTTTATTTCTTTGTTAATCTTGAGATACCAAGGAAATACATCCATTAACTGTCGAAACTCGAATGTATGGCCCGTCATAAGTCAATGTCAAAGTATGTTGGCTCATCACACATCTGTATAAAGTCTTGTCACACGTGTGTAACAGAGTGTGTTATAGAGAGCCACATTTCTCTTCTTATGTTGCAGATCGAAGGCCAGGGACATGGTGCGCTCTTCGACTGTAAGTGTAGTCCAGATGGGCAGCACTTTGCAGCCACCGACTCTCACGGACACCTACTCATCTTTGGTTTTGGCTCCAGCAGCAAATACGACAAGGTGAATAATCTACCAAAAACAATTGCGGATCCATAAAGAAGATGTATCAAAGTGCTCCAGTGTGTGTTGATTTTAAAGCACAACAAAAAATACACTCAATGTGTTGCCAGCCAAACAAGCAGCTAATGTGTGTGTGCGGGAGCACACACACATTAGCTGCTTGTTTGGCTCTGATTAATCATGTGCGGCAGTAGCTGTGGGTATAGAGTAAACCAGCTGGATTTTACCAAGGACATTGGCATCCCTAATAGTCTCCTTCTGATAATCTGCTTATGATTTCTTTTACATAAAGAATGTAGCCAGGATGTACTTTGTTTTTGAAGTTAAGAATAAATCAGCATGAAGATTTTGATCAGAAAAATAAGTTTTATCCAGGGACACAGAAAGAAGGTGGATATCCAAATTAAAATAAAACTCTTATATAGAAACTTTAAGCTAGAGTACCAGTTTTAAAGTCATTATTAACCAGGCCTGCATTTCCTGCCCTCAGATTGCAGACCAGATGTTCTTCCACACTGATTACCGGCCGCTGATCCGAGACGCCAACAACTATGTGCTGGACGAGCAGACTCAGCAGGCACCTCACCTCATGCCTCCCCCGTTCCTTGTAGATGTAGACGGGAACCCTCACCCGCCCCGTTACCAAAGGCTCGTCCCGGGACGCGAGGGCTGCAGGCAGGAGCAGCTCATCCCACAGATGGGAGTCACCTCATCAGGTACAAGTCACACAGTTACAGTAGATGTCACATACAATGAATTCACAAGGGCTTACATTGATTGTCTAAAATTCAGTGAATTGCCAAATGTATCAAAGCTGTTTAGTTTTCTTTCCAGAGTGATAGCGTTATATTTTTTCATACCAAGTGATATAATACTATTTTAGATTATTCACTGATAGATGGTTGTAAAAGCATCTATCAGGGAGCATAATTTAACTCACAACTCTATTTTACTATTTATCATATGTTATTTTTAATCCTTAATATTTAGTCCTCAAGATTTAAATAAACCATGTACAATTTAAAAGTCATGATTTTTTTCAAGACCAGTCACAAATCGTTGTGAGCCAAACATAGAAAGAAACATCTCACTGATAATGTTCCACTTCTGTGCACAATCTTGGTGGAAATATTATCTTGTTTTCAGCTTGTTCCACTAGATCTTATCACCGCCGTAATAATAGACTCTGCGACCCTTTTTGTGACTTTGTGTCTATTTAAAGAACAAATATTAGATGTGATTTTATATCCGCTGACCTGTCCTCCTCAGGTCTGAACCAAGTGGTGAGTGAGCAGGCCGTGGATGGGCCCAGTCCGCTGGATACAATGATCCAGCGGCTGCAGCAAGAGCAAGACCAGAGACGAGGAAACAACGACTCTGCAAACTCTGCTCCAGTGGGTTCACGCTCCAACAGAGGTACAGTGTGTATTTTGTGTTCATTCCACTGAACACAAAATAGGTTTTGAAAAATTATACCTTTTATTTAAGTCTTATTTCAAGCACAATAGTATGTTCTTTTTCAATCAGTTTTAAGTCAGAAATTGCTTGTCTTATTCATATTGTGAGTAAAATATCAGCAACCTAGTTTTTGGATGTTCAAGTGATTTTAGTAAAATAAAAAATCCTTTACTGCACCACTGTTCATAATTTATTCTTATAATTTGACCCGTGACTAATTTGGTGGTGACATCACCCATAGTCTTTGCCTATTACCAAATTAAATTAATAGGAGCAAACTCTACCGCTTGATGGATGGAAATGTGGAAGAAAATTAGCTCCATAGAACCCTCATAGCAACCGAAGAGCCAATCAGAAGCTAGTATTCACTAACTTGGGGATTATTAGTTACTGCTCTCTGCTGGTCATATTTTGGTTTAAGATAAAGATAATATTGAAACACAACAGAATCATGTAGAACGTTTAAATCTGAACATTTCTGTAATGGTCCAGAGCAAGGGGTTGAGTTTTCTGTGAAGTCAATGGGAGCCTAATGGAATCCATCAGCAACATTTTGCCCATCAGCACTTCTCTATTGAACTTTAGAGCTGGTTGATATGGGTACAAACAAAAAAATTAAACTACATTGGCTCCGTCCATACCGATCATCCAAGAATTTTTACTACACAAATTGACCGGAGCACATGTTTACATCTTGCCTCTCTTCCTCAGGCTCGGTTGGTTCCCCCACAGAAGTGCACTCCCCTCATAACGTGGGCCTCCGCCGCAGTGGGCAGATCGAGGGTGTGCGGCAGATGCACAGTAACGCTCCACGCAGCCAGATGGCGACAGAGGGAGACCTGGTCGCCTGGAGCCGCCGAGTCCTGGTGCCCGAGCTCGAGGATGCCACTGTCAGGTAATGGGCAAAGTCTGCGCTTGAACCGAATTTTGTGCAAATCTTATGCCCCACTGTGTCTCTTGCAACACATTCTTTGACGTTAATTTAGGTTTTGTTTGGTCTTCTTGTTTCGTTCTGGTCCTATCCTGATTTCAGCCCTTGTCAAATACCATATGCAAGGCAAGTTTATTTGTAGCACAGTTCATTCACAAAGCTCTTAACAAAACAAGATAGAAACAATCACATAAGGCATTACAATCATAATCACAATACATTAAAAAAAATCTTAAGACTGTAGATTATAGACTGTACAATGGAGATAGGAAAAGCCTAATAGGGAAATGTTTGCTCCTATTTGCAAATGTACAATTGTCTTTCATTTAAAAACAATCGGCTCTGTTATACAGTAGTTTGTGTCATATTGAGACACATATACTGTAGCACGAGCAGGAACAGACCATCCTCGCTCCTGATTGACTCTTTGGCTGCTATGATGTTGCTTTGATAGAATTTGTCTCTAGATGGCCGCCCATGGAGCTAGTTACAGTCAACTCTAATTAACTTCTCCTGTAAAAGCCAAAATCTCTGGGTGGCGACAGCACTCCACAATTCCCACTCCTTTCAACAGTCTATAACAGGCGTATGTGATTCAAAACTAGTCTAGTCTTTATATATCAAGAGTTGCTTTACAACAAAAAGTTACAAAGACATCACAAATAAACACATTTAAGTGGAGTGAAGATTATACTATTATTATTTCCATCATTCATTTATAGACTTGGCCACACAGATATCGATACTATCAGCTGACAGCTAACAGTCGTTTTAGGACCATACCTAATAATAACTAACAAACTAAATGACCAATACAAACACATTCTACTCCACTTTTCACATTTGAAGAGTATTTTTAAAGCTGCATGAATCCCTTCTCTTTACTAAATTATTGAATGTATTTGCTCATTGTGCAGGCTGCAGGTGAACTGGAGGGAGGCGAAAGGAGATGAGGAGATCAATATCTATCAGTCTGAACGCAGGAGACGCACTGTCCACGCAGCGCCCAAAGAAAACAAGGTTCGTCACTGCTCAAATCCACACTGCAGAATTTCTACTCATAACTCAATGGGTTTTAAAGAAGCCATATTTTTCCCACATTAAGTGCCTATGACTGGTTGAGATACAATAAAATGCAATTATGGTCATGACTTAGACAAATATTTGACCATTTTCTTCCAGTTCATCATTTTTGTTTTTATGGTTGCATTACAAATTTTGAGGACAAAAATAAGTTGAATTTCTTACACCGCATTTCGTAATATTGTCGCCATCCTCCCCTCCCACGCACTTGGGTTAGAAAATGATGTGCAAAGTTTCCTTCCCGTAAAATGATAAAATCACACTGAATATTCCTCTATTTCTTTGTCTTTATTTGGAATTAGAATGGGTGTTCTTCAGTCATTTCTGATATTCTTGCTTCTCAACCTACAACTACTGCATATAATAAATGTATTGGTGAATAGCCTGCCCACCTCAGTCACATGCACTAGTCTCATTGTGATTCCAATTTATATTCTTATAACGGTTTACAAGCTTCTTCATGATGAGATACATGTTTAATCAAACTATGTTTCGAGAATTTATAAAAACCCAGCATTTAATTTGCGTTTATGACTGTAAACAAATGTATGAGTATAACAAACTTAGTATTTGGATATTTTGAAACTCGTTTGCGGATTTGAGTGGGAATTGTATCTTCATTGCACTATTATCCACAAGTAAAATGTACAATTCATTAATATGGAGCTTCAAAATATACTATATCGCCTGTCAATTATTGAACAATAAAAATCATTCCAAATGATTATAGTATATTGTAAAACAGGTCAAGTTAAACATACAGGCACATACAGTCTTTAATGTCATCTATAATCTCACTTCAATTAATACACAGAATAAAGAAACTAAATGCTTTGCGCAGATCAACCCTCCCCCTGAGTGTGTGTCTGACGAGGGGAAGAGGAGTCAGGGTAACCATGGTTACCAAACACGTGCTGCCATGGAGGAGACGAGTCGCCAGAGCGCAAACGATGAGGAAGACAGCACCTCTGAGGTACAGCAGCTCCCAAACGCCGCACTAGGATTCATGAATACTACGTGTTTCTATTTTAGAGGGAGGAATATGGCACATTATTTTTGGCATTTTTTGTTTTATTAATTGTTGAAATTATTAGAATACACAATGTACATGATTAAAAATGTTCTCAGCACGTAATTCCCCACTTCTACCACCAGGGAGAAAAGTTTTTTTTTGTTTTATGTTTATATCAAACCTTTTTAACATAATTAAAAAAAAAAAAAAGATAATACTAACTTTTTTTTAAAGGCAGAACAGCTCTGAACATAATAGTGTAAGGTTTCATCAGCAGCATACCAGGTGTGAGAAAAGAGAATTTAGACAGAAGGTGCCACAAGATGTGTTTGTGTCAGGCGTTCTTGATATCGGCAATGAAGAATCCAAGAACAAATCCTGGTCGGTTTTGTTGAGGGAAAAATGGTAACATGGTTATAATCTCAATTTTGTTATATATTTTTATGAAACACAATTAGTTTTGAGCTTTCAAATTTTAACGTGTCTCCTATTTATTCCTAGTATTTTCTTGGTTAATATCTTGGCCTAATGTTTCAGGCCGAGGTGGATGTGCGACAAGTGAACGGTCAATCCTCCGAAGACGAGAAAGAAGAAGAAGTTAAGGAGCCATGGCCCGACGACCACAGCAGCTCAAGGTGAACTTTCATCCCTTACACCTTAAAGAACTAGGAGTGTTTGCCACATACCCACACTTTATTTTTGTATTCATTACAAAAATGCTATCCATGTCCATGCAATGCATTGGGATATACGTCCTTTTGAAGAAAAAGTAGCGCAGGTTTGTGCTGGCGTGACATATTTTAGATCGAGTTTGGATGAAACAAGGAAGAGAATTTGTTTCGGGTCTCAGATTGTGACCAATCACAGCGAACCACTAGCCCCCACTTTCGTGAGAAAAGCCACGGACAGCTGAGTTAGCACAACAAGCGGCGGAGCTAACCTGAAGCTTCCGTGTCTTTGTCACCCGTTACTGCTTACACACCGAGACAGCCATCCCAAAGAAAGTCCCGTTCCTCCGTGCTTCTCGGTTCTATCATTCTATGGTCACGCCATCCACGTGCAAATGTAAGATACATAGATTTATCCATATTGGGAGACGCTAGCTCCGTAAACAACATTGGGTGTGCGGTAGCGGGGGGCGATAGCTTCGTGGGTGCGGGGAGGGGAGGAGAAAGAGCGAGGCCAGCGAGTCCGCTGCTTCAAAATCCCAAAGTCAGTTAGTGCAGCTTTAATGATCAGGACATTAAAGGGCATTACATTTTGACACTATGAAATCAACCAGTCACATTAGTCGCATTAAAAGCTAAACTACATCTACTGTATTCTATTTTCAGTGAATGCTCCAGCGACTACTCTGACTGGACGGCAGATGCTGGAATCAACCTAGAACCTCCCAAAAAGAGTGTCAAAGTGAAGAAGAAGAGCTCCGAGGAGGATACAGACAAGAAGAAAGAGGAGCGGAAGAAGGACAAGAAGAAGGAGAAAGTGGACAAAGACAAAGATGGAGCTTCACCAAAGAAGAGCAAACCGCCCAAAGAGAAGAGGAGGGAAGAGAAGGCCAAGGTCTGTAACACACTACAGCCGGGGTCTCAAACCAGTGGCTACTGCAGGTTTTAGTTACAACCTGAGCAGGAGCACTGTGGTCTCCACCTATTTCCACAAATTGCAGGTTGAAAGTTGACTCACCTGAGTCTCAGCTGCTCAGGTTGGTACTAAAACCTGCAGCCACACCAAATTCATTGGCATTTTGGAATGGATAGGTATAAAATGAGCGACAGTAGCTCAGTTGGTAGAGCATTGGCCTTCAGGCCTGAAGGTCGTGGGTTCAATTCCCACCTCTACACCTTCTCCACCGACTCCCACTGATGACTGCTGTCGTTGTGTCCTTGGGCAAGACACTTAACCCCACTTTGCCCAAAAGCCCCCACTGAAAGATCAAGGCTCTGCTCACACTCAGAGAGCTGCCGTCCTCCTGTGGACTCACCACCTGCAGAGGGTCAGTGAGGGGCTGGTGCTATGAGACTTGGGTGGCATCTCTGACTGCCACCCCCCTGACCCAGAAATGGATTAAAGGGTAGAAAATGGATGGAGGGTATAAAATGAATTGTTCTATATTTGAACACACACACACTTTTTGTTCATAGAATACTGATTTGTTGCTTTATGTTGTTGTTAATTGCAGCGAGCCCAGCTGCAGGAGCAGGGCCTGACTCTGGAGGAGTGGCTGCCGGCGGCCTGGATCACAGACACTGTCCCGCGGAGGTCTCCCTACATCCCCCAGATGGGAGACGAGGTCAGAGTCTGCACCAGAACACACTCACATGGCTGTGCACATTAGAGCTGGAGTGTGAAGGGATTTGTACCTTGGGAAAATTTTCATTTTAAGAGGTGATATAGAAAAATTATGTTCAGAGCTTTTAGGAAAGTATCAGTTATCCATACATTCACTTTGGTCCGCTTTATCTGAGGCAGCAGTTTGGGCAGAGATGCCCAGACCTCCTCACACACTTCCTCTGACGTTTCCTTCTGGGACCTAATCCCAGTGGGACATGCCTCTGGAACACTTCTCCAGGGAGGCATCCAAAACAGATACAGTAGATGGCTTGATCAAGGTCATTTGATCTTTGTTATTTATGTTGTTTTAATTAAAGAATGTGTGTTCGAGTGTTCTTTGTTTGCACCACAGTGCAAAGTCAGTTCAATAATAAAAAATATTTTATTTTCAATACTACTTTTTAGAGCACTATTTTGCAAGGACTTACATTTATTTAGTTGGATTTTAATAGTTCAGATTTGGATAGTTGGATTTTAAATAGTTATAGTAGTTATAGATATTAAAGTTATTATATTCTTCAAATGTATTTATTTGGTGTAAACTTATCTTTTTCAGGTTTACTACTTCAGACAAGGCCATGAGGCGTATGTGGAGATGGCAAAGCAAAAGAAAATCTTCAGCATCAATCCTAAAAAGCAGCCATGGCACAAGATGGAGCTCAGAGTAAGAACAAATGATCTTTGTCTAGTATCAATAATAGCAGATAACATTTTAATTTTTGGCTCATTGCTGAGAATTACATTATTGATTTGATCAGAGTTGCACAATATTAAGCCCAGTGCCCATCATGCAATTTTTAGAATGTGAGTTCTGTTTGAAAACTTTGCTAAAGATAAGAACACAGCATGCTGTGGTCTGATGCAATAATTTTACAACATACTATTAAAAGACACATTCTGTTAGTACGAACAAAATGTATTTTTAATGAAAAACGTTATGTACCCCAGCTTTAAGTCTTCTGTGTCCTTTGTAGGAGCAGGAGCTGATGAAGATTGTTGGGCTGAAATATGAAGTCGGTTTACCCACACTGTGCTGTCTCAAACTGGCCTTTCTAGACCCAGACTCCAGCAAACTCACTGGAGGATCCTTCTCTATGAAGTAAGTGCTTCACTTTTATTTTTTTCCCAAACTCATTTTACCTGACCTCAAGAGATTGCCATATTTGAGCAGAGTTTTAATACATCATAATGTCATGGATAGCTTATGAATTAAAGACAAATAAATGAAAGGAAAGCAGCCTTTTCAGATTGTATTTCTTGTGCTCTTGGGCAAAATGAATCTTTGAGTGTGAATAGCACTTTAGAGTTGACTTCAAGCAAACTAACCAACAGGAGATGTGTGCAAAGAGACACATGACCGGGATATTTAAATAGTATGCAACAATAATGCAAATCACCTGCCAAATAAAACATTGTGTGTTTTGTTGTCCTGTTGCAGATACCACGACATGCCAGATGTGATCGATTTCCTGGTTTTGCGACAGCAGTTTGAAAACGGTCGGCGACGGCAGTGGAGCATAGGTCGGTGAAAGTGGCCATCATAGATCGTTCATAAGCAGCACACAGAGTGAGCGCTGACGTCAAACAGCGTTTTTCTTTTTCCGGATGTAGCCGATTAGATCTAATTCTACTACAATCCATGGAAATTGAACAGAGAGCGTGGCTGGTTTGTTCATCTTGCCAAGAAAAAAGTTTTTAAAAAGAATTTGGAAATCGATGTCACCTGAATCTTGGTCACATAAAATGGGTCATATCAGGTTCGCAAAGACAATAGGTTTTGTTTATTCACAACATTACAAAGAGCCATCGTAGTTGAGAAATCTTTCCTGATCACGATGGTGAAAAGTGTCTATATAATAAAACAAAAACTGTCGCAAAGTTCCACAGTCTATAGTTGCAATGATGTCTCTGCAGGTGACAGATTCCGGTCGGTGATTGATGACGCCTGGTGGTTTGGGACGATCGAGAGCCAGGAGCCGTTCCAGCATCAGTACCAGGACAGCCTATTCCTCTGCTACAGCGTCTGGTACGAGCTTTTCCACAGGCCTGTCACCATGTCTGCTTTCATATTATGAGAGGAATATTGATTCAGACGACATAAGCTGCATCTGATTTTTCAAATGTATTTGTGACAATTTGTGACTTTATTTTTTAGATTGGGTTTATACATTGGTTTCTATTTTTTTTGTCATATTCAGCTTTTTCATGACTTTGTTCCATTACGCAATTATTCATCTTTCATAACCCAGGAGACTTTCTGTTTCTTGCAGTATTCATAAGTTTATAATTAGATTCAGAGCAAAGGCATGATCTCATTTGAACCATACCTGTTCTGGAACAAAATGAGTGGTGAACTGCATGTCAAACTGATTTTGGTTTTTAGTCTTATCAATGTATGACCTTAGATTAGGAGTGCAGTAGTTATGTTATAAAAGGAGAAATATGAGCAGACAAACCTTTTTGTTTGCAAATATCTTTAGCTTTTGTGAAATCATCATTTGACAAATCAATTAATTTTTGTACAGAGCATAATCACAGTAATTGGTCATCTCGAAGGATTTCACAAAATTATTGATTTGCCAATAGCAAAATGGAAAATCTTTTTTTGTTAATTTGCCAAAAATACAGATTCACTTATTTTCACGGACATTTAACATATAATAATAATGTCCCAAAGTATCCCCTGTCCTTAGACCCTCCTTTGGCCAGATAAAAAAATATATATCATTGGAAAAAGAAGAGGGGATCCGGGCTGCTGGTCCAGGCATGAGAATCAGGTGTTGAGGCACAGATATCCCCATAGTGCCACTTCATCGTTTCCCAGGATTAGAAAATATTTTCCTTCCATTTTGAGATGCTTCACAGCTGTGATTTACTTTGATTCAGTTAATTCAGTAAAAGCTTGAGCCTTGATTTTCATTCATAGGTAACTTTTGCGCTGCAGCTGAATGAGTCACATCTCAACGTTGAACTGTCTCAAATGAGATGGAAGATATTTGTGCAATGCTTTTTAACAAATTTGAATACGCCACAGGAAAGGTCACTGAAACGGAGAAAGTGACTCATTGCATTTACATTATCTTTGTTTTCAGCTGGGACAATGGAGACACCGAGAGGATGAGCCCCTGGGACATGGAGCCTGTGCCTGACGATGGTGGGTCTTTTCAACTCTGCATTTGGCCACATATTAGAATGAATGCCTTTGTTAGTCCCACTGTGGGGAAATTAGCAAAAAATAGAATAAAGTAAAGTAATAAGGGCTTGAAGTAAGTTTGATCTTGATTCGTGTATATTTTGACTGTCTTCAAATAAGAATTACCGATGGAACAAGTGTAAAAAGTCTTGTTTGACCTAAAATAAGCAACTTAATCGGTAATTTACCATGTGGATTAAAACTACTCCAACCCGCTTGTTCCATTGGTAAATTTTGTTTTAAAGCCCCAGTACGTACGTTTAAGGAAGGTTAGTGTGTGTATTTCTCCATTCACTCCCCATGTCGTGGTGGCGGAAGCTGGGCCACCTCACCCTCCGACCATCACCATCCCTTCATTCAGGCACTCGGCACATTCAAAACTGTTGTACGTGTTTTTAGTTGTAGGAGAAACTGGAGCAACCGGAGGCAACTTACGCAGACAAGGGGAGAACATGCAAACCCGACGCAGAAAGGCTCCGCGTCGCCCGGGAGTCGAACCAAGGACCGTCTTGCTGCGAGGCAAGAGCTCTAATAGCTGCGGCACTGTTTTTATTTATTTTTTCTAATGTTTTTAACTCATTGTTTTAATTGCACTGAAATAAGTAACTGAGTGAGCTTGCATCTCCACAAACCTGACTCATACTTGTCCTGGAGGAGGGTCTTCTCCTGTTTGTCTCCATGAAAATGTCGCTTCTTTGGCTGTAATCTCCCCAGCATTTTAAGAGATTTTATTTCCATGGAATCATGCAGGTGATATTCTACCTCCAGAAGGTTACGTACTGTTGCTTTAAGACAGTCAAAAACGTGCTGTAAGATGAATATTAGGGAGATGATGATAATGTGGTGAGTTGTGTGGGCTAGTTTTAATAATAATTGATTTTCATATCGGCAGCCTCGTTCCCTGACGAGCTGGGCCTGAGTGTCCCGCTGACAGAGGAGGAGCACCGCGAGCTGCTCTACGTCCCAGTGGAGGGCGAGTGGGGCTGCAGAGCCAGAGCTGACGAGTGCGACCGCATCATTAAAGCCATCGACCAGCTCTGCACTCTGGGTACTACTACTGCATTACATTTACAGTTTGCTTTCATTGGGGAGTTTGTCCATAGTTTATGAACTTGTAGAGTCCTACATTACAGAACTCTTTTACCCTATGACCAAAGAACACATCTATTTTCAGGTTATTAAAATTATTAAAGGGGTACTGAATTTTATGGGGTTTTAATTTGACAACATCTGATAAAAAATGCATACATTTGAAGTGTAGAATTTTTTAAACTGTCTCTGATCATGAATTGGGAAACTCATTCTAAAGCACATTATTTTGACATAATGTGACCAATTTTTACTTATTCCTCACTCCTATTTTGTTTAAGGAAGTGGTAAAAGAAATGGGCCTCAGTAACAGACGAACAGAAGGCTTGCAAGCAAATTAGAGTTCTTATGGTTATTTATAAAGTATGAAAATATATAAACTTCAGGATTTTACCGATGAAGGTGGTATCACAATTTCCCTAAAAAATTACCAAATCTAGGGCTGGTTAGATAGTCAACACACGCTCAGCAATACAATGGTATGCGTTGCCATTAGTGACATTAATGATGTGGAAAACCCTGTTGTTTAGATGATTATTTTGAAGCTCATTTTCAGTGTTGCCTTTTATATTAGTCATGGTTCTAAGGGGAAGTGAAGTCATTGGCTGACTTCACTGACTCACTACTCTTGTGATACGGGAAACTATGAAGTGTGCGTTTCTCCCGTAGAACTGACTCTTGATGTAGTTTTGGGAAATGCTGTGGGTTCTGAGAAAGTGATACGTTTCACTTGGTTTGAACTTAGATTGGTGTCACAATACAAAATGTACGAACCTAATTTCAATATTGGTAAGAAGACTTATTTTTTTCCATGAGCAACAGTTTTTACATAGACAATACAAAATGGGCTCAGAGATTGATACTTTCTAAGCATTGATACTTTCTGAGATGAGTAGTTTTTAGTTTCCAGTTTTGATTCCGTTGATTGATAATTGATTTTCAAGACAACTCTACTTAGTGCTATTTCAGTACTTTGAAAGTCCTGTTTTGCGCACCCAGTAGTAGTATAATAGAGAGATTGGAGAGATTCATCTTCCACGAATTTGAGCCTCACTTTTGATTATTATTAATATCAATCTTATTAATCTGGTGTTTATTAAGGTCAAACAAAAACGATAATTTGTGTAAAATGTGTAAGAATCCTTGTGCTAAAAACTGCAGCCACCTTGATCCCTGTTAAGAATGATGTCATTGTCACAGCGAATTCAGTCCTTATCTGCAATATGCTGTAATAAAAGGCGGGAGAGTGTGCCCCCTAGTGACAGAATAAGCTAAAGCATAAATAAGCCTTTTTGATCTTCACTCCCACACATCATGCCTCATTAGATTTGCATCAAACATGGTACGGAAATGATACAGTGACAATAAAGTTTTCTTAACATGCAAACTAAAGACAATGCAAATTTGTTTTAGAAGTTGCAGAGTAAGTCAAACATTGAATACCTACACAAAACATACTTTACGCTTAAATTAAAACTATCCTAAAACTAAGCTAAAAGTAATTATAAAATGTATGAATAAAGATGGTTGTGGTGTACACAAGGAACCATGACGCATAAACACACTATGTTATATTTCTCATTGTTTATGTCTTTTTACTATTCACTATTTGTAGTAGCTTATAACTATCAAAATCCTGGAAAAATGAACTGGATAATCTGGATTTGCTACAACTCCACACTCACAAATAAAAATGCTTCCATCAAATTTCAAACATTTTAATCAGGTTTTTATTAATATTTGGCCTGGAGATTTTTGTTCTTTAGTTCAGGTCCCTAAATGTCAATTTGCCTCAGCTGTTTGGATTGACCCAAACTCTGCGGACAGAGTTTTTGATCTTTCTCTGTGCTGGCTCCAGTCCACTTATAATGAGAGTAAATGAGTCATAAGCTTTACAATGAGTGCAGCCTTTTGGTTTTACTCCAAAGGTTTCAGACAGATTCAGTTTTTTAATGTTTTCAGGGAGTGCAAGTAACCTTCATTTATAAAGCGTCCCTCACAGAGATTGGCTCACAAGGTCCTTCCCAAGTTAAAATGAGACAGTAAAAAACACATTAAAAGTGGGTGCCACCAACTCAAATGCTCGTTCAACCCGTGTTACAGTGGGACAATTAAGGCAGACCTAAACAAATATTTTTATGGCACAAAAGATACTCTCTTTTTACCTTTTAAACATGTTTGCACATTTCACTATCTTTTCACACACCCTGAGTGATCCTATTTATGCCAAATGTGACATTTAAATTTCTTCATTGTGAGATCAATGTTTCATCTTATCTTTTCTAATATATCTACATAAATAGTAAAATGTAATCTAAACAATCCAGAATAAACATTAAACATTTTAACGTTTCTTTCCTTCATTCATCCCCAGATGTGGCTGCTCCGTTCGCCTTCCCTGTGGACCTGCAGGCTTATCCAACCTACTGCACACTGGTGGCCTATGTCACTGACCTCAGCACCATACGCCAAAGGCTGGTCAACCGCTTCTACAGGTACATCTCATTATATGTACAGTATGTGTAAGCTCCAGAGGACATTAGATGGAAAACCGTCTTTGACCTGGATATAGTTGTTTTTTTCTTCAAGGAAATAAAATAAGCTGATTGCAAACTTTATCTGCGTTAATGAGCCATACCTCCGAAACATTTTTGCTGCTGTGTGAAGCACCTCAAACAGAATTGTGCAGTCTGTTTCAAATACACTAAATATATTTTAATCTGGAAAGACTCGAGACAAAGATTGCATTAGAATATTTATAGTCGAGATGCATGAATAGACACCAGCAGACTTAGATGAAATGTTCATTCAGATTGGCAATTAGACCCTGGAAGGAATACTGCATGACATATGAAGAGGCGGTGATGGGGAGGAGGTGGATTGCTGCTCGAACAGCTACTTGAGCTGCAGAGAACTGAGATCTGTTTAAATGCAGCCATAAAGTGATGATCAGCACAGGTGTGTTACTGAGGCATGACGTCTCTTTGGTCTTCCAGTCTGAATTTGCGCTTAAGCTTTAATATAATGAGCATAATGGTCATCACTATGTAGCGGACAGAGCACGTTACGTCTTATCTCTAAGACACATCCCTGTAGATGTGTCTTAAGGCTAATGTGTGTTTCAGGCGGCTGTCTTCTCTGATGTGGGAGGTGCGCTACATCGAACACAACACTCAGACGTTCAATGAACCGGGGGCTTTTATTGTGACCACTGCCAAGTTTGTCTCTGACCTCATGCTTCAGTTCATCAAGTAAGTGGAGAAAACATCAAGATAATATGTTTAAATTCTATTTTAAAAGCTTTGTTGAGTATTAAATCCTTCGATTGGCTTCTAATCTACACAAAGATGATTTATTACCAGTTGAATTAGATCTGGATAAGTCTTTGTGATAGACTCAAGTCTGCTGTACTCTCACTTTGACTTGCTGCTTAAAGCCAATATACTGTGATTGACCTGAGATCTGTGAGTTGAAGTGTGATGCTGGCAGGAAGAAAGTTTCCACTGAGGACTTTTACTCCATCAAATAAAAACAAGCCCTTAACTAAACTGACTTATCTCTGCATTTCTTTCTTTTTCAGAGACCAAAGTTTGACGGACCTCATGCCTCTTTACAAAACAATGAAGAAAGCCACTCTGTCCGACTCTGAAGACTCTGTATGTTAAAAACTATGGAATTTTTTAACAACGTACAATTTGACTGAATATTTTAAACCATAACATTGTGATTTTAGGATGATGAGGAAGAAGACGAAGATACCAATACTCCTGGGACATCCACAAGAAACCAGGTAGCAATAAAAGCACTGCTTCTCACAATTTGGATAATTATGTAAACAATTTTAAAGGCATAATCATTTGCATGAAAGAAACTTGGCGATAAACAAAGATATTGTCAATCACTGACAATTCACAATATCCCAGTTTTGAAAACATCATTCCTCGAAAGTTAAAATGCTCCTAAATTACGGAGAAAAATGCTTATAATCTTCCATTTCTTGCAAAAAATTGTCAATTGCTTTCACTAGTGGTATTTAGGGAGCAAAGAAGTTGAGTTTCATTTGAAGCACAGTAGCATTTATTATTTATTATTTCTTAAGATATTTAGTGAGCAACATGATGCCTGCAGTCACTCAGCTCACTCAAGAAGCAGGTTCAATGATTGTACCGATCGGCTTTTCTGTTTTGTCCCTATGATTCTTTGTTTATATGTAAAAATCCTCAAAGTATCCAAAGCAGCAGTCATAGTAATAGCAGTTAGTTCATATTTGTTCTCGACTCCCTGAAGGGTCGGCGGTCGACTCAAAGGCCGCTGCGGAACAGGAACTCGTCGTACGACCCTCACTCATGGAAGAGCCGCTGTAAAGACCTGCTGGACCTCATCTTCCAGTGTGAAGACTCGGAGCCTTTCAGGGAACCCGTGGATCTGCTCGAGTATCCGGTAAAATGCAATTTCAACTTTAATAATGATGTGGTTATTGTTAAAGGACCCAAACCTTATTGTGCAAAATTTGTTTTTAATTTTGTAATCATGTTACGACATTGTTCCCTCATCAAATATAAACCTCCAGTTGTTTCTAGCTCCATCCCCTTATATAATGGTTCACTTATATTATTGTATGAGTATCTCTGGCTCAAACCGGTACAAACGATTACCCCAACTTAAGGTTTTATTTTTAAAGGATTGGCTTGCGTGCAAAAGTGATGAGCACGCATTAGATCAAGCTGATTTATCATACACATTTCCTATACTGCTCAGCTTTGCTCCTGGGTTGATAATTATACCCTTCACTACACTATGGAGAATTCTCAGACTATACTGTAAGTCGTTTTCTGCTTTTTCAAACAAATGCCCTCCCTATAATATATATTCAGGAATTTCTCTTCTTTGTCAAATGTTCTTAACAACTAGACCGCATCGTGTTAGAGGCTGCTTTTGAGACGGAGGAAAGGAAGGTACACAGTGGAAACAAGATAATGGCTGGATGTGATTGGCTGGCCACATTACATTGCTACAACTGGAAATATGGTCTTCCTGGTTCCACTTATGCTTGAGCTTCTTTTCATTCATAATATTATTTCTTTAGGACTACTTGGAAATCGTGGACTCGCCCATGGACTTTGGCACAGTCCTGAACACACTGACGGGAGGTAAATACCAGTCGCCCATTGAGCTGTGCAAAGATGTCCGTCAGATTTTCATCAACTCTAAAGCCTACACTCCCAGCAAGAAATCCAAAGTAAGTGAACCCAAACTGCCATTTCAGACGATGCGCTTAGATTGCTTTTACTGGTTTACAAAGTAGTGTTATTTTTGGCAGATTTACAGCATGAGTTTGAGGCTGTCGGCTCTGTTTGAGGAGCACATCAGTCCCATTTTGGCGGATTACAAAGCCATCCACGGTTTGACGGACAGACTGACCAGACAGGGCTCAGACCGTCAGACCAAACACGCCTCGGACCGGCAAACGCGGCACGCCCCAAAGAGGAGGCGGAGGAGGAGCGACTCTGCCAGCAGCACAGCCTCCAGGTAAAACAACTTTATCTTGAGAGTAAGTAAGTAATTTATATAACGCATTTTGCAGACCAAGGCCACCCAAAGCGCTTCACAATGTTCAGAATTCAGATAGAGGAAGGAAAGGACACATGCATTATATAATCAAAAAACAAATATTACTTCCTTATGGCCTTTATCACTTCAGAATATTGACGGGGCGAATTTAGATGAATGCAGTATATATGCATAAATATGTAAAACTGGTTACTCCAACACTAATGATCCCTAATGTTGTCCTCAGTCCTGAAAGGAAGCGACGTGTTTCCAGCAGAGTGGTCTCCAAACGAGAGCCATCACCGCCCCACACCAGACCCCCCTTTTTGAGACAGAACATCCCGTCGAAACAGCCCCCCCTGCTGGTGAACGGGAAAAGCGACACTCTGACTCCAGGCCGAACCCGCAGCTCTGCACGCCTCCCAACTCATTCCCCACAACCCCCCACCACCGCCGCCAGCAACTCACAAACCACTCCAGGTGATTAAATAAAAAACATTTAACCTTTTGCCAACTTACATTTGGAGTTTTACTAATATTCCACCACGAGTTATGGTTACTTTAGTTAAGATATACTTTTATTGATCTCCATGTTATGAAACTAGGGGCTTCATAACTTTCTGTTTCAAGTCTAGAATATGTAATGTCTGTCCCAATAATTATCACTATTAGGGGGAAAATCTCTTGTAAATTTGTAAGAAAAAAAACCTTGTAAGTTACTATTTGACTCTTTGGGCTCAGAGCTGATGGCCTGAACATGAGCGGTCCTCCCTTTTTATTTTTCGTGTCTGAAAGGCTAAAGATGGGACAGGTACTAAAAATACAGGCAAGTGAAAACTAGTGATAAAATTATTTTGAGATCTAGGAACTAGTTACATGCATTTTATACATCCATTTTTTGTAGGTTTTGAAAGTTGGGGACCAAAGATTTAAAATTATATTATTTTTATCATGTTTCTATATTTGCAGAGTCCACCAGGTCGACTAGAGCTCACAACTCTCTCTCCTCTTCAACACCATCAGCGAACGACAGAGTGACATCACCACCTGCTGCTGAGATCAGTGGAGGAAGCACTCGCCGCAAACTCAGGACCCCCATACGACACACGGCTGGTAAACGTCTTATTTGTCATGTAGTCAAGTTGCTCAGGTCTGTGTCTGTCTTTTGAAGCTTTTCTTGTGACTTGAACACGCGGCCTTCAAACAGCCTTGGTCAGTAACGAGTAAACTGATGAGTTACTTAAGTCGTATTTTGGATGAAAATAAAGTAAAGCAACACAGAGACAGTCATTGGTTCAGCATGCAAAGTTAATTCAATTCAATTAATTTTTGTACAGCCCTAAATCAGTCTTAAAAGACTACAATGTTTGCAATTCACCAACAACAGATCAGTCTTGCTCTGTAGAAATGACGTGTTCTCCCAGTGTCACGGTTTCCCCTACCACTAAAAATGTACCATAGTTTAAATCCGCCAGCTCTGGTCCTGAACAAGCAAAGTATCAACATCCAGAGATGGGTCCGCAGGCGCTGCACTGTGGTGACCACTGCTCCTGAGGTCCTAGTGTTAGTGCAGGATGAGGCAAATGCAAAGAACAGATGACCACAGGGACAATAAAGTCTGCATTAACTGTAACAACACTTTTCATTCAAGGTTATAAAGGAGGATTTTCTACTTCCAGGTGGATCGTCAAGACTATTGGTCTTCCTAAATGTCAATCATTCTGGTGCGTGCTCGTCAAATAAGACCAGAGAGTTTTTCTCAAAAAGTTGAGAAGGCGGTTCTTTCTAAAATTTGGGAAAATCCTCCTATATATCTTTAACTATAACACTTGACCCTCTTTGACCCCAAGTGTCAGTAGATTTATAAAGTAAACTGTCTTTCACATAGAAACTGCTGCCAGCGCGTCCACGCCAACCACTGCTCACCTGAACGGACACAACAGTCACGTGACCGTGGGGAGGCGGAGTCGTAGGATGGGGGCGGAGCCTCCCTTGAGTCCTCCTGAAGACGTCTCCACAAGTCCAGAAAGTCCGTCCAGACCACGGGGCCGCCCTCTAGCCTCCACCAAGAAGAAAAGCAAAACGAAACCAGAGACTGACGAAGAGCTCAGCCAATCCACAGGAGACGAGGGCGGGGCTTCCTCTGCTGTGTCAGATTCTGGTATGTTTTTGATACGACTCAAAACAAAGCCTAGTGAAATCCCTTACTTTTTTTTCACTGTAGATAACTGTATAGTGGAAGCACTTTTAACAAAATGTCAATGACAGCAATGACAGTGATAGTCTATAGTCTATGTCCGTGGTTCCAAACCTTTTCCCCCCTGTGTACCCCTCGCCAGCATAGTCAGGGCATGAGTACCCCCTGTTGTTAAGTAGGTATCTTTCATGAATGTGATGACCCTGCGGTACATTTTGGGCCAATTATTAGCCTGAAGTCTTAATTCTCAAAGCAATTAAAGGCCTCCAACTAACACATTGCTGACTGTATTTGTCATATACGTGACTGCACTGCTAGATTGGGTTATATTACATGGAAAGTAAGAACAATTGCAAAGTTATTGCAATGGAAATTAAGCAATGAAAAGGATTGTTATAATATACTCTGACATCTGTAAATGACTGAACAATTAGTGGATATGTAGTAAATTATAGTGAATGAACAGTGTGTTGTGTAATTAATAGACAATATACAAATGAAAATCAACAGAAAGCGACAGTATTTTATGACATCTGCCCCTTTTGATGTAGGCATGCCATCACCACGACGACGAGGGAGACCCAAAACGAGCTATGCCGAGGAAACGCCGCCTCCTAAAGAGTCACAAACCGAGCCCTTAAGACGGAGCAGCCGCCACACGCCAGAAGAGACCACTCCCCCTTCTCACACAACCTCACCACAGACCCACCGCAGAGAGCCCCCAGCCGAGGGCCTGGAGGACCCGGCCGGGAGCATGCGCACGCGGAACCAGGGCCGGCGCTCAGCCTGGTACATGGAGGAGGACTCTGAGGAGGAGCAAAGACAGCTGCTTTTTGAAGACTCCTCCATCACCTTCGGGACGTCGTCAAAGGGCCGCGTGAGGAAGCTCACAGAGAAAGCCAAAGCCAATCTCATTGGCTGGTAATAGACTTTTTGAAATGAACCAACCAAATATAAAATGGTTCATATGGAGCAAGGCATGTGTGTAGGGGAGGGCAATAATGACAAATATGTGTATTTTAGGACGTGTTTGGCAAACAATATACATAAAATTCATTTCATAAGTGCAATAATTTGAAATGTAAGCACGGAAGATTAGTTTTTCTTTCACTAGAATTGTTGTAAAGCTGGAATAACTTTTTTTTTAATCCATTTTGCTTGTCCCAGACAGCAACATGCTTTTCCATCTCATTAGAAAACATTGTATCTTTTGGACACTGAGAGCTGATTGGCTGAGTGAGGGCTGGTCCTCTTTTACACAGAAAAAGCTGATCCAAGGATGCGACAAAGGCCACACATACATACACATGAACAATCGTCTCACAAGTTCAAAGTTAAATACCCCAGCTTTAACAATGAGAATATGATCAAAATGACTACTGCCATAACCTGCTTTTTATTTTTTGGATCTATTGCCCTCCTCCACACATGTGCGACTCCTGTATTATTGGTCCATGTTGGATCTTCCCAGATCGGAGTTTATGTGCAAAACCCATCACTTTATATGACTTTAAACACTTGGTCCAAACAGCACTGGCTAACATCAAGGAGAGAGCAGAGGGACGTGTCCAAGTCGTCCGCAGAAGATGGATTTCTCGCATTTGGTCTTTGATGAACTTACAGGCCACTGGAAACGTCTTTTTCCTTTTCTTTTTCTTTTTTTTACACACGCCTGCCTGCTCTTTTGTAAGGTTTGTACTTGTGACTGGCTCTTACACAAAACCTAGAAGTGTCCGCGTGCTACAAACCAAATGGTGTACCTAAAGCGGGTACTGTAGATATATACGAGATGTGTTTACTGTTGAAGTGATGGGCAAATGCGTTTTCTGCGTGCGTAGAGTGGAAACGGCGTGTTCTGTGAGCGCGAGAGGTGAGGCCTGAATGGAAGACCAGGTTATAAGACATTTGTAAACATTGAGACACTGTAAAAACAATTGAATTGCAAAAAAAAGCTTGTATAGAACCAGGACAAATTTGAAAGCCATTAAATTACGACAAAATTGATCTAGTCAAGCTAAGGGAGCTAGGTAATTAAAGGGGACATAACATGCAGAGTCAGAACCTTTTCCTCTCATGATTTACACACTCATGAGTAATTTAGATTCTTCTTAAGTTGCCGTTTCTCCCTCATGGCTTCTGGTGTCCGGGTGAGTTCCTCTGGGCGCTCCGGTTTCCACCACCATACAAAACGTGCTGCATAGGTAGAACCCTCCAGCTACAGTCCTGACCAAGCTTCAACATCGGGAGGGAATACAAAGCATTTTTCCTTACCTGGATGGATTTGCCAGATTTTGCTCAAAGGGGCAAAAACAGTGCTGTTTGGTAACGGTTTCGCAGGACTTTTTATATCATTGTTTAAGATCAACAATCTTTTAAAATATACTCAATGAGTCACGGGTGTCTTCAATTCTCACTGGTAGCATGCTATGTCCCCTTTAACAAAGGTTTTAACTTAAAGGGTACGATGGAAGTGTTTGTTGCCACCGGTTTGATGCCATTTTATTGAAATGCACCTCAGTTTGCTGGTCTCCATACAGACGGGTGAGTTTAATGCCATACTGTGGGATATTCCGGGCAATAATATGACGTTAGGGTGGCAGACACTGTGTTTTTATCACAAACTTTGCGTCGAGTATAGAATTTGTGGAGACATGAATTTTCCATGAATGCTTAATTTATGGGGCATTAGATTTTTTAAATATTTATCAAATTTACAGTGTCCCAATTTTTATGAAAACAATATATTTCAGTTTGTCCGTCATTAGCAACACCTTGTGCCTTTTGTGAGTCTTTTCTGCAATGTAGATGTGCCTGCCTGGAGTGAGTGTGGTTTTATAACTGTGTATGAATGAGTTCTAAAGGAGCACGGTGATACATTTCTGATGGGGGAAGTCTTTTACCTAAATGGGTTGTCTGGGAGCAAGATTACTTTTTACAGGAGGGCAGGGGAAGCGCGGACTGAAATTATATTTTATTCTCTCCGGTTTTAGGGAAGGGGAATGAGCTAGCCAATTTGGAAAAACTATGGAGGCCACAAGCAGGCCAAAACATTAAGCACTTCCCATGTTATCCTATTAAAACTACTTTTTAGCTGCCTTTGTGGCATCAAAGCAAAGCAAGAACATCTCATATTGGGCCACAGGGATTTGTCAAATAAATTTCCCATCAATCATCACTGTAACACTTTTATTTGAATGTTTTCTTTGACTGGAAACACTTCAATCCCTGGTTTTAAGATGCTAAAGAAACAAAATAACAATTGAACTAGTGGCCTGGTGCAGTACAGTACTATCACACCTGTATTTAATATTATATCCTAAACGACAAAAAAATAATCAGGTTTTTACTTTTTCAATGACATTTCTCGACAAAAAAACAACAATTTCTCAATGTATAAAAGGCATCGTGTGTGACCGCTCGTATCCCCGGGCGACCCCTCTCCCAGCAGAAAAGTTCCCCGTGCTTCCTTCAACTGTCGGCGTATCAACAGTGACGTAGACTTGATCACAACGAAACGATTTCAAAGTATATTCAGTTGTTGTTTGCTGTACTAACCTTATACCATTACTCATGTCATAAATACTATATTATACACCATTTCCATTCACTTTAGGTACAGGTTTGGAGCTCGAGGTGATTAGCTTTGAAAGGCACTCGCCACGAATGATGTAACGGACGCAGTGGAGTCTCTGAATACTATACAGTTCTATATAGAGTCGCATGTTCTAGCACTTTCTCACCCCGGACTTCTCAAAGAACATCTCTTGTTATCTTTCTGATCGCGTGCCTTGGCTGCTCCGGCGTTTTCTCTCTTCATTCCTCCTTTACAACAGATATAACTTAACTGGCTCGGGTTATACGTTTAAAAATACAACATGTTTTTTTGAGGCTTGTGTTGAAGAGAAATGAACGAGGTTGAATTGACAAAGTTGGCACGTTTCCACTACTCATAATATTTTGGGATGGCCAATATTTTATATTTGTCTCGCTGTTGTGTCCATTAACTGTTATGAATACATTGTAAGGTTCCGGATGAAGTTAAGTGGGGGTACCTGACTTTTTTTCCCCACATAAATAATGCTTTTTATTTGTCCCAAGTAAACGTCCATCAATCCACCAATCAAACCCAGCCTGGCATCTTTATCTAAAATGTAATCTTTTGCATACTGACCATCGGAGTCATTATGTGATGCTTTGGGCTGAGCGGTCCTCTTGTTTTCACTTTCCTGTCTAAGAAAAGTGAAATAAAGAAGTGATGGAGGCAAAAACATGCATGTGAAAACTAGAGATGGAACCAATGTGTAGGTTGTAATTGCTATAAATATCCTCACTCTGAAAAAAGTTATTTGTGGCTTGAAAGTAAGCTACCCCTGCTTTCATTTTTAAATTCACATTCAGTATATGTGTGTGTTTTACTATCAAAGAGCAAAAGGAAATGATTTGTTTTGATTATTGACTTCTATTATTTGATTGGGTGTAGTCAGTGTTGACAGCATTGTGGACAATCTGGAGAAAAACCAGGCTGCCCATGGTGCCATGATGGGGACAAATATCGCCTTTTTCCGGGAAACCACTTTTTATATCGGCCATCCTTCTCTCTCACCAAAGGAAACCAGAATATTTCTTCATATGTTGTCGGGTTCTTGTTAAGTCCATTTGATATCAATATATTTTGTGATGTGTTTTCAAGGCCAAACTCTGTCTTGAGGTACTGAAGTCAGAGGACGTGGATTATTGAATGTTTTTTATTTTTCTATGTCCAACTTTTTGTCTGTGAAAAGTACATACTTGTGTTTGATTTTTCCATCGGGACGTGGATCATGTATCACTAGTTATATTAGCACAGTGCTGTCAATAACAGAAGGAACGTCTTCACTTTATGGGTGAAAGCAAATGATATATGACATTTAACACTAGTTTATAGGCAAATTATCCGTGCTTCAAAGACAATAGGAACTTATCAGAACATTAATTATAGTAATATATGAGCCGCTGTTTAATTGTGTTCACCAAAACAAGAATATATGGTCAACCAGATACAGAGATCACATTTATTTAAGATTACCTTTTTGGTTCAAATCATTCAAACATGTAAAATATGTTTTAGCAAGTCTGTTATAATGTGTTTCATTCAAATCCATTGTGTTTGGATGAAAACAGATGTGTGTGGGCCGTGCCAAAGTGTGGTGGGGTGATTGGGAAAACTGCGCAGGGTCTGGGTGAACTGAAGAGCTGTCTTTGTTTGTTACTTTTATATACTGTACAAAAATGCAAAAAGAAGCTTTGTGCTAGAATGTGTAGGGGTGTACTGCTGTCCTGTTAGTTCATACCAATATTTTAAATAAAATGTTGTGTTTTCATATCTGGGATCTTCATTGTCGTCCTTTTTATCAAAATGAAGAGATCCTTCATTCGTCCCTATTCTAAAGGACAACTCTTTACATTCAGAAAAAGAAAAAAAACATAACCTAAAACATCTTTAGCTTAATAAGGAAACAAAGTATAACATACTACATACTCTAACTCGATATTTCTTCCACTCTTGCTCTTTGGGTTCAAATATTCACAACTACTATACATGTGAGCAGCACGAGGCTCTCAGCTAAAAATAAATCCCATATTGTACATTATTATTGCACAGAAGCATGACATGTGAGGTGAGGTCGACCGTGTCAGTTGATATATTCTTATATCGAAAAAAAAGTTTTTACAAAATGTGAAAAATTCTTAAGCATTCATGTTGGGGCTAGATTAGTCATATTTGTTTTTTAACATAGGTGGTGCTCTCTGTGGTTCAACAGCTTGTCTGCACTCTGCTGTATTGTCTGGTTGTAACTGTATAGACAAACATTCTCATATAATATGGTATTTATCATCACCAACCATTCTCACACACACTAGACTAATTCTGAGCAATGTGAGTAAAGTGTCATGCCTAAGGACACAACGACAATTTGGAACCCATCACTGCCCTAACCAGACTCTATCCTGCTTTGCTTCAGAAGACTCACAGGATCTGAATTTCATGTGCTAGTATATGGCCACAAATTATTGCTGATATGTACCCGTATATTGAATATTGTAATAATATAGTAATAATTTTAACTTCTATATTATATGTGTATGTGTGTTGATTCGTACTATGCCTTACTCTATTCTCCAATTGTCTACTCTTGACTTGTTTGCACGGGCTAATAAACCACAAACACCACTGATAGATCAAACAAAGTTGAATAATTCCTTTCTAAACTCTAGGTGCTGAAAGAATGTTCATTAAAGAGCAGAAAGTAGAAAGTGCGTTTGATAATAGTACAGTGTGTAGCAGCGCCGCTCAGTGTTGGCTCAGCGTCACTGCAGCGTGGTCCTGCTCACGCTGCTCCTGACGTGGCGCGCCGCTAAAGGGCCGCGTCTTCCTCCGTGGGGCGTCACGATTGGGCAGAGCAACAAGTTTGTCAAGTTTTAGGACAAATTACATGTAAATGTCGATGGTAAACAGCAGCATGGAGCAGACGGAGCTGAGGGGAAATAAAACTCCCACTACGTGACAGACGCGGTAGGAGCTCACGCACGACTGATCAGCAAAAGTCATCAAGGCAAGTTCCAACTAATGTAGAAAGACTTTTAATGACGCGATGCACTCATTTGAAAACGTTGCAGAGTTTTCACGTTCCAACTATTTATGTTTGTCATTAGCTCCAAGGAATAATGTGTTTTCCTCGAAACTTTCTACCCGCGCAGCAGTGTGTGCGGCACCTGTTGTAGACCAGGCAGGTCTAAACTATGGCCCCCGGGAAGAGTGTGGCCCCTAAATCATGTTTTCTGGCTCCTTAAAGCTGGAGTACCTAACTTTAAAACCGCAAAAGAAAATGGGTTAAGGCTAGTTTTCACGTGGATGGAATTTTCTCATCACATCTTCATCTTTTTCAGACAATATATGTAATATGTTTTGTAATTAGATAAAGGGGCTGTTCACATGTACCTGGGTATTGTTGAATACAGACTTTCTGCTGCGTTTGCTTCGTTCACACAGAGACAGAGCATCCGCTTCTAAAAACTGGGATTTTTTTGGGAGATTTTTGAAAATGTTTTGCCTTTGCGTGTGAACAGACAGAGTTTACTGACTGAATATCAAAGGAAAGAGGGGGGCGTCACATTTCTATCCCCTCCTTTTATAAACTTGTATCGGCTTTTACAGATAAAAAGGGCCTGTGCCCAAACTGTGTGTGAAAGGCTTTATCATTTCCCTTCTTTGTGCCAATATTTTTTCTTGTAGGCTTTGATTAATTAAATAGGCCTAAATAAATAGAAATAATCTATTTGCTCAATTGTATTGTTAATACATTTATCATAATAATAATAAATCTCTATTTGTATAGCACTTTTAAAAACAGTGTTTACAAAGCGCTTCACAGTCAGCATAAGGCTGTAAAACAGTCAATAATACAGTCAGATCAAAAATAAATACAGCAGACAAAACAAAGAGAGAGTGGGACAGTAAAATTCAACATGTGAACTTTAAAACGAGATGTTAAAAGCTGTTTGATAAAAGTGGGTTTCAAGAAGTGATTTATAAGAGGATGCTGATGTTGCTAGCCTTCTGTTCTATAACTCCATTTGAATAGGCCACTTCACAATATAAATGAGAATCTTTGGCTGTGCATGCAGGGCCAAATCTATGGATACTACTGCTTCAGGCCTCAGATATGTTTCATTTCTGATTCATCGATCTGAAAATTGACAGTTTTGGCTTTTGATGTTGGTATGTTGTGTCCCTTTGTGACAGGTTCCCCCCTGGTCCTGGTCTTGGTCCTGTCCCCGTCCCTGGTCCTGGCCCCCTCCTCCAGAGATGCCTCTTCTGCCTCAGCTCTCCGGCACAGCTCTGCTTCAGCTCGCTCTGCTCCTGTCTGCGGTCCCGGCTCAGTACTACATCTCCCGCTGGTACGGGACCACGGCCACACAGCGGTTCCACGCCACGGCGAGGTGAGAAGGGACGTCTGCAAGGTGACAATACTGAGAGAGTAACAAAAACATGACAGATGTGATAACACTACTATTGGAACGCATGGTTGTAAAATCTATTTCCTTTGTTTTTTTATTATCAATTTTTTTTCTGTGAAATTTTGTGGAAATTGTTCTATATCCAAGGCCAATTAGGAACAAAGGGAATCACAAATAATCTCTTCCATACGCTTTCTCAATACAAATGTTGATCAGTGTGGCTGCATCTATGGATCATTTTAGTAATTGAGTAATTTATCAACTATTATAGCTTAATGAATAATTTAAATAATATTTTTTTCCTTCCACAAAACACATCTAAATGCCTATTACATACAGGTTTCAAAAATAGATTAATGATAGAATTATGATAGATAATCATAGATTTTGAATGAAAAAAAAAGTTGATATTAGTACATTTTTAAAACAAGATAATTTTGCTTTGTCCCATTGGCAAATATGGTTTTAAGGCAATAAAAATGTGCTTAAACTAAGATACATTTTGACAAATTTGAGCAATTTTAGACTTTTTTTTCATCACTTTTTGCAGTTTACAGGTGTCAATTGTCCAGAAATCGAGATGATAGAGATTAATCAATCCAGTTAAACCCAGAATTGTTGTTGTTGGTCAAAAAAATCAATAAATTATAAAAATAAAAATAATTATGTTTTTAAATTTTGTAATGGAAAATATTTTTGATTGAGGTCTTTGAGTGGTTTCCGTTTGACTCTGATATAGAAGTAAAGTGGATGTGTGTGTGTGTGTGTGTGTGGGTGTGTTCTTGGCCACAGGTTACACCGCATTTGGAAAGACTGGTCGTCCTACCTGAATGCCACGGCCTGGAGCGAGTGGAGCAGCCGCCATTTCTCCAAAGTAATGTGAGGACGCGTTTGAAACTGTTTGGCCTCTAGTTTATTAGTGCACATTAATCCACATCTATCTGGGTAAATACCAGATTTTAGCCACAACGGCAAGTTTCTGTCTGTAGACCCGGGGCAGGTAGATGTTACAGCCACCAACAAACGGGAGCAAGAGTTAAATTAAAAACATGTACAGACAGAAAAAAGTTTGTTAGTAAAAGCAGAAACATAAAAACATACACATTCTCTAATTTCCCCTCTGTGGGACTCATTCATTCATTCATAAAAAACAAGCAGTGGTTAGTGCTTGTGTTCCAAGTGTGTCTGTTTGGTTTGCATGTTGCCGTCTGCGTTTTCCTCCCTGTTCTCCAGTTTCCTCCGTGTGCTCCGGTTTCCCCTACCACTAAAAACATGTACTGTAGGTCTGAATGTAATGAGTGAGTGAATGGATGGTGTTGGTTTGAGGCTTCGATGTGCGGCAGTGTGTTCGGCCGGCGTCTCGCTTCCGTCATTGGTCTAAAAAATGCGCTAAAATAATAAACATTGCTCACTTCCTTACTTATAAAATAAACAAAAACAAGACAGACAATAAGGACATTAACAGCTTGGATTGTTCTCGAGCCACAGTTTGAGAAACTTCAGTTACAAGTTTACGATTGGTTCTATGTTCTCCAGGTCTTATTTGGGATTTGAAGAGCCCATAGAAGAGTTCACCAAGATTCTGTCTCTGGAGAAAATGCTGATCGATAATGACCAAGGATATTTTGGAGGTATACAGTAGTATTCGTACATGAAAAGGCCTAGTTTATTTTTGGACATCATTTTTTATTTTTTTTCTGAGTTATAGCAGACGGTGGAGCGCAACTTGGGAGACACAATATTTCCCTAGCTATGTTAATTCTATTGAATGTGGTAGTTATCCTTTCTACTGTTATTATATTGTGACGTGAGAGCTTCTGTCAATACATCCATGTTTACTCTGCACACAGTTGTAAGTTTCTCCAGTGTGAGATCAAAAAAGTCTCTTATCTTATTCAGTTATTAGTGGGCTTAGTGATGTTTATTTTCCCTTCCTGCCCGGTTTTCCTTAAACACTGGATAATCTTTGATGGACTTGTGTTATGTCCATGTTATGTCTGTTCTTCAAATTACAATGTGACAGATTCATTACACCCATAATTTTGTTGATATTTGGAGATCACTGCTGTAGCAATTAAAACATCTCAGAAAATGCGATTATTTTGAATATTAAAGTCGCAATATGTAAGATTTTCATGGCAAGTCATCATTAAATGGCCCTAATCTGTCAAAAGGCAATAAACCATGCTCTTTTCCAATACTTCTTTAACTGATAACAGAAGTTCAGCTGAGATATTTCAATTTCAAAATCAGTTTTACAGCCCCTAAGTCTTGTTATTGTTTTCATTTTGATGTCCCGCCCTCCATTGTTTAACCAATCAGAAAGAGTGTGATCCAGGTTGCCAGAACTCACCCTGTCGAGCTAATCTCACTGGTAAAGTAACATGTGGCCGCAGAACTAAAAAAGGTCTCGTTATGATTCTCACATTGTTAATGACAAAACAAGAAATAAAACAAGGATTTTATCAGGCCTTTTTGTGAAAAATGTGTATGATGTAAATTTGTCGTTGACAAAACACTATTCAGTTATCATTATTATTATGGTCCCAGCTGGATTCGTCTGCATATCTGGCAACCTGAGTCAGGGAGAGGTTGCAGTACCAACTTTTGGCCAGGTTTTCACATACTGCTCCTTTTAATTGTAAGTCATAATCATCAAAATCATAACAAAAAAAACCAAACCGAAAACTTGTCATATGTCACTTTGCATGTAATCAGTTCATATCATGAATTGGTTTCACACTTTATGTTAAACTACAAAAATAAATGAGGTTTTTGAACAACATTCAACATTCATCCTTCTTTTTTTGCAATAAATGATTTACCTGGCCCTCCTGCAGAGCTCACCTGACACGTTTCTTTTCCCCCAGCCTCGAAAAGCGTCCGTCAGCCCCGCCCTCCGTTTGTGTTCCTGCGTGTGGGACAGGTCGTCATGGAGACCAGGGGGAACATGGTGGGGGTGGTGGTCAGCTGGGACCCAGAGCTCAGAGCCCCGGCTGAATGGGTGGACCGGGTCTACTCGGACTTTGAGGCAAGTATACAGTACTTACTTACAGTGGTGTATTTAGGATTTAGAATTTCTTAGCTACTTTTCAAAGATCATGAAAGATGAGATTTTTCCATTGATGATTTTTTCCCCGCAAAAATCTGGCAATTGTTGACAACACTAAATTAAATTTAGTAAAGCTTCATCTGACAATCCTTTCAGTAATCGAGTAGTCTATGACCCATTTTAACATCGTTGATATATGTTTAATTTTATATTTTTCATTGTTAATAGAGTATAGGTAAAGTATTATTCACATTACTTACTTACTTACTTACATTAAAAATAGAATAAGCCTAAAATACTTCTCCAACGAGAAACGTCTTAAATTTTGAATCAGATTGTCGCTTTCAGGACAGTAATGGCACAAAGCAGAAACATGTGTGGAACAAGTGCTGGATTAGTTCTTTGGCTTGCCTCGTATGAATATGTTAATGAATTGATTCATCAAGGCAACACAACTGGAATCAAAGCATTTTTGTAGTTGACTGTTCATTGGATTAGTCTGTTCTGGTATATACGTGATCTATCAGTTTAACACTAGAACTCAATTTGAAGGCTCTTAGTTTTGAAAGTGTTTACTCAGCATTTGTGCCTTTTTGGTCTGCATAACTTTGTGACTGTTTCTGTATCCATGAAAAGTTTTTAAACAATTTGTTTTTAAGCCAATAATGAACACTGCTTTTAATTCAGGAATGTTAGATCACTAGTAGATTTTTGAACGTCCAGGTCAATATAAATAAGTAGCTAGCTTAGCTGTTACTTGCTTAGCCATGGCACGGCAAAACCTTTGGGAACTATTCTATTTGCAGTAATTAAATAAACCTTTCGGCATTCATAAAAGTGTTTTGTGTGTTCAGTTGGCACAAAGCCGCATAATAAGCGGGAAAATGCATAGAACGCTTATCATCATCGGAAAATAAGTACTGGCAGGGCGAACCAGACCTGTCCTGAACGCTGGTCTATTGTATAGAACTGCAATCTATACAAAAATTTCTAAGATGTAAGATATTATATTATATATACATGTATCATATAATATCTTATATGTTTTTTAAGAATGTGGTACAGATGTGAGTCTGTAGATATGATGAAAGGAATAATGTATTTGTTTATTTGTAGCCATGGGCTAATTTGCATGGCTACAATCCAGAGCCATGCTTTTAATCTTTGATACGTATGAATTGTAACCCACTGCCTGGTTATGGTCCCCAGAGCACTAAAGCAGAGAGGACCCCTCATTACAAAGTGCTGTTTAACGGCCCTGCAGGAGCCTCCTCTGTGCTGATGGCCTACCTCCCCCAGACCCAACTGGAGCGGGTCAGCGACATGAGGGTGAGAGATATGTGAGATGTAGACTTCAGTTTTATGAGACACATATGAAGAGAATATGATCACATTCATAATACAACTGATTATTTGAGCAAGTCTTTGTTTTCTGGACTAAGGATACACAATCCAGTTTTGTCAAGCCAAATATCTGGCAATATCTGGCAATATCCGTTATGAACTGATACCACTAACTAGATCACCTCGGTTCTGTCTCAAATCTTTGCTAACTTACGAGCATCACATAACAGCTGGTTTATTGAACTGTTGATCAATAAGCATACAGCCCTAATTCTGTACAATGACAGATTCAAGTCATCCTATGTACTTTAACAGTGTGTGTGAGCGTGTTTAGAGAATTATTTTAAAGCTCATTTCTGTTCAGAAAATATCACTCAATGCTCTGTAATATAGGCTTGGTCCAAGATAAACAAATGATTAAATAAATGTTTGATGACATTTCCAGCCAAACATTCCCACGTTGGAGAAGTACTTCACTCATTTTGACGGCGAGCGGTTTGTGCTGCAGCCCTGGCTCAGAGCGATCTATCCTGAAGACGAAGAACCAGAAACTTGAGCAAGACAACACGGAATGTATGAAATATTGAGGAGGCCAAAGTGAGGAAAAATGTTTTAATCAGTTATGTAAGCGTAAAAATATAGATAATTTTCTGTGCAAAATGATTGTATTCAGTGTTTTAATAAATATGCACTTTAATTTGTAAAAAGTCTTCATTCAAAAAGCTGTCATTGTAGTGTAGTTAAAGCTGTCTTCCAGGTCTGTCTCTGATGAGAAAAGTAATGGATACACGAGAAACAGCCAAGATGGCGGGAATGGAGGTAATATTATCATATCGATGCACAAACTCATCATTCACACCATGGAGTTTTTCTTCAAGTTCTTCTTCCACGACCAGCAGAGGTGGTCCCAGCGTCTGCCCCATCACTTGACACATATCGCGGGCTTTCTGTGTGGCATTCTCTGTAGCTGCTGCGCAAACACGACGCCTGGAAACAAGAATGGACGGGACACGTGAAGAAGACATTTTGGATTTTTGGGGCATTTATTTACTTATTTACGCCTGACAGTTCATTTTAAATTGCAGCTTTTTAGAGTTTTGAGGAGAAAAAGGTCAGGTGTGGCTCTAGAATCCACACACAAATAAAAAGAATCTGAGAACCGCCCGGCATCTTTTCACTCTGAATTTTGGCTGCCTGCAGCTCCAGACCGCATTCAGAAATAATAGTTTGCACAATATACACAAGTGAGAAGGTGGCCCTGTTAGTGCATCCTCAAGACTGCAGCTACACCTCTTCACTTTAATAGCGAAAAAGAGACGCCTATTACAGGACTAAGACAGAAGATTTTAAACAGAAGAAGCGGAGTTACAAGAAGTGTCTGATTTTGGTGTAGAGAAATCCATAAACAACAAGGTTTTTGCTGTGGGACGTTATTTCCATGTATTCATTCTTGTATAGCCTTGAATCATCAGTCGAGATGACGGCTGGAGGACTATACAACAACACAGATCAGAGAATCAAGTCGCAATATGGTTAAAAGCTCAAAGTCAAATTTGTGTAATATGTCTCTTTTAAATCATAGCATATGTAAATGTGTGCTGCTTGAACAGATGAGCATGGTTGAATCAGTTGGAAACACAGTATATAAATGTTGTGTTTCTAATCATTTTATGATTATGGCGAACAGATGTGAGCTTCAATGGCCTTTACCTGAACAGGCTGAGACACTCGTTGCTGTGGTAGTATCTTGCAGAGTGCACTTTGACATTGTCATCCACTTTGTCCAGCAGAAGTCTATCAACCTCGTCCAGCTTTGTAAAGTCTGAGAACGTAACATTTAGCTGCAAATCAAAGAAAACACAAATCCTTTCTCAACACAGAAACGAACAGAAGTCATTATCAGTCATGTTTACAATGTTTCACCTCAGTCTGCATGGAATACTGCTGCGTCTCCTCTTCCCTGATTGCGAGATCATATTTCTGTATATCTTTATCTTTGACACCATGTTGCCTGAGGGAAAAGAAATTTGGTTTTACAAATAAAATGAACAATAACAACATGGGAGAAGACAAGTTAATTTCATCATTTGAGCCGATCTGGTATGAAAAGCTGTTTCATGATGAAAGTGCAAACAATATCTTTTTTCTGTTTACTTGAACGTTTTAAGCCACAAATATTGTCAATACAATGACAAGTTAACTCAGATTACACTATTAAAGTTTAAGAGTTTTGAAAACATGACAAACGGGCATCGCCATTTCTACCGTTTCGAATATACAATGATTCACCAAATTCCATGCTTGTAGCTTCAATCTTAAGATAACCAAAACAAGTAGTGGAAAAGTACAGGCTTCTGCACATTGGTAGAATAATGAGTTTAACTTTAACAAAAGTTGCTTCAAAGTGTTATGAAATCACTACAGATATATAATGAATACTGTGACGTCATACATTCACTTCTGTGAGGATAGCATCATTCCAACAAGGACCAGGGTCATCTATAACAACGACAAACCCTGGTTCACTGCTAAACTCCGGCAGCTCAGGAAAGCAAAGGAGTCTGCTTTCAGGGAGGGGGACCGCAGCGGCTACAAAGCAGCTAAATATCAGTTCAGGAAAGAACTGAAAGCAGCCAAGTCCCGGCACAGAGAACGACTACAGGAGCAGTTTGGTAACAACGATACTGCTTCTGTCTGGAGGGGCCTACGGGAGATCACCAACTACAAACCCAAAGCCCCCCCCTGTGCTGACGACCACAAGCTAGCTGACGATCTGAACTTATTTTTCAGTCGCTTTGATGCTGCCCCTGACACCTCTCCCTCCCCCCCCCCCCACTACTCTAACGACCCACCCATCAGCCCTGCCCCCAGCCTGACAATAGCCGCTAAAGAGATTAAACAACTCTTCTTGAGGCTGCACCCCCGCAAAGCTCCTGGCCCGGACCACGCGTCTCCGGCCACTCTGAGATACTGCGCCAGTGAGCTTACTCCTGTGTTCACGGACATTTTCAACACCTCTCTACAGTCCTGCCATGTCCCGGCCTGCTTCAAATCCTCCATCATTGTCCCCGTCCCGAAGAAGCCCAGGATCACAGAACTCAACGACTACAGACCTGTAGCACTTACGTCTGTCGTCATGAAGTCATTTGAACGCCTGGTTCTCTCCCATCTCAAGTCCCTCACCTCCCCCCTCCTGGACCCCCTGCAGTTCGCCTACAGAGCCAACAGATCTGTAGACGACGCCATTAACCTGGCCCTCCACCACATCCTACAGCACCTGGACTCCCCGGGGACCTACGCCAGGGTCCTGTTCAAGGACTTCAGCTCTGCCTTCAACACAATCCTGCCATCCCTGCTCCAGGACAAGCTCTCCCAGCTCTACGTGCCCGATTCCACCTGCAGGTGGATCACTGACTTCCTGACAGACAGGAAGCAGCGAGTGCGTCTGGGGAAGAATGTCTCGGACTCTCGGATTATAAATACAGGAGCCCCACAGGGCTGTGTTCTTTCTCCCCTGCTCTTCTCCCTGTACACCAACCACTGCACCTCCAGCCACGACTCCGTGAAGCTGATCAAGTTCGCGGACGACACCACCCTCATTGGACTCATCTCCAACAACGATGAGTCCGCCTCCAGGAGGGAGGTGGACCGGCTGGTGTCCTGGTGCAGTGGTAACAACCTGGAGCTGAACGCCCAGAAGACAGTGGAGATGATTGTGGACTTCAGGAAGAGCACTGTCCCCCCACCCCCACCCTCCGTGATGGACTCCCCCATCACCTCTGTGGAGTCCTTCCGTTTCCTGGGCACCACCATCACCCAGGACCTCAAGTGGGAGCCAACCATCAGCTCCCTCATCAAGAAGGCCCAGCAGAGGATGTACTTCCTGCGGCAGCTCAGGAAAGCCAAGCTGCCTGCACAGATGTTGGTGCAGTTCTACACGGCCATCATCGAGTCCATCCTCACCTCCTCCATCACCGTGTGGTTCGCTGGAGCCACAGTCAGGGACAAACAGAGACTACAGAGCATTGTGCGCTCTGCAGAGGAAGTGATCGGCCGCAGCCTTCCATCGCTGCAGGACCTGTACGTTGCCCGAGCTCGAGGCCGGGCTGGTCGTATCACAGCCGACCCCTCTCACCCTGCACATGGACTATTCCAACCACTCCCCTCAGGCAGGAGGCTGCGGTCCATCAGGACTAGAACCTCCCGCCACAAGAACAGTTTCTTCCCCTCTGCTGTTGGACTCTTGAACACTTCTTAACCTGTCCCCCCGCCCTTTATAAAGTCACTTTACTGCCCATCATACGTCACTTTACTTCACTGTACTGCTGTCACCTTACATTGTGTGCACCATGTGCACTTGTATATTGTAAATAGTAACTGTAACTCTATTTTAAATTTAAATTTATTCTTTAGAAGTGTTTTTTATTCTTATTTTTATTATCTCTTTTTGACTGTTGCACTGAGCCAAAGCAATTTCCAAGTCTGTGACCTCCTGTTACTTACGTGGCAATAAAATGATTCTGATAATAATATACATCTCCAAATTCCCCACCATTACCATACACCTTTGGTCTGGAATTAGCACGGGAATAGTTTATCCCAGATTCCTTCTTCCAGGCTTCCGTAGGCGTCCCATCATTAACGTTATAACAATAGTGTTTACAGTTTATGGTGACAACACGGGTACAAACTATGGTCACTGTTTGTGATGGACACACTGAATGCATCACCATGTTCATTTCCACCTGAGACATTGTAAAATATAGTCGATTCTCCGAGAGACGCTGGTAATCGCCTCGTCCATGGTCTTCTTTTCACTGGACACCAGGATCCCAAACGAGGCTCGGTCTGCGAACTCATGCAGCTCCGCAGTGCCCGACACACGGAGCACTCTGCAGCCGGGAGGGAGCTGAGGTGACTGCGGGGGGACCTCCAGGCGTTTACGCTTCTTCACACCCTCTGGAGTAGGTACAACTGTGGCGAAAGGACGGCTCCGGTTCTCCATAACTGACACAAACAAACTTCCCGCTGCTGTGGTGACTACGGTCTGGTGATGGGGGAGCACAGACAAGTATTTTGTGAATTTCCGGTTTTCACTTCCGGATGCTGTGTTGGACTTCCGGTTAACGTTCTGATTTATTTATTTATTTATTTTTATTTAGACTTTATTAAGGACTCACATGCAAGCGCAGGATCCATAGCTAAGAATAATGAAAGAAAAGTTTAAAAAAGATCAGAGTTAAAACACACATAGTAATCACATATTCACATATTTAGACCAAGTCACACATACAGAGAAGCACGCCAGTGACCCCAAAGCAAAGAAGTGAACCTGACTGAGCTAATGTAACGACAATCCAGGGACTGTACAATAGCATTAGGCACCCTCACCACTCTACACATAAACCGATAGTAGCAGTGACGTAGGGCAGCAGGAAAGGAGCGCACCCTGCACTCAGCACTCAGTTTTAACATTCACAGGGCACATGTTAAACTTTCTGACCAGCATGTTGGATTGGCCATACAGTTTAGATCTCTGTCTGTGTATATCCCGGTCGTCTGTGGAGAAAGGGCAGGCTCCTTTTGTGGCACCGGCACCTGCCACAGCTGATCAGTGGCATGTACACAACAAATGGCGTTTAAAACGGCATGTGGACAACAAGTGGCGTTTAAAACGGCATGTGGGGAATAAATGGCGTTTAAAACGACATGTGGGGAATAAATGGCGTTTAAAACAACATGTGGGGAATAAATGGCGTGTAAAGCGGCATGTGGACAACAAGTGGCGTTTAAAACGGCATGTGGACAATAAATGGCATGTAAAACGGCATGTGGACAACAAGTGGCGTTTAAAACGGCATGTGGACAACAAGTGGCGTTTAAAACGGCATGTGGGAAATAAATGGCGCGTAAAGCGGCATGTGGACAACAAGTGGCGTTTAAAACGGCATGTGGGAAATAAATGGCGTGTAAAGCGGCATGTGGAAAACAAGTGGCGTTTAAAACAGCATGTGGACAATAAAGGGTGTTTAATACGGCATGTGGGAAATGAATGGCGTTTAAAACGGCATGTGGGGAATAAATGGCGTGTAAAACAAATACAGTTGAAAGCAGCCTGTACAAAAGACAACAAGCAGCAGTATTAGAGATAGTGGTCCAGTAGCTCAGATGGAAAAGCACAGGTCTACGGTGTTGATGGTCGCTAGTTCAAATCCCCAGTGACTACCAATGACATTTGCTGATGTTGGGTCCTTGGGCATAACACTTCATGGAGAATGTCAGAAGTGCACATGCCGCTTTACACGCCATTTATTTCCCACATGCCGTTTTAAACGCCACTTGTTGTCCACATCAGAATCAGAATCATTTTTATTGCCATGTAAGTAACAGGAGGTCACAGACTTGGAAATTGCTTTGGCTCAGTGCAACAGTCAGAAAGAGATAATAAAAATAAGAATAAAAAACACTTCTAAAGAATAAATTTGAATTTAAAAAAGAGTTACAGTTACTATTTACAATATACAAGTGCACATGGTGCACGCAATGTAAGGTGACAGTAGTACAGTGAAGTAAAGTGACGTATGATGGGCAGTAAAGTGACTTTATAAAGGGCGGGGGGACAGGTTAAGAAGTGTTCAAGAGTCCAACAGCAGAGGGGAAGAAACTGTTCTTGTGGCGAGAGGTTCTAGTCCTGATGGACCGCAGCCTCCTGCCTGAGGGGAGTGGTTGGAATAGTCCATGTGCAGGGTGAGAGGGGTCGACTGTGATACAACCAGCCCGGCCTCGAGCTCGGGCGACGTACAGGTCCTGCAGCGATGGAAGGCTGCGGCCGATCACTTCCTCTGCAGAGCGCACAATGCGCTGTTGTCTCTGTTTGTCCCTGACTGTGGCTCCAGCGAACCACACGGTTGACGGAGGAGGTGAGGATGGACTCGATGATGGCCGTGTAGAACTGCACCAACATCTGTGCAGGCAGCTTGGCATTCCTGAGCTGCCGCTAAGAGAGGATTTGTGCGTTGTGTATTTGGTGTAAACAGGCAGACTTATTAGCTGGACACGGCTGTTGAAGACGTAAACCCACTCGCTATTAAATAAGTCCATAGTTTGTGTGTGTTTTTTGTTCACAGACTAAACAAATGTCCAAAAGCGGGGAAGATTGTGTGACATGATAACAAGTGTTGAGTGTTACTCTACTCAAAGCTTCCATCTTTAGGCAAGGCAAGTTTATTTATATAGCACAATTCATACACAAGGCAATTCAAAGTGCTGAACAAAACAAGAAAGCATTAAAATCATAAATAATCACAGAACATTAAAAAGAAAGCTAAAAATATAAAATCCCTCAGTTGTATGCACAGCTAAACAGAACTGTCTTTAACCTGGTTTTAAACATTGTCATTGAGGAGGCCTGTCTCACATCTTCAGGCAGACTGTTCCAGATTTTAGCAGCATGAATCTGAAAAGCAGCTTCCCCATGTTTAGTTCTGACTCTGGGCACTAACAGGAGTCCAGTCCCTGTGCTCCTCAGAGTCCGGGCTGGTTCGTATGGTACTAACGTGTCACTAATATATTTTATATTCTATTCTCTGAGCCACAGGAAGCCAGTGCAGAGACCTGAGAACTGGACTAATGTGGTTGTACTTCCTGGTTCTAGTCAGGACTCGAGTTGCTGCATTTTGAATGTACTGCAGCTGTTTTACAGCCTGTTTGGACAGACCTGTGAGCAGGCCATTGCAGTAGTCTAACCTACTGGAGACAAATGTATGGATAAGAATCTCCAAGTCTGCAAGACACTATGTTTTTGATCCTGGCAAAACATAGTAGTTTAGACACTATTCTAAGCTCTAAAACAATCAAAACAATCTGATCCAAGTATAAATGTTATTTGTTTATTGGTTATGTCCTAGTTTAGCCTCGCTGTCATTCTACTTTATACCCATTATTTGGTTGTTAGTCTACACATTTTCACATCTTAAATCTGGCTTAAGATTTTGAGTCAAGTTCCGATCTGATCTAGGTTTAGTGCTGGTTTGGCTGTGCAACATTGGTTTACTTTTTCTTTTTTTTTAAACACAACATTTCAATTGTGTTAAATGCATTCATTGGAAATACACAAATCTATTGAGACAGAACAATCCAGATGTAGGCAAGATATCCAACACTTTATGCACAAGTCAATTTTTTCTGCTGTACATATTTCCCAGACTCTTGCCGACTGTCACGCTCTTCTGACAATAGACACAATTTGGATCCGTTTGAACGCATCCGTGAAATCTCTTCAGCCCACTTCCACTTTGAATAAAACCTGTACAGCAGAACCTCATACACAAGTGTTTTACAATGTGCCACAACTTCTTTCAATGTATATGATGTGCTGGACCGGACTTATTGTAGATATTATGTCATTGGATATATTTTAGCTCAGGCAAAACAAATATTTATGGATATTCTCTACCATAATGCTTTGAGGGCAGGAGGGTCACATAACATCAATTATAAGAACACAATCTAAAATTGTTAAAAAAGAGTCAAATATTACCTTCCATAACCCTCAGGGAAGACAAACCAAAGCCTTCGAGACTGGGAGAAGTTATAGAGCAGGACTATTGGTCTGCATCAAAGCGGTTCTGGCAAACGGTGCTTTGCCAACACTGCTTAGAATGCGGGTTGAGAGCTGCTGACCTCGACTGGGGATATCATTGAGTGATGGAAGGAATAATTTGAGGATCTCCACAATAACCCTGTTATGTCCTCTGAAGACCTTGGGACTAATGTTTCTTGATGAGGTCAGCGAGGTTGTTGACGGCCTCTTCTTAAAGCTCTGTATGTTGTGGGATTGTCTTGTCTAACATGTTTCAGCAACATTGAGGTTCAGTGAGGAGGTTGGGAACAGTATCTTAGGATTGGTAGACCAGAACGATGGTCCCTCATCAAGAAGGGTGTTAGAATTATCACACTCACTCCTTAGGTTCTGCAGGTAAGGTCGACTTTAAGGTACTGGAGAGGAGAGTTAGACCAAATCTCAGATTCAGGAGGTACAATGTGGGTTATCTAAATGTGCTTTATGGATCTGTGGAAGGAGATCGGCCGTGTTCCCGTCACGTCCTGTTTTCTTATAAATCTGAAGGGGCCTTTCATTTACAAGGAACAGCAACTCATTAAAGGTTGATTTCAAATCGAGTGTGCATGTTTTCAGTTAACTTTTTGCAGGGCCACAGACGCTGATGCTGCAACGCTGACATAGATTTTCATCCATGGAAATGTCAAGGCAAATAAGTAACTATCATCTTAATAACAATAGTCAAACGTCTAAACGAGTGAATGTGTACTACTACTTCTACTACTGCACATTTCTGTGAAAAATAAAATACTTTTCTTACACACTGATGTGTCAAAACAACTCGACATTGGAACCAAGTAGTTTTGCAGAGGGAAAATATTGTTAAACCATCAACGTTTTTGGCTTTACAACGTGCTGCTTTTTCTTTTATAAAGTTATCCTTTTTTAAAAATCTGTTTGAAATTGTTTTTATTGCTCTACATGGACGATAAGCTTGCTATAGTCCATTTTGCGATTCCTTCTGGTCCTGGTTGCACTGTGTTGTGACTTTCATACATTCTCATCTTCCCTGCAGTGAAAAGCAACACGGTCCAAACAATACGCCAAACTTTCCCCATTGTTGTCCCGTATCGACGCGCCATTTTAGCTCAGGTCAAACAACTGCTCATGTTGGGCCATTACTGCAAAAACAATATCTGCCAAAAGGAAAGATATCAGTTCGATGTATTTTTTCACCAAGTAATCATGATTTGAACATCAACCCTATCTGTATTTCCACAACCGGCCAAAGTAAAAGAAATAGAAATGGTAAAAACCGGATTGGCTTGAGCGCAGAGGAATAGGAGCATCTTGGGATCACATTGGGCTGGAACAGGCAGTTAATGCTCCGTTACTTCTGCACATGGAGGATCTGATTTGGTCTACAGCACATAACAAGAGGTTGA